TAGTTCTTGGTCCAGATGATTTCGCGCGCGGGGTCGACAACAGCCCCGTCTTCTTCACGTTTCTCATACTCTCCGTAGTTCTTGGTCCAGATGATCTCACGCGCCGGGTCGACGACGACAGTGCCCTCTTCGTCGCGCTTGACCGGGGCACCCACAGCACCCAAAGAGGCAATCAAGAGGAGAACAAGAGTTCTAGCAAGCATATTGAAGGTTGATGAGGGGCAATGTGGTTAAAGTTCTTGGAGGATGAAGTCAAGTCTAAGATGAATCCGCTTCACGGCCTTTTCAGGATGGATGACACTTTCCACCAAGGTGTGGCAAACGCAAGGCTTTATATGTCCAGGCTTCAAGGGAATACGAGAATCATAGAGACATCACACCCTGGTAGGTATCAGAGCTCGCAGGCAAATGGGTGACGGGCCCGAGGCTCAGAAATTCAGTCGAAGGAAGCTAGTTGTTCCTACTGCAGGAGTTTGTGCCTTCCATATCGAACCTGGATCCGGTGCAGTCCGGGTATGAGTAAAGTACCTGATTTCGTCCCCTCATACTTTGCTCTCTTCCGTGATGTTTGGCGTGATCATCGACGGCCGCGGACAGTGTCGCGGCACTCACGAGCAATCCAGGCGGCGAATTAGCCCCGACGGCCGCACTATGTCGGTTCTCGTTACAGAGTAGATAGCTCTCCGAAAGTCCCCGGGAGAAGTTCACTTCGTTCTGATGAGGGATTTTCATGACGATTCTCGCAAGCCGAATGCTGTTTCAGGCTCGTCGTGCCGCTGAGAAGCTAGGGTTGCGGTGGAGGTTTGTGACCGTATCAAAAACATGGACTGTACTACCTGTAATACGATACGTTTCAGCCCATGAGTACAATACAGTACACTTCAATCATGAGTTACAGCTTACTCTCCTAACCTTATCTTTCGATGACACCACCTGCAACAATAATAAGCACTAAACTAATCACAACAAGATCCTTCCGATGCGGGGTCAAACACATAAACAAGCATGTCAGATACGAAAACAGCTGCACCAACCTCTACTCACCCTCTCTGTGAAACCAGTGACGTACTTCCAACACCGCACTTCAGTCTTCTGGACTTACCCTCCCGCTAATCACGAATCAATTGCTCGAGCAAGATGACCGAGTGGAACGTACTAACTGCAACTGCAACGCAGCTGAGCCGTTTCCTGCAGGAGGGCCACACGACGAGTCACGACATCGTCCAGGCCTACCTGGCACAGATCGACCAGCACAACCGCGCCGGCCTGCAGCTGCACGCGTTGATTTCCGTCAACCCCGCGACGGCCCTGGCCCAGGCCGCCGCCCGCGACCGCGAGCGAGCCCAGGGTCGCATCCGCGGCCCCCTCCACGGGGTCCCAATCATCGTCAAGGATGCTATCATCACGTCGCGCGCGTTGGGACTCCCCACCACTGCCGGGGCCGTGGCCTTTCAGGATACCTACGGATGCGCCAACGCAGCGATTATCGAGTCTCTGCTCGACCAGGGAATGATCATCCTCGCCAAAGCGAGTATGACGGAGTTCTGCGGCCTCAAGGCGACCTGTATCACCGCGGGCTGGTCGGCCGTGAACGGCCAGACCCAGTCCCCCTATATTGCGGGGGGGTTCCGCCCGGACGATCTCTTTATCGGTCGCTCGGGGCCCGGAGGGTCCTCGTCGGGGTCAGCCGTGGGCATCGCGGCGGGCTTTGCGCCGCTGGCTCTGGGCACAGAGACCTCGGGCTCTGTCTGCATGCCCGCCAATCGCGCGGGGCTGTACTCCATCACCGTCACGCAGGGCTCGGTTCCCCTTGAGGGGGTCTTTTCCCTGAGTAGGGACTTTGACAAGATAGGGGCTATGGCGCGGTGTCCCGGGGACCTCGCGCTGGTGTCACAAGCTCTGAATGGAGTGGAGTACAAGCCGCCGGCGGGATGGACGGACGTGTCGGTCGGCTTCGTTGATCCTCTCGTGTGGGATGCTTTCGCGTTTCAGAAGTCACCAGACCAGGATGTAGAGCGGCAAATTGTAGGTTATGTCCCTGTTTGACTTGATATGCTGTCTGCTGAAGCTCCACAGTTGAGTAGCTATGAGTGGGCGAGATCGCAGATTGCGCAGCGAGGAGGCCGCGTTGTCTACCCGGTGGAGTTGCCCACGATGGAGAGTCTGCACTACGAGGGCCAGAGTGTGAACTACTCCGTCGCATGTACGAACACCTGCTGTGGAATCTCTGAGTACAGAACTAATGCGGGACAGTCTATGAGTTTCCGAAGCTGTTCGAGACATTCTGCTCCATGCTAGAGGAGCCAAAAGTGCAATCGGTTCCGGAACTGATTGAATGGAACAAGGATCATGCCTCAATTGCGATGCCGCCACGTAAGAAAACTAACAGACCTGGTACCTTGACTGATACTGGAGCTAATGTATCATAGCACATACTGATCAAACTGACTTGCTGGAGACGCTAAAATCGTCCATGGATGATGAGAAAGCAGCCGCAGCAAAGACTTACGCTCAACGACTCGCGGGACCAGAGGGTATCGACGCAACGGTTGAAAAGCACGGAGTCGATATCATCATCGGACCGGGAGACTGCGCTATCTGCGCGGTTGCTGCTCTTGCGGGATATCCTACCGGTATGGTTCCTCTCGGGCGCTTGGAAGGGCCAGGTGGGCTGGGTCAGCCTCAAGGATTGATGTTGATAAGCCGCGCTGGGGGGGAACAAAAGCTTCTACAGTTTATGCATCAGTGGAAAGAGATAGCAGGAGACTGGGAGGTTCCCCCTTTACTGGCTTGAGGGTTCAATGTTGTGGCTTCCCAGCTGTCGCGCCGCTGTCCACCATGATGTCAATTGATCAGCTAGACTACACAGTCAACATCTCAATCAAGGCCCGGCTGTACTTCATGCTCTTGATATTCCAAATCCAGAGCAGCTAAGCGCCGAAAGCAGGAACAACTACCAAGCCCAAGCAAGAGATGGTTTGCCACTCGTCGACCAGAAACCATCGCGCCCACCAAAGTCGGGTTAGTAAGTCGTGTCCGTACTCGTCGGCTCTGCTCCACGAACGTAGAAGCACGGCATCGAGTACCAGGAAGCAAAATGTGAAAATCGCCATCGCCAACGATGTGCAGTGCGCTGCACGAGATCCGGTACCCTTCCCCTCTCTGAATGGCTGCCGGCGCAGACTCATCGTCCTCCGGAAGCACTCGATATGGGAGATCACAATGACGACCCCGCTTCCGAGAGTCCACAAAAGTTGCAGCGCGTCACGAGACTCGTCCCGATCGCGTAGCATCTCTCTCTCGCGGCCTATGGTAAAGGCGAATGCAGCTGCGCCGAGGACGTAAGCCACCCACGGAGACGACCTGTCTTGACTGGGTCGGGGTCTCAAGGCCTGAAGAGCAAAGAACACAACGGCTGCATTCCGGCACGCTCGTAGTATGATATTCAGGGTCCGAATCGTTTCACAGGCATACGGGTAACCGTGGCGGTTGATGTAAGTGAGGTTCGCCCAGGCGATCGCGGCGTCGAGGCAAACCAAGCAGATTACCAAGACGAACAGTCTAGATCTGTGCACTTCCATCGACGGTCGACCCTTGACATGGTTGATTGCGACCGCAAGGCTTAGGCACAAGCTGGTCAGAAAGCAGAAGGCCATGAAATGCCATTTTCCCACTTGTATAGCGGGAAGATGGCCATACGCGGAATGCAAGCGCATGACAGCGCTAAAAGTGGACGCCGTGAAGCCAATTGCTTCGACGCAGTATGAGCCAGACCCCGCGAGAGGAAAATAGATGGTGCTAGGGTACTGTGAGATGTGTACAGCCTGCGTCAAGATCGGGTGCTTTGCGTCTTCTAACCGGCCGATGAAGGCGCCGTAGCTTTCGGGGCGGCATGCGCCAGCTTCGATTGCTATGCCGTCACAGACATAGTGCATCTATCAGCAGTTAGTTACTGCTCAATACTGATTCATGGCTCGCGCCACTCACCTTTCCGTTGATGACTCTCCCGCCCAACTGTCCGTCAATCTTGCGGAAAATAGCAACGCTGACGATGGGATCTCTCTCCGCTGTCACCAGGTTGGCAAAGTTGAGAGTTATGGCAGACTGCGAATACGCCCCGGATGCCAAAGTGCCTGGCGAAAAGCTGGCGGGTCCGAAGGCCTCCACACACTGTCTCCAGTGCGATTGATTCTAGTATAGTTAGCAACCATGCCGTCGAGAGCCCCGGAAGTGCTAGTCATGAAAGTACCAGTTGATACCGCTGTGCCATAACATCATTAGCAATGTTGAGAGTCAAGGAGAGCCAGAATGTGAGGTGATGCATGGCTGTCTTCTGCTTAGCACGCTGCAATGCTTTGGGGTATCCCACGTTGGCTCAATCTCATATACCTTTTGCAAGTTTTCCTTGCCATTGCAACGTCCGAATCCGTGTCTACATGCAAGCCTCGGTTGGTGTTCAGCAGTAGTGAGCAAGCTATTACCTGCATCTGTGACAGTCACGTAGTCGGTCTGGATCAGCCATGCGGTCTGCAGTATTACAACGAGACGAGACGTGACTGATACACACAGGTATTGTGTTTCTTCGTTCTGACGTGATCTGCTAGCTTTGTAAAGAAACACCTTATCAGCAGACCCTGATTGGAGCTCTCCTTAGTGGTTTCAGGGTCCGGGCCATGCATCGGATTCCGTCGGCGCAGAATTTTGATCGACGCAGCCTAACTCCGAGCCGTCCGAGGAGCCTATGCCTCATTTGTGAGTGGATATACCTCACGATACTTCAGTTAGCCCTAAGTTAATGTCAAGATGAACACAGGGTCTTTCGTTCTCCCCGCTTGCTTCTCATGCTCAACGGCCACCTCATCCTCCATTCCCCTTTCTCCTCGAGATCATGTCGAAACAATCCCAACGCTATTCTCAAGTCCCCTCCGAGGACTCGGTCCTGGGCGATGAGACCTCTATTCCCACATCCGGCTGCCGGGCGAAAATTCGCTATCGCGGCTGGATCTGTCTGGTTTTGCCCGTCGTTGTTTTTTTGACGTCTCTTGTGAATCTGTTTGTAGCGGCCAAGTACCGTGTCAGCGATCGGACATGCGCGCAGCACATGAATGCTGTTTGTAAGAATATGTTCCTTTGCTTAAACGGATGCGAGTGACTAACGCTGAACACGGACCAGCACCTGCCATGGAGGCCGTCGAGTATGAATGGAAGACGTTTGAGAATGACTTCTTCCACCAGTCCGTCTATCGCGGTCCTCCTTCCGTCGAGCTGGAGAAGGCGTGGGATGAGCTCTGGGATTGTAGGTCTCCACAATTTCTCTATGTCCAGGTATTTTGACACATGTCCTCACGAATCTCCAGACGGCGCCTTCAGCGTTCCGCACGAGATGCTACCCAAACTCAACAAGTCCACCACGGGCTGGCGCGAGATATCGCACGCGCGGGGCGGCGGTGTGGCTGGCCTGCTGGAGGGGTTCCATCAAATTCACTGCTTGGTATGTGGTCACTCCAGCGATCTGGTCATGAACAGCGGCTAACGAGTTGGTGTTCCTACACTACGTAGAATCTGATCCGTCAATACACATACCGCGACCAGTGGGATTATAGCGCTCTTCCCTCCTTTGACGGGACCCCTCAGCTGGTGCGGCACCATGTGGATCACTGCATCGAGACCCTGCGCATCAATCTCATGTGCACGGCGGACGTGACCCCATACCTGATCCAGCTCAATCCCAATCGAAAGCTTGGGGAAGATCCGAACTTCAATACGCTGCACAAGTGCCGGAAGTGGGATAGGTTGGTGGACTGGGCCAAGCAGCATGAGGTTTTCAGAACGGTGGATCCCGCGTCTACGCATGACGGTCATTCCTGATATTTTCTCAGCATAGGTACTACAGTAGATAGTTCGAGCTGTGGTTTGACAGTGATTTCAGTATGAATATTTAGATTCGGTAAATTGAGCATCATGGACATCAGGTGACTGGAAGAGCCATCGCTTAGCCGACGAGATAGCCAATTGAAAAGTTTGGAACAACAGCATAAGGAGCAAGTTGTATTATGAGAGGTAAAGGTGATACCGACATTGACATAGGAGTTTTGAGTGGGCTGTAGTCACAGTCATGCCCAGTCTTACTGCAGTTGGCCATAAATAGTGGCGGTATCCTGTGCAAAGTGAAATATATCTGTCAATCTGCGGGTTCCAATCACTGACCCTAACCCGCAAAGCCTTTCATCCCGCCTCGCCATGCACCTCAAAACTCCTTCATGGCTCAACCCACCTCACGTGTCGCCAGTACAATGGGCATTCCATTTGGCATTTTTTCTATTCTCCATTCTGTGCGGCACTTGGATGGCGTCGAATCGACTTCCCTGTCAGCTCCCCACGGCCCGAGTCAGTAGTCGACGAGCGACGCTCGAGATGCCCGTGTACGGAGAGGACGAGTATGAGTTCGCTCGTTTCGTGGGTCATCCCGACGCCCCCAGCCCCTTCAGAGGACCACCTTCTCCCGCCGTCGACGAAATGTGGAACAGTCTGTGGGCCGACAACATGCTGGTCTCCGAGCGGGAGTATGCGCTCTCCCAGTCCCAGGACCGCCGGGCGGGGGTGTACGGTGCCTCGTCAACGAGCCAGGGCTTTTTCGCGACTTTCGAGTCGACCCATCAGTTACATTGCTTGGTCGGTTACCGCGCTCAAATGGCCCAGATGCTGGCATCGCCCTAATTCCAGCTAGTATAATCTCTTTCGCGCGTCGCATGTGGACTATTATGAACCAGAAAGAAAGTTCCTGCTCCACAACCCGGAGAAGTATCACGCCCGTCTGGGTGAGTGTTTTCCCGGCAATTTGTACCGGTTGCGTTGGGCTGACGACGGACTGAGACCACTGTACGGAGATCCTGAGGCAGAAGCTTATGTGGTATGTGTTGTCCTTCACCGGTCGTGATCCGCTCTATCTAATCCAGCGACAGTGATGCCGATGCGAGTATCGTGACGTACGCATGGGGGAATGATACCGAGAGCTACGAGGCGGACTTTAGTGTGTTGCATCAGTGTAGAAATTATGAGACGCTGCTGGATTGGAGTCGGAAACATTCTGCTACGGGAGCCGTGTTTACGAGGGACTAGAAGTTCTTGGGAATGGGGATATTGATTGCGTGGAGAAAAAACCATGTGACTAGTGAAAAGATCGTGGCGAAGGGTGTACCCTAGCATTCAGTCCGACATCCAACACCAGCACTACTTTTTGCAACCTTCCCCTGTCAGTTATTCCTCATCAATGTAGACAATATGGCCCGGACGAGGCAACGTCTCCGGGTCAAAGTCCTTCCCGTCGACGGGCCCGAGATGGGGATGCACCACACGCCCGGCAGCGCCGATGGAGTGCTCCTTCGTCCAGGCGAAAATGTCGTCCCAGTTCCGGCAGGTGCGGGTGGTTTGAAAGACCGGCCACGGGAAGGGATAGCCCTCGACCCAGCGAACGGGCATCAGACTCAGATCCGCGTGGCATTGGATACTGTGTCGCAGAATATCGAGGCAGTGGCCCAGATGGTACTCGGGCGTCGGATCCTCCTGGAGTTTGATCTCCCGGCCCAGAATCTTGCGGCGAAACCAATTCTAGATTGATATGGTTAGCGGTTGCTTGACGTGGCCGACGCAGACATTCTCACCAAGCAGTGCAGCTCATGATACACTTCCAGCCCAGCAAGATACCCTGATCCGTCCTCCAAGCGCACGGACGTTTGGTTGATGCGATCAAGGTCTGCCTTGTCGACCTTGATCCATCCGTCTGGAGAACTGGTGTTAACGGGGTTTGTTCAGAGCGGCTCTCGCCCAAGAATAAACGTACATGGCCCATCTTGACTGATCTCACGCCACAGTCGATCGGCCTCCGGGGTATCCTGGGAGTACGGAGAAGTCTGTCCGATCCCAACATCGGTCATTTCGACTTCATGATTCAGGACCCGTTGCAATTGCGCTATATGATGCTCAATTAGTCTCGCACCCCGACCCGTCACGCCCGGGAGACGTACGGATGACGAAGTCAATCTCCGGTGTTTTGCCATTTCTGTGCTTGTAGATCAATGCAAAGAAGCCGAGATTCATCGCGAGAAACACTATGTTGAGAAGTGTAAAGGCTGCTCCCCGCAGCCTTTTGCGTTGGGGGGAACGCCCCTCGGATGTGTCCAGGACGTCTGCAGCATCCTCGGTGGATGGCGCCCGGTGATAATCAGTCTTGGTGAAAGGGCGGGCAATGGACATCTTTTTGAGTGACATGTTTAATTATGCGGTGGTTGGCTTTCCTTGGGCATGGACTTTGCCAGAGAAGAAAGCTCGAATAGATACAATGCACACAGGTACAGGCTGTCACTGTGCGTGGTGAGTATTTTCCCTCCCTGCTCGCCGGGGGCAACAAGGGGAGGCTATCGACTACCCTCACTTCCTGCACGCAAATCGACCCCGCACGTTGTGCTTGCTAAAGATAACAAGCTTCGTCAAAAGCCTTGTTTTACTGTGTCTGACACCATGCATGTCCGAGCCTGCATAATACCCTGCATTAAGCATCCGGTATTTCTCTGTCAGAAGAATTGTTGCCGGGGGTGGTATTATTACCGTCTTACCACATCGTGGTAATACTTTAAACACGGGACAACAACCTGCAAAACAGATACTAACTCCGCTGCAATGCAACCCTGCTTCGTTGTCATGGCATGGCATTACCCGAAGGAGTAACTGCCCAAGGGCTCGATTTACGTCTTGAAGTTTTGCTGTGCGAGAACGACACATCGGCTCGGTCCCGAGTCCAAGTGAAGCGGAAACGAGAAGACCCCCTCCCCACAGCCTGTGAGACTGGGTGTCTCTCACAACTTTCATTCATGCCTTTCTGCATTGCACGCTCGTGCAGAACTGAACATCTCCCACTGCCCAGAAGCTTACAACGGTTGAATTGTGCAGGATCATCTACCAAGATGATGGGACTCCAACATTTACTGGGTTGGCGACGTACGCAGCCCAGCCGAATGATCATTCCTACGAGCGATGAGGACGGCGAGGAGGAACTCTTCCTTCCTTCTGAGCCCCACGAGAAGAGACGTTTCGAAGAGACAAGACCTGAAGCGCTGCCATGGATGATTTCGACTTTCACACTGGGCGCATGCCTCCTCGTCCTCCTTCTGCTCGCATATCCGGCAACCGGTGGTCAGAGCTACGAGGTTGGATACGCGACCGAGATGCGTGAGTTCCTGCCCATCAAGTGCACTTTAAACACAACATATCTGGTTGGGTTGGTCGCTGACTCAATCCGTAGAGGCTGCCATACCGCAGATCGAGCTGGAACGAGTCCGATTCTGGGGCGGGATCAAAGCCGATGAGAACGGTACGTTCTACATGCATTTCAACCCCGCCGATAAGGTGCGATACGTTGGGAAGCCCACACGCGAGTTGGATGCGGCCTGGGATCGTTTGGCTGGTGAGTCGGGCCTTTGACACGAAAATATAGGTGATGAAGTTGAAAATACTGACTTCTCCGCCACTGTGCAGGACAATTCATTCCTCTCACGCAAGAGGAATCAGAGAGTGTGGAGGGAGATATATCGGAGCACGGTGGCATCTACTTGGCTGCGTGAGCAGAGTTCTAAATTTTCCCGGGTAGCAGAGCACCTTATTTGCTGACGATTGATTGCCCTGAAAAAGCACGGCCGTTCAGCATAGTCTTCACTGCTTGGTAGGCCATGCAAACTCCCTTGTTCCCCACCAGCTGCCAATGACTGACACCCTCCAGAACTACCTACGGCAAGCTATCTACGATGATTACTATCCATCCATTCATGAGATTCGTCCGCATATCCCCGAATACTGGTTGCACGTGGGTAAGTTACCCGCGTCGAGCTTTGAGTGCAGGGAAAAAGTTGAAGCTAAGCAGTCGGTCGAACTAGACCATTGCATCGAGACTTTGCGACAAGAGATTCAGTGCGCAGGGGATCTAACCCCGGTGCCTAAGGTGTGGAATGAACATGCGGGGCAACTGTTAGCTGATATTGAGGCCACGCATACCTGTCGCAAGTTTGAGCGGATTCTCGAATGGACGGAGAGTCGTTAGATCGCAACAGAATAATAATGCGAAAGCAATTGGAAGAAAATTTTCACTGTTAAATCATGCACAAACAATCACTTGCGGGCAAGATAGAGCAAACCTCTCTTCGAACAGAAAGTGTACCGCCAAACGAAGCTTTCTATGAGCCCTCGCAATTAGCCCTCGCAGCAGTTATGTCAGCTCGTATTAGGTGACCATAGACTGAGACATACCATCAACTCGGCCGAGTCCATAAGCCGATGTTTGTCAGAGAGCCTATATTAATGTCACTCTGACTTCGATCGAAGTGATCGCCTCACAACTGTGGGGCGTCAATGTGGTATCTTCCGTACCTGATAAGACGCGTAAGAGTGACGGTTACATTACCAGCTGTATGTGACATGCAGTAAGTCAGTACAGGTACATTTCATACAGTACGCCGCGTTCTCAGATTACCACATGGGTAGTGTACCAGGCTCTCATGCATGGATGGATGCAAGGTCGGACCGACTTCAGGCTTGCACAAGGTAAACCTGAAATCAGGATTGCGATTAATAGCACAGATAGAGATATGATCGGTGATTGATTTTGCAGAACTGCCGTGCCCAAGGTAAATCATACTCGGCAGCCTGCGGGGGAAAAGTTCTTGGCCCTCCAACACGCGAGAACGTTGGACGTCCCCTGAAGCACGGTGTGATTCTGTCTTGTATGCTGCATCTGTCGTCCAGGCCTACTCCCATACTCTCTGCTTGAACTCTGTCTACAAGCATATATCGTCAGTACAGTCAGATCGCAGTCATGGTACGCCCACAGAACGAAGAGGCAAACGAGCGCATGTCGGATGCTGCGACTGAAAGCCTACTCAATGGCCACTCAAGAACGAGTCGTTACTACAAGTTAGAAAGAAAGTTCTGCCGGGGATTTTCTCGTGGACAGCAACTGTCTAGGGCCCTGCACCTAATCCTCCTATCAACTTTGATCGCCTTTCTCATCGCCTACATTGTCATTCTCCAACAAGACCACCTTGTCCACCAGCTCCGGGCCCCGGGCCCAGTCCTCTCCCCTCCACAGCTTTCCTCGTCGATCTTACCCCATGCTGGGCACTTACCAAGGCCATCCGCACACTGGACCGACTGCGGCAGTTCCCCCGAGGAAGCCATCTCCAAGGGCTGTCGCTACGACGTGATCCTGGTCGCCTGGGTACCAGCGGACTGCTTCGACGAGGAGCTGATGGAGAGCTACCTCGCCGAGGTCGAGTATCCCTTTTGGCTCGACCGCGCGCTGCAGCAATCAACAACTCTGATGGAGGTCCGCCGCGGCATTCACCCGGTCGTTTTCTCGAACCAGGAGTTCCACATGGCGCACTGCGCGTATTTCCTCGAGATGTCCATTCGCGGGTTCCGGCAGCGGCGCGTCTGGGATAACACCACGCTGGATATGGAGCACATGCGGCATTGCGCGCGCACCGTCCGGGACCATTGGCTGCCGGAGATGGGGTATTCGCCGCTGCATATGGTGTGGCATTCGTGCGGAAGACCGGAGGAGTGAGGGGGGTCGTGGTTGAAGGTCAGGCTGCGCTATATTGATATAGAGGATTGAGATTCAATGCCATTATGATATGGTTTAAAGGATCAAATGAGGAACCCTATATACTGCTTGATAGTTGAGCGTAGATCGAAGTTGATGTCTCGATAAACACCCATTCTCTGAGCTTCAGCTTGATCTTATAAGCGCATAGCCGAAGTATATGAACATTTTGAGGTCCAGGCACAGTACGATTATTTTCACATCCTTCGCCATTTTCCCTGCTTTTGCTTGTCCGGAAACGACCATCATCGGAGCTTTGGGCGAGATATACGAACTCTTTTCACCAATACGGGCCAGTATTTCGTCGAGGAGAATTGCGGTTCTGAGAGGTAAAAACCGCACGTAGTAGATACACGCCTCAACAACCTGCTCGCCTACATTCTCGCATTGTATTGATAGAGGGCTCGGAATAGTTGACATTGCATCCATAGAGACTCGAAGCTGCAGAGAAGTTTGCCGGTGTGGAAACTCTGCCTGTGTGCCATCTTGCATCCAGTCTTCTGAAGCACTATCCGCAAAGGCCTTATATTGCTTCTTCGCGTCCATCCAAACCCTAACTTCAGTACAAGTTTCAGATGACGTATAATACTTGTCTCGTATCTTGTTAAACTCTGCAATGCATTAGTCATGTTGCAGTGTATCGATTAAGATCGAGTAGATAAAGACATACTAATGAATTGAGACCGTGTTCAGTGGCTGCAAAGAGAAACGCGAGCCTTCTTCTAGGAAAACGATCCCACTTGAAGCCACGGCAGTGCCTTTCTAAGTCAGTTGGAGAATGTACAGGGAACAGCACGGACATACCCTTCGGAATAGATATAACCTACGGATCTGCGGCTCCAGACTCTAACAATATAGTTTATAATCGTTTCGAAGCACCTCCTGCATCGACGATGAGTTTGGCCTGAAAGCTGGGCCATTTCCGTTTGGCGCCTCGACTAAGTTTGGGCAGGTGGCGCAGGGCTACAGGATCCGGAAGACACGATTTAACATGCGGTACACGGGGGACATAGACGCAGTTCAAAAGGAGAGAAGCGTCGCGGAAGCAAAGTCAAAACACCCACTTTACGCTGTGGTCTCAGTGTTCGAGCATCATCGGCATGGCTATGGATCTAAGAGTCGGACAAGTACCTGGTATTACTGCGACCGGGGTGGGTGTCGGTGTGCCCGCCTTTCCCACCGAGTGCGTGACTCATTCACTGAAAGCTTTGCAGCATGGATCAGGTTAAGAGATGGCTAGAGGAGCGATTTGTAGACAGTCAGATTTTGATTTTAGTCAATATAATCGTCCAAGAAGAAACTGTAGCTTCTCCTTTGCTTCTCTTAAAAGCACTAAGTTGAATAGACAAACATGGAATTGATGCTTCGTTGAGTATCGCATCGTCTGAGTTCGGTATTTCATCACTTTGATCTATGTGCGGCGCATTTTGCGAGCTTAAGGAGCCCGTTGAAGCATTCTCTGGCAGGCATTGGCCAGTCACGGTCCAACAAATATGGATTATCCGTCGCAGGGTTTGTTGACATCGATCTACAACAAGACTATCTTGCTCAAGAACGTCCAGCGAGTCAAGTGCAGCTTGAAGCAAACAAAGTAGATCATTGGTTGTATACTGTTGGAGGTGGGTCGGCTCTTTCAAGAGAAGAGCGATCGCAGCAAATATGGTCAGAGACGCAGTGAGTACTGGAAATGTGGTTAGAGGATTGCGGCTGTATTATGCGAACTTAACTCACTGTAGTACGCAGAGAACCACCATATAGGGAGGAGATCACGATATTGTACTGCCTGGGAGATCAATTTTATTGATGATGCGGCAGACTCGATACACAAGTTTGCAGAGCTATGCAAAGTGTGCAATTGAGGGCAGTCATGGCGTCAAGGCCCAGTGGTGAGAAGTCGGTAAATGGAAGCTCTATGCAGGAAAGATCGGAGATGGAGATATCTAAGACTTAAGATAACAGTGGTACGTCTTCCACGAATACCACTTCCCGTGAACTTAATGTTTTCTGTCTCTGGGAGGTCCAACAAGCGGCAATAGTCGGGCAGTTGGTTCTTCCATTCACTTAATTGTCCTTCTATCCGAACCACATGTTGTTGTAGATCGAGCAGAGTGCGTGGCAGCGTATCTTCGATATTACATCCGTAAATCGTCTCGATTACATCGCCAAGAATCCGATTGAGTTTACTGGGTCAATTTGTTAGAGATGCCCTTGGGATTCTCCCGTATAGAGTCGGGAACTAGAACACTTGCCAGGTTTGTAAGAATAAATCCGAGCCAGCTGAAGCAGCGGGGGTCCTGTCAGATAGTCCATATGAAGTTTCGCTCAAGCCGGACGTTATATTTGACGGCAATGCATTTCCCATATAGCTATTTGGAACAAGGGGTGGGCGTCCAAATGTCATGCTGCACATCCTAAAAGACGGGTAGTTGGTTACAGGCCAGAACAACATGTTTACAAGATACCAACTTGTCCATCATAAAAACCATCCACCACGTTCGAGTTCTAATCCCCATTTCCGACGTACTTGGCCCGTCCAAAGGTGCTGGTCGGTATAAGCCTGTCTTGAAAGCTCTCTGCACAATCGCTCCTATGAGTTCCCACGTTTCAGACGATCGCTGTGTTCCTTGCGAGTATTGTAGAAAGAGGAGCAAGGCTTGGACTATAACACTTTCATTAGCAGACTGCTATTTTTATGATCATCATTCTCAGTGCAAGCACATACTCGTCTCAACATCGCACTTCTGGGAGGTAATCTCAGGCAATGTCTTCCTGGCAACCTCAAAGTATACCCGCGCGTTGTGCATGCCATCTTGTCTATTATGGTCTGCTGTGCCATGAACACTCGCAAACGCCAAGCAGGTGCTGATCAAGCAACGTTGCACCGACCGCAAATACTCCAATCAAGCATGCTGATCAGTGCCGAGATAGGCCAAAATTGTTGGTTTGTGTAAATACGGAAACATGTCACCGGTATGTTGAAAGTATCGCTGAAGAAGTGCCACTATTTGGTCATTTGAAGGTAATTTCGATGAGCTGGTGGTCATATGAGACGTGAAAGCTGATCGCTTGTTTCTTGTACTGCTCGGGGCCATGCTCGGGGGGGGGCCATGCGGACCGTAACGCTGGTGCAAGATTTCCAAACGTTGGTCGTAAAGAATTGATCCATTGTAGGTCTTTGAGAGCCGTGACTATATGGTGAAGAAAAGTAGCATTCGATGTTGGGCCTGATGACGCACGGTTTCTGGTCAGTAAAGATTGCACATTACAACGGGTGGTTCCTACATGGCCGGCTTCCTACCAAAATGGCCAGCGTCCTCGTCGTCTGCAAAAGGCATACAGCCCATCCCGTCGACATGGTCACTCGCCTGTGTATCGAGCGCAGGGAGAGAGTCCGGGGGTGAGTGGGGGAGGCATGGCGGACTTCTCAGATCATTCCTTGAGAGTAGCCTTTCCAATAAGTGTTCCATGTTGTCGAGGCGTCCCGCGAGCCACAAAGTAGGACTATCCGAGGGGGGTTGCACGGATGGTATGAAGGGCCTGGATGCTTTCTTTGGTTGGCTATCACGACAAGGAAATCCCATCTCACTGCACTTGCTGCAGACAGGCTGGCTCCCATCACAACGGGATTTGCGTGACCGACATTCTTCACAGGCATGAGCAGTTCGTTTCCGCTTGAAGGTTGTTGATTTACCGGATTGGAGCATGTGGCTCATTACAGATATTTCCAGGCTGTGTGTGATGGACTTTGCCCTCCAGAACACGACTTTAGACGTGAAATAAGTTCCTTCTGTGCCCTCGTGCTGACATTTCGAAAGGTCGGGGGCGTTTATTCCGTTTGTTCCATTCGATGTTACCCCGCAGGTTGAAAGTCTGGAGTACTTGGACATGTGACTAAGGTACTGCTTACATCTAAGGTACTAGTGCCTTGATGGTCGTCATCATTAGTCATTCGCAGTGCAACTTCCTATTCGTCTGATGACTCAAGATCGAGATATGGTCCAATCATCATGCTGGTTGAGAGTGCTCCGTCCCGGACCCACCTCCGAGTGCCGTTCAGCATTCCAGGGATTTCGAAGTATGAAACAGCTTCTGGACTCAGAAGATTGCCAATTACAAATCTAGGACCAGAAAGGCCGCGGTGGCGACGCATAAGTATCCCGTTAGATTTTCATCATGTGCTCCATTATCTTTGACTCCATCTGCGATTTAAGCTCGCGGATTACAGTAACCCGTAGGTCAATCTATCGAGGTTCCAAAAACCGCCACGGCCATTTCTGGTTCGATGAGAAATACACCAATTCATTTACCTGGTAATGTGCCACTCAGGCTGCAGTTGTTGCTGATTTGTCTTCTCGAGGCAAGAATCTTCCCGAATGGCGACCATGATCCAGCTCAGACCTGGTCCGGAACAACGCCCGGGCAAGTATAAAATGGTCCCAACGGAATCGTCTTCCAAATCGTTGTCAAAGAAGAATTCAAAAAGGATTCCTTGGTCATTGTTACTGTTTCATTGCTGTGCCGTTCACTTTGACCACCACCGAAATCACTCAAAAAGACAAAACAGATAGGCCTGGGAAGACCAGATCTACCTCTTTTCCCGGCTACCCATTGATTGCTATATCCAAGGAGATGTCGATCAGCCAGGCTTCTGTCCGGGGCTCGGAGCTCAGCAATTCAATGTCTCAGTTTAAGGACTTGTGTCGGAAGAATGGGCTCAATACCTTCACCAGAGAGGAGAATAGTGACGACACAACGATTCTGTAAGTTTTCTTAACCCAATTTCGGTATCCCTTTTGTTACTTGGTCCCACTAATTATAGCTAATGATCCCTCTAGGCGTTTTCTGCGCGCTCAGCGCTATAACGTTAATGCATCATTCGATCAATTCCAGCACTTTCAAACATGGCGTAGAGAAAACAACATTCGGAACTTCTATAAGGACCTAGATGTTGATGTTTATGATGAAACCCGGAAGATGGTAGGTGGTCCAACACATATTATTCAAATTGAAATTCGCCAATGGCTTGCTGATGATCAAAGTATCCTCAATGGATTGGGCGGCGAGACCATGAAGGGAGGCCCATTTACGTTTTCCAGGTTAGGAAACTTACCAAGAAAAACCTAGAGGGCTACTTGAAGTTTCTGTCGAAAGCATCAGATTCAACTTCTCATGACGATTCTGAGGTACCCATCCATGTACTACACCTTCACGCGTTGTATGAGAATCTCTTGCAATTCGTTTTCCCGCTCGTTTCAGAGCTGCCTCAGCCGGATTTCAAACACCCTATCTCATCGTCCACACATATTGTCGACATCAGCAACGTGAGCGTATTTCAGTTTTGGAGTATCCGTAAGTATCTCCAGGAGGCTAGCCGAATTGCTACAGCTCATTACCCTGAGACTCTCGGAAAGGTTTTTGTGAGTAGACCATTCCCATAATGATCCGCCTGAAACCCTCCGCATTTGGAAGCCTCAACTGACTTGATATTAAGGTCGTAGGGGCGCCTGCCTTCTTCAAGTCGGTGTGGGAAGCGATAAGCCAGTGGTTTGACCCCGAAACAAGATCCAAGATCTTCGTTCTCTCCCCGGTCGAGTCTAAATCGTTCCTCCTCTCCCATATCGCAGCTTCGGATTTACCGAAAGAATACGGCGGGGAGCTTGAATGGAAGTGGCAAGACCAGCCCAATCTCGACCAATCTACGCGCCGTCTGGTAGACGAAGTTTACCAGAAAACCGGCAGAGGAGAGGTTTTCTCCAAAGGCCCATTAATCTTCCAAGATGGCTGTATTCAACTTGTCGGTTCATTCCACGGTTTGCCGCGGCGCAATGCATTCTGTCGCCCCGTAACACCACCGAATTGAAGGAGAACATGTGCCCTCCCGCCTGCTTTTGTTCTAAGTCCCTTTCCATCGTACTTCCTTCGGTCGCCTTTCTGAAAAATGCTTGTAAATAATAATAGATCACATACATATATTGACCAGCCGTCAATTTACTTCTTGTACTTTTAGTAGTGGGCGGTAGAAGCGGGCTGTTGAGGAATCTATTTCAACACACAACCATGTATCCCCGCCTATTAATAAGCCCTATATCAACCATAGTGGCTCCTAAGGCGGGATTAGGGTTCCTTATCTTCCACTGGAGTGAATGTGAGTCTGGTTTTCTTGACTCTGCGAGAGGATAGAGTGATAGAGTGATCTTCGTGCCGGATTACCAACTATAAATCTTAACACGCTGATAACCTTTGGCCACATTTGAGACACCACATTCTCGTTACCAAAGGAAAAGCTCCCATGTCCATATTCAGTACTATGAATGAACCCATTCAGAGAAATCAAGATCTTGCGACGAGCTGAGATCTTGATTCTTCAGCAGGTCCAATTCCTGATTACCAAAAATATTATTCACCGAGGATCCAACATCATGAGGTGTTATTGCCTTTTTACCCTCTGATGACTCAAGATCCTCTTTACGCTGTGGGACTGCCCGGGATGACACTGAATGAAGTTGTCTTAAAGCAATCACAAAGCTCTGGGAAAGAGAATCAAGCTCTTTTGGAAGGCTTTTCAGTGCATTGTTCGCCTTATTAATGTCTTCCATGCAAGATATTGAGCTCGGTGCGGCTGGATCCGCCTTGATATGGATAAGAGGTACCATAAGTGCATGGAAGAGTGCATACCTAGAACTAAGCATTAGATGTCTATATAGCGGTCAAACAGGTGGATGGGGTCTTACGAAGTGAAATGAAGGGTTAACTTAGAAGCTCTACCGGTAACGAAGAGATCTGAGATCATTTCGACTGTGGTGCGAGCAATCATAAGACCCTGGGCTCGACACTGAGCTTCGGCGGGATGGTCAGAAGTTGGAGTCTGTCCGTCAATCGCGTTCCGCTTTAGCCACCGTAAGAGCAATGGCCTATGGATGAGGAGGCGGAGACTCTGATCACAGAGAACCTGTCGTCGACGTGCAATAAAATACCAATCCGGAGTGGACGAGGGATTGGTGACTTGCAAGCAAAAAGAGGATGTTTTGTGCCATTCGTTTATCATTTGGTCCACTTCTTGAACTTGCTGTGCTGTCAAATTGGAACAGGACAGGAGATGACGATAGATCCTATTGGCCATTCGGTGGTAACTGGATTGCTGCCTCAATCCCGTGTATATAGTTGACTCATCACATTGTGGCGGAAACGATTACTCGAAGATGTGAGGGTCTCCAGGCTATGATTTAGCGGCTTCATGGGAGTTGGAGACGAAGGATGTAATGAAGAGAAGGCTTACACTTTCATGTATGTTCGAGACCGGCTTCACAGTTATAAGCGCATCCTCTGGCAGTAGAAGTGGCCGTCCGTAGATCTTTGCGGAACAACTCTCTGCGCAGTACACGCTCCACCACACCCGCCGGCGAATTTCTTTATCCAACTCATTGATTATGGGATCCTGGGGCTCCACTTGCAACCTGAGGGCAATCGAAATCTGGACTGCGGAACCGATATAACGCCCACTTTTTTCAGGACTGCCTTGCTTTTGCGCAAAGTCGCTTAGTAGAACTAACCCCTGTACTAAAGTGATATTTCCCTGACTTCCCATCGAAACATTTTCAAAATGCTCTTCAGCCTTCGCGAAATACACATTGTCCGAATCTTGGGAAGCATCGCGATCAAGCCATGCCCCAAAAGCAAGAACCATGTTGAACAGTACAGGCCAATAAGGCGGGGGTATCTGACCCCTCTGCACAGACCGAAAAGTGTCCTCGTGAAGCATAGGGTAGAGAGTATGGTAAGATGCGAAATAATTTTCGATGAATTTCAATTCATCATCAGGGGTTGCCGCTGGACTATGTAGTTGTGCTATTGACTGACTCTGGTCGTCTACGTCCATTAGCGAAGTGCTTTCAAGTTCTGAGGCAATGGATTGTTTCGTATTCAGAAACTCGTCAGAAATTAGAGATTCGAGTTGCAGATTGTCATCAGCATATCCGTCATCGTCATTTCTGTTTGAAAGTACCGGGTTCCCAGGGATGTCCCCAAGGAGCAAATCATGGGTAATGTTTTGCATTTCTCCATGTGGAAACAATCTCCCGAGCGCAGATTCCAGGAGGTGTAGTCGATTTTCAACAGCCGTGAGATGTCTTTGAGGTATGATTTAGTCCATTTGAGCATTCTGTAAGCATAGCCACATGTATGAAGTATCTTACTGGCGCGTGAGAGGAGTTCGGCAGACTTTTGATGTATACACGCATTCCCGATTGTTACGGACGCACGGAGCGCAGGGTTGCGTTTTCGAGCACTAGGCAAATTAGAATGACATGTCGCTATTGACAAAGATAAGCGTCAATGTACCTTAGCTTTGCGCGTCCTACATTCTAGGCACTTTTTCTTCTATGGTTAATTCTGTTTCATGGTTTTGTTTCAGGAAGGGGTCGCGTACTGCTGAGATGTGAGAATTACGTCCAAAAGTCCGTGGCTCGTGGCCTGAAATGCTCATTGTGGGTATTTCTGCTGTCATTCCGTACAAGGCCGAGTCTTGTAGTAGTAACAATGATAACGGGGTTGCTCTTCGACTATATATTGGGGCAGAGGCGAGACTCTTGCTTGACTAGCGGGGGTGCGGTTTGTTGTCCGTCCCAGAACCCCTCTCTCTGATGAAGTCAGGTGTGGAGGCAACTTCTTGTTACTAATGGTCCGTTCCAGCCCCGGATTAACTCTCGGTCACGTGGATTGTTTCGAACCTCATCCCCGAGCATTTACTGGGGACGAGGATTATGGCAATGGTACTGGTAACTATATTCGGGATTTCCCCTCTTGGTAATTTTCTGTCAGTTTTCCGTGCAATGTAGTGGATTTTTTCCAAGCATAGCTTTATGATATAGTAGCGCATGCGTGCTGACGCCTGAATTCGGTGGCATAAATCACGTGGCCTGTTTCTTTGTTTCCTGTATGAGCATTAGTTCTGTACGACCTCGAAGCCCTTGTTCGACCTATAGACCTTCTTCTCGCCCTCGGAAATTTCTCTTTTACGTAGCATTCTAAAACATTAATTATTTAAATCATCTGCCCTTATTCTAAATGCGAACAAATAAATGTATATATGTTTTCAGCTGCTGGTACCATCATCAGAATTCTCATCTTTTATTTTGTGTTTCTCTGTGAATAGGCAGACTTCCCCATTCAATAAGTCACCTAAATGAGCATCAGGGGCCATGCCGGGTTGTGAGATCATGCATTCTCCCAAGGCTCCCCCTACTAAGTGTCGGGGTGGAGGGAACAAATCGGATGCTCAAGACGAGGAGAGCTACGATTCATGCCACTGATTTCCTGTGTCCCTGGCCTTCAGTAAATGGTGGTAGATAGCAATAGTGAGTGCTATCTAGCGGTAACATGGTCACTACATACTAGGCCATGAAGGCACCAAATCCATTCTCGAGTACTCAACAGTCTCATGATAGCTACATTATTCATCAAGACCTTTTACGAATTTATTCTTGATTCAAGCTATGTCACTACCCAAAGACTCGCCAAAAAGATGAAAGCAAACGCAAAGCATTTCGATAAAACTTCACAGAAAGTGAACACCATATCACTCACCGCTATGCAACAACTCAAACTTCTAACTAAGACAAATAATGTTTTGGCTCTCTAGGCTTGACCTGCGCCCGTTCTCGACGAGAACTTTTCACTGAAGGGATAGTCAATGTAGCCCTGAGATCCTTGCCCATACATGGATGCCGGGTCGAAATGCGCGAAGGGGAGTCCGTGCTTGACCCTGAAAGGCAGGTCGGGGTTTGCAATGTATGGGCGACCAAAAGCAACAACCACGTCATGCTTTGCATAAGTAGTGTCGACTGCGGTCTTAGCAGTATCTCCATTATAGTTACCGGCAACTAAAACAGGGCTGCTATTGCCATATGCCTCCAACAGCCAATTCAGATCCCCGTCGTTTTTGTCCTTAGCATCAGACTCACAAACGTGAAGATAAGACAGGTTGAACTGAGCCAGTTTCCGAACGAGATCCGAAAATTGTGGGGTGGGATCTTCCATGCGCATTCCTTGATATCTGCTCCATGGACTTAGGCGGATTGCAGTACGCTGATTGCCAATCTCGGCAGCAACCGCGCGGGTGACCTCAACAGCGAACCTCGATCGATTGGCAACGTTTCCGCCCCATTTGTCCGTTCGGGTATTCGAAACGTCCTGAAGGAATTGATCGACAAGATATCCATTGGCTCCATGGATTTCTACCCCGTCAAATCCAGCACTGATCGCATTTTTTGCTGCATTTCGGAAGTCTGCGATAGAATCGTGGATCTCGCTCTCGGTCATGGAGCGAGGCTGATGGATCTCATCACTGAACGTACTTTTCATCGGACTGTCGCTAGCCGAAAGAAGTGGATGCCCTCCTTGGTTCAAGAAGGCAGGATTTGCGGCACGGCCCAAAGCCCAGAGTTGGAGATAAATGTAAGACCCCTTGCTGTGTACCGAATCTGTAACTTCTTTCCAGGCAGCTACTTGGTTGTCACTGTAGATTCCAGGAACGTTGGGATATCCTCCATGTCGAGGACTGATTACAGTGGCCTCAGTGACAATAAGGGACCCTGGAACACTTGCACGTTGCCCATAGTACGCTTTCACAGAGGGCAGAGGAAGATGTGACTGATCAGCGCGAAGGCGGGTCATGGGGGCCATGGCAATTCGCTGATTGAGGGTTTTACTCCCAATCTGAAGGGGTTTAAATAGCTTCGACATTTTGGTGACGATAGGGGGTATAGAAACGAAGCGGTTCTAGTTGAAATGAGATGAATGGTTCAACTATTTATACTTGACGAGGTATCCTTTCCGACCATCTTATTGCTTTCTGCATCGCCCGCAAGACGAGAATTTCTCCATGGATTCATAATACAAGGCTTTCCAGCGCGATATGATTTGTCAACCTTGCCCCCGTGTGTGATAGTATGAAGCCGAGCCAAAACGGGACACACTACTCCGTACCACGTGCCTGATTGCCGAGGAAGATGGGCCCTACTTAGCATAGCCTCTGCTTAATAATAGCTTACAACACATCACCCGCCCGACTACGGTCTATTCCGAATAGTTATGATGCAGTTTAATAACTCAGGGTTGTTAAATTCCTAGTATGTCAGAAGATCGGGGCTTCGTGCTCACGACAGGCCGAAGACCCGCAAACGTCCCCACATTCCAGCGGGTCCGGGGCAGTCTGTACCGGTGCTCTGATTGGCTGAAGCTCCCAGGGTGTGGGGGGCTGATTACCAAGGGCCCCACATGCTCACAACCTCCAGAAGCATACGTTGTGATATCATCACTCATCCAGGTCAACTTATTTATTCCACCCGCCGGGATGCATTCCGAGTCACCCGCTCACCTTCTTGTATCACCTCTGAATCACCCACGATATAGAGAAAGAAAGCAGTGTTACTTCGTTTCGGCTCCAAACTTTATTTCCCCCCGATCGCTCAAGTTAGTATGGCTATCACGATTGGCGTCGCGGGCATTACGGGCAAGTTCGCCCGTCTGATTGTTAAAAGCCTTTTCAATTCCCCAGATGTTCAGATTCGAGGCCTTTGCCGCAACGCTTCCAAGCTACCTGAGAGTTTCCGAGATTTTCCCCGGGTTACCATCATCCAAGGGGATTCAACTGATTTAGACACTCTGCGCCGCTTTACACGCGGTTGTGATGTGGTCATCTGCTGCTATCTGGGTGATAATGATTTCATGACCAATGGCCAAAAGCTTCTTGTCGATGCCTGCGACCTGGAGAACGTCAGTCGCTACATTGCAAGTGATTACTGTCTGGACTTCACGAAGCTAGAGCTCGGCCAGCATCCGGCGAAAGACCCCATGAAGCTCGTGAAGGCACACTTGGAAACAAAGAATAATGTTCAGGGCGTGCATGTTCTTATTGGCGCGTTCATGGAGACTTTCTGGAGTGGTTATTTCGGCGTCTGGGATCCAGAGACATGCAAACTCAATTACTATGGTGATGGGGATGAGTTGTGGGAGGCAACTACATATGAAACTGCGGCTCAGTATGTAGCAGCGGTAGCAAAGGACCAAAACGCTGTCGGCATGCAGCACTGTGAGAAAAACAACCCCGTGTACCTGATTCATAGACATGAAAAAGAAGACTAACCAGATCTCTACTATAGTCCTCGGCGATCGCCGAACCATCCGTGACATTGCCCAAGACTTTGCCGATGTCTACGGGAAGAAACCTCAGCTCGAGCGCCTTGGTTCTCTGGATGATCTCTACAGCAAAATGCAGACGGTTTACCAGAAGAATCCATCGAATATCTACGCCTATATTGCTATGTAAGTGTTTCCTTCAGGAGATTTCATCTCCTCATTTTTTGACTCCTGCCCCAGGTTCTACCAGTATTACTGCACCAACGGTCAGACCTATCTGAAAAAGGAATTGGATAACTCTAGATATCCAGAAATTAGTCCGGTTACCTTCAAAGGGTTCCTTAACGCACATAAGATGAGAGATCTTGCCGATGCTTATCAAAATGCAGGATCTGATGTCTAGACACCAAACAGAATCATTCATGAGAAAAGAATCTCTGGTTCTCTCAACAAAGGATAGTGGGATAAAAGGCACAATTTTATGTCACTACCAAAATGCTTTCATAGTCCTGGTACAATATTACGAGAAGTCACCTGTTACATTGCAAGACACTTGGCACGCCTAGACTCCAGAGATCAAAAGACGACCAAGCTTCAGTTTCTTCCTAATAGTCCGTTGTTCATTTCATAATAATCATATAAAGGTAGATGGAAGGCCACTAAATCTGTGGAGACTCGACAAAATGGATGTCTAAGGATGCTATCCAGAATCCTACTTCCGCACAAATTCTCCATCTGTGTCTGTCCCATGGTAAAGGCTATATACAAGCTCTATCTTGGCACTTCGCCCTACGGTTCCACAGAGCCAATCTGCAAAGGCTCACTATTCATGGGAATCCAAAAGTATTCTTGGTACTAAAATTGCCACACACTGTCAGATAAGCTACGAACCATCCTGGATTCGACCCCTGCATTCCATGGGGTCACCCTCTTCCTGCATAGAAAGGCCTTCTCAAGCCATAGTACCAACAATCACTGCGCGGCGCCACACAGGACAAAGTTCCACGTGCCCGACTAGTTTCGATCGATTGGAAGACTCAGTGCCGTGCAAAACAACACAACAGCCCGGTTTTACCCAGGAACCACAACGCGCCAAGGAAGCGGAAAACCGATAGGGCTGAGGTGGTCAGGAGGATGATCTTGAAGTACCAGGCTGTGCGAATGGTTGATGTGCTCTGTTTAGATGGTCAGCACTATATCTGGGTGACGAGGATAAATCCCGCACGCGAGAAAAGCCGAAGACAGGAAATAAACAAAGGAAGGGAAGAACATACGGTCAGACACAAGTTCGTGACCGAGGCATTATTAATCAGCAGCACCAACAACGCATTAGACAGCGACCACAGTAGCACCAAATTGGTGCGAAAGGTCTTGTAGGAGTCGCTCAGCTCCGTCTTCCCATGCTCGACCGGCGGCTGGTAGGGCGTGAGCGCGCGCTTGACAGTCAATTCAAATTCGGTGTCGATATCCGCCTGCGGCTTGTCGGCCTCGACGACAAAGTTCGTGGCCGAGGATGGATCATCGGCGGTGGCGGAGGAGTGGTGCGTCTGCGCTGATGGGAGAGCGGACGACTGATCGGAGCCCTTGGTGCCCCATGACACGTCGTGCCAGTTGCAGAATGCATACACCATGAGCACGTTGATCGACGAGGGCATGCCGAGAAAGTAGGCCCACGACGAGGTGATCATGTGCCACGGATCCGCATACAGAATACTGGCCAGCACGTAGATGCCGTACGTCGAAACCAGCGCGATCAGCACCAGCCCGCTGGTCGATGTGAAGAACGAGGACAGGAAGCCCCCCGCGCCGTGGTCGACGTCGATGTCCAGGCTGCCTCCGGCGAAGGCCTGAGCCACGAGATAGAAGGAGAGAACTAGGATGTATACTTGCACGATGGCAAAGTATACCAGGGCTAAGAGGTATGCCATTTTCGATCTAGCCGAGAAACAGATCACTCTGGGTCAGTTGACATTGACGCGAAGAAATGCGGTTCAGCTCGCTTACTCACCCTTTCGGTCGATTGCCAAGGGCTAGCACGTATTGCTGGATCAAGAACATCACGTACGTCGCCTTGATCACATTGTTGACGATCGGGGTTACCTCGTTTCCAAACGGCCAACCGCGGTTCTTGTTGGTCGAACTGGGGACCCCAACAATGTCCATGATGACCGAGGTCGTTAGCCAGTACGATGCTTGAAATAGTCAGCGTTGGCTTCCCAGTCTCTCGAGTTTCTGGCGAGACTGACCGAGAGAGAACCAGGTCATGACGAGCTGGCAGAGATTATACAGGAGCTGGACATGCAACCAAGCCAACCGCAGGGCGTTGTGGCTACTCTTGTAGATGCGAGTGAAATGCATGATCGAGTATAGGCCGGCCGCGAAGGATCCATTGAGCCACCGTCGTCGCTGGCTCAGAAACTCGGCCGGTGCTGTTTTTATGATGCATTAGTTCTGATCTTGCAGCATCGATCACCGTCGGGGAAATGACAATCTACCTTCGGGTACGTCTGTCTCGCCTTTGGAAGCCTTCACATAGGTGAGGTGCCAGTTGAACCCAGCCTTGGCCACGAGTTCAAAGCAAAGGATGCGGTCCTCGGCAAGGAACATATTCTTTTTGAAGATATTCATCCCCTCAATCCCTTTGGGGCCTAGCTTGGCAGATAATGTATGGTCACCGTGAAAGTATTGCTCTAAGGGTCGGCCCATGATTGCCCGGTAGCGATACGCCGAGAACGCCCCCGGGAGAACACTTACATACCCGAAGACGCTCTCCAGCGGTTTGTCCAGAATATTCGAGATCTTATATTCGAAGTTCTGGGCGGCTACCAGCGGGTTTAACAGCTTTTCCCATTGTTGGCCCAGGAGGGCATGAATTTCGCCGCAGGCACCGCCTAAATTGCGATCATTGTAGAATGCTTCCCACAACGCAAGCAAGGACTTATGGCCCGGCTTGGTGCCCGCATCGATGAGAATACACACCTCCGGGTTCAAGATCCGGCCGAACGCATTGAACAACCAGCGATGCGAGTTAATCTTCTTGCTATTCTGCTGTTTCAGACAGAAGATCATCTGGACCGGGGGGAGGTTATGGGCCTGGTCGTCGTCGATGCGCGGCCGGACGAGCTCTTGCGCTGGGGTGACGGACAGCTGCGTGGTATACTCAAACTGCAAGAGCGTCAGCTTGTCGCACGTACAGATCATGCAGGGTGAGAACTCGGGGGCAGAACAAACAATATGGGCGACGGTCTCCCTACCATCAACATCTCGTTTCATGATCCCGTCTTGGTAAATGCCAATGGTGGCCAAGACGTCCAAAGTATCCTTATCACAGGCGCCGACTCCATCGAATACAAGGCAGACCACGATCTTCTGCCACGCGGGGCCTCCTTTGTTCCAGAACTGGCTCTTCTTCAGGTTGACAATATCACGGATGTTCTGCATCACTCCGTGGAGTGTTCGCGCGGTGAGGACCTTGTCCTCATTGTAGTATGTGATGGCGATCAATAGCTCTGTGTGCCGGTTATACATCGCTGGGCGGAGATTGTAGCCGTTGCGGAGGGTGAATTCGTCGGGGTCGCATGTCGCTGCCGTATCTAGTTTGATACGTCAATATTGCTCCATATCGATAGCCTTGTTCCCTCTGCTGGTATGAATAGTGTCCCTACAGGGCTTACATCGTAAGTGAGTGAACTCCTCGGGTGAGATACTGGCATCATTGGAATACTGCGGCTCGACTGCATTTTGAATCGCACTTGGAACGGGGTAGTCGACGCTCAGCACCGTCCCTTTGACCAGGTTGATCTTGCGCGTTGGATATCGGCGCAGTCGACTCGCCCCGATTGTTTGGCGCTGCTGCCATCCGGACGAGGAAGAGGTCTCCTGTACATTGCTCGGCGATGGCGAGACAGGCGGAGCCGGGGTGTTCTCTCGGCTCGGTTCGTCTGTGTCATTCACAAAGGGGTTTCCACTGACGTCGTCTGTGTATTGCTCGACCATACTATAACCGCCGGGATGTATCGTGGACGAAGTGCTGGCCGCCAAGTTGTAGGATGGGGGGTAGTCGGATTCCGCGGAAGTGGCCAGCTCATGGTCTCCGTGGACTTGAGAATCGCGCTCGTCCGCGGAGTAGGTACTGGATGGGCCAGCTCTTCCTGATCCCGGATAGAGGGTGAGTGGATAGCTGTGCTCCGGGGAGTGGTCCATGATCTCTTCAGCAACTTGCAATCCCAGGAACGGGGGTATGAACAAATAGCGGATTGAGTGAGAAATTCGATGGAGAGCAATGAGACTGAGAAACAGGTTAATCGAGACTATACTCGATCCCGAAGACTCAGCTGTGCCCGGAACCCAGGTATGTACCTTCTGATCAGCATCCTCCTTTCCTGGACCCTCTCACAAAGTATGGAATCATGATTGAAGGTTAGCGATTGGTTTGATGATCCACCGGGTCCGAGGCAGTAAGTACTACCAGTATTCATTGGTGAAGCGGGCCCCCTCCCTTATGCCGAACCAATTAAGTCCTGTCTCGAACTAGGTTTGCCGGGCACCCGCTCTTGGGCCGGGGCGATAAAAGCATAAGTGTGTTTATGGATGTCCATATCCAAGCTCGGCGCTTAACTCTCGTTGACTCTGCTCAACTTATCTGAAACTCACCCCGAAGAGTATGCCTCGGGTTTCTCGCCACCGGTGCAAAACCGCGTAAAATTAGGCATGCCAAGACCAATTGCTCTCGCCCACTCTTATGCTCCGGGCGCACATATCGAGCGTGGTAAAGATCAGACTCGATAAAACCCCGATAGCTCGTGTTGGTGGCTTTGTTCCGTGTTCACTAAGTCGAACTTGCTCTCAGCCTGCCGCCATCTTATTTCCTGATCAAGAGCAACTGCTGTGGTGGATTCATTCTTCATGGCCTATCTTCTGCGTCACATTCTACCGGCCCCCCCAATGACGCTCAATCTTGAACTGGAGAAGAGCAAGCCATTCTATACGAACCATGATCATATTACGGGCCACGTGATTCTAGAGCCCCAGGCTTCCATCAATCTCTCCCAGATCACAGTCACTTTGTCAGGACACTCGATCTGTAGAATAGAGGCCTCCGGCCGTAGCGAGTCGCTTCAGGTGAGTTGCAGCAATATGTTGCAATCCTAAGCAGCATACTAACCCATCCCAGCTTTTCAAAGAGACACGGCAAGTGTTCCATCGATATGGGGAGTTCAGTGCCGGCTCTAAGTCATTGACCTTGGGATCCAAGCGCTACGCCTTTCCCTTCCACGTCTCGGTATTATTCCGCTCAGCCCTTCTCTTTGGAAGATGTGCACCAGCTGACTGGCTTCCTAGTTCCCTCATGATCCCGAATACCACAGAGGGCACCCAAGCAATTCTTGGGAGAGCAAGTCCCAGACAGAGCCACCTGCCACCAGCAGAATGGGACAACTTCCACCCTCGACTGGGAATCCATCCAGCAGCACGGAGGTAGTCTATACGCTCAACGCAAGCGTTGTAGTGGGCAATGTGTTCAAACAATCTATTCAGCAGGTTCGCCACAACAGACCACAACCAAGCAAGAGCATGACCCGGTAACAGTCTCAACAGTCTCGCCGAGTCTTCTACAGTCCGACAATCAGTCCCCAGCCACCTCCATCAGCCATGGCCTTACGCCGTGCAGTGGTCTTTCCCTGCACTGGCGCATCAATCCCCGACACCGCCTACCTGGTTACCATCGAACTGAGTCAAGGAGCAACTCTGAGCCTAGGCCAAAGCCTTCCGATCAGCATACAAGTCACCCGGGCCGGTCCCGCAGACCACAATCTTGTTCTCAACGATTACCAAGCAATGCTGATCGAAGAAACTGTCACACGAGTGAGGGATCTGACCCAAATGCAGCGCATTTCTCGGATTCTGCGAACGGTGAGTAATCTACATCAGACAATATTCCTCGCCGACACACCGGCTGGGAGCACAGTGTGTGTGTCAGACAGTTTATGGGGTGGTCAATCTCTGTCGGCGACCATCGTTCCGAGCTTCGAGACGTCTCGGATTCACCGCAGGTATAAGCTGGAGATACGATTGGGGTTTAATAGTGGTCCGGAAAAGGTAGGCCCGCCCCAATCCTCCTCGGGGTTGTGTGTCTATGCTGGGGGGTCTACAGGTGGCCATGCTCATCTAACGCTTGCTCAGGTACACACACGCATCCTGGAAATCGAGTTTTCTGTTTCGGTCGTGGCGATAGCCTCCGCGTCGCTTCCTCCCACCAGTCCGCCGGTCAGAGCAAGGCGGGAGGAGTCCTTACCCGAGGGTGTACATTGGAAGAATATGAAGCAATGAGAGCGATTGTTACAGCCAGGTAGTGGGATCTTTTCAGTGATCAAGCATGGTCGGCTATCTCTCAACCCTTTCTACCATACTCTGCCCTTCTCCTCGGAAGCAAGAGGTGCAACATCTGCATTTGTAGAGACCCCCTAACTCACTTGTAGGCCACCAGCATCAAAATCGCATCCATGAGATTTATATGTCGAGCCCTTAGTGGCAGGGTCTCAGAGCATATGTTAGAGCCCTCTGCACCGAGAAGGAGGCAGCCCCTGGAAAAGCTATTAACTTCCGAGCGAACTTCCTCCAGGACCCAAGCCAATAGAACAAGCAGATAAATTGAAATGTAATCCTACGAGCTGGTCCATGTGGAGCCAGCTCTCCCGGCGCTTTCGTTCAACCGGGACCCGCGGGTTCCAGCTCCAATTTAGACAGCGTCAAACCCATAAGCGAAGGTTCCGGACCCTCCAGTTCATGAATAGGGGCAAACAAAAATTGCTGGGACAAATGAGAGGCTCAGCCGTCTATTTTTGGTCGGTATAAGGCTCCGCCAAGCCCGCACGCGGTGGCGCTGCCTATTGCGGGGCGGAACATCGGTCGGCGGAACCCTAACTGCAGGGTCAATATTAAAAGGCCGGCCGCGAGGGTCGGATGCATATATTGTTGTTCCGTACAGCTAGGTAGTTTGCTCAATGCACACGTACATTCTTTTCTGTCTAGCTAATTCATAAACTAGAGGTCGTGTTTTCGCTCCTTCGGAATCTATCCCATGCCTCTGCACGGTCACTCGCTTGTCCAACTCCGAACATTCTTTCGATTGACCACATTATGCGGACCAGCTTGAAGGTCTTCCTCCTCACGCTGGCCGCGGTACCAGGATGGGCAACCACCGCCAGCCCGCCGTCCTGCAGCGTCACCCAGCTCTGCCCGAAGGAATACCCTTGCTGCATCGGCGGCACCTGCGGCACAGGCACCTACTGCCTAGGCGGCTGCGAGCCGCTCCTCTCGTACTCGCTGGACGCCTGCACGCCCAAACCCGTCGGTCACAACCAGACCTACACCTGGCCGGACCTCAACCGCACTATCGCCAACGGCAAGTACCTCGGCAACGCGTCCGCCGCAGACTGGGAGTTCAGCGGCACGCCCAAACTCTCCGACGGCCACGTCATCCTGACCATGCCCAAGAACACAGGCGGCAGTCTGCTCTCCAGCACACAGTACACCTGGTACGGGAAGGTGGCGGCAGACATCAAGACCAGCCGGGGGGCAGGGGTCGTGACTGCGTTCATCCTGATGTCGGACGTAAAAGACGAGATCGATTTCGAGTGGGTGGGCTCCAATTTGAGGGAGGTGCAGACGAACTTCTATTTCCAGGGCGTGACCAACTGTATTTCCCCTTCCCTTTTCTTCCCTTCCACTTACAACAGAGTACCGATACTGACCCTGAAAAGACACAAACGGCGCCAAAGCCCCCCTCCAAGCCGGAAACAGCTACGAAACATGGCACCACTACGAAATCGACTGGACGCCGTTCGCCATCCACTGGTCCGTCGACGGCACGGTGATCCGCACCCTGCTCAAATCGTCAACCTGGAACGCAACCGCAAACCGCTATCAGTACCCGCAGACGCCCTCCCGACTCCAACTCTCCCTGTGGCCCGGTGGCCGCGCCGGCGCAGCCCAGGGAACCATCGACTGGGCCGGCGGGAATATCGACTGGGATTCGACCGACATCCGGGAGCAAGGGTACTACGCCGCGGAGTTTGCGAATATCACGGTGCAGAGCTATGCGCCGCCGGAGGATTCCGGGTCCGGCAGCCGGTCGTATGTGTATGTTGATCGGGCGGGGCTGGAGGGTTCGGTGAGGATCACGGATAATGGGACTGTTTTGGCGGACTTGGGGAGGACGGGGTTGGATACCGGGATTGATGAGGGTTCAGCGTCCGCGGGGCACGGGGGTAAGGGAGGTAGTGCTTCAGGGACGGCGGCCGCGGTGCAGGGGACTGGGACTGGGACGGGGTTCGCGCAGAAGGTGGCTAGCAATTTGGCTGCGCCGGGGACGGAGGGCTCGTGGAGGGGGCTGGGGCTTGTTGTGCTTCTTGGTGTGCTTGTGCTTGGGTGAGGTCCATGGAGATGTGAATGTTTCTGTGGTTCTTTTATATACACCAGGAGGACTGGGTTGTCAACGGGGGTGTGGACGATACTACGGCTTTGAGTGCATGTATATAAGATGATGGGCGAAGATGTATTGGCCTTCCCTTTTCTTGTCTCTAAAAATGGATACTACCGAACAAGATTCCTAAGATTGAGATCAGAACGGAGGCCCAAGTGGTAGAAAACTGCCTTCGACGGTCAGGCAGCAGCCGGCTTTTTCTGGTGGTCGACGAGACGTCAGACAGCCATACTGGTGGAAAGAATGGTCTCGGGGCTGATAGTCGAGTCCAGCTTACGTTCAGGCAAGTCAGATCTCTAGAGAACACACCTGAGTAGAAGAATGTCTAGAGTGTGGGAGGTATGTAATGTACTAAATTTACTAAGCTACTAAGCTATTAGTATGTATCAATTGCAGGAAGAGGAGCAGACTAATCAATTCTGAGGCAACTCACTATACTAAGCGCTAGTGCTAACTGCGAAGCACGTACAGTACATACACTAGTGCTGAGCACGACGAGGGCCGGGAGTGACGTGGAACGGAATTTGCTGCCTCTACTTTTAATGATCTCTGCCAAACGTGTACGATCGCCTAAGACGTCAAGAAAGATCAATATTCTCGGACTCTGCATATTGTCTTCAGTATCGGCGAAAAGACGTACGATTGCATGGAGATTTGTCTTCTTTTGGATTGCGACTTTCTGCAGGATCTTAGATATGTTGACGTCACAGTCACTAACGGCCGAGGCTCTTGACGAGCCCTTGGTCTGCCTGCTGAAGAGCTTCGGTTGACTTAAACTTCCCCTGGCCCACTGCGGCCCAAGGAGCGATGGCCATCTGCTGGTCGCGACGCATCTGACTAATATCGCCCTCTAAGTCAAGAAAACCAGCATTCCACTTGCCCTGGTAGACTGAGAACGGGCACATACCGTTTGCCCGAGCGTATTCGTTTGCTTTGACAACAATCCAGGCAGGGGTGTCGAAGACGCCAGGTAGAGGACTTTTCCAGCAGTAATCAAAGAATTGAGGCCTTGCATGACCTCCTCAACAGACATCGTAAAGTCCCACCAGTGGACGTATGCATAATCGAGCCAGGATCTAACGGTGGGTCCAGTTGAACGAACCAACTCAAAGGCCATCGTAACTGGTTAGGGCGAACTTGCGATTGGCATTGCTCCGCGACCGACAGAGCACGCGCGGTTGCATTGGCAACAGAATATCTGGCGAGCATGATGGAAAGACACTTGCGGATGTCCGAGACGAGTGAGCTTGTGGGGGATCAACTTCGTTGGCGGGTTCCGGTCGAGGTCGATGGAAGCGCGGAAAGTGTCGAGTTCTGCGTTGAATTATCGGAAGAGAGGTGGCAAATAGACCCCATCTCTGTCACCCCCATGTTATCCCGCTGGATAACAACCACGTGGCATTGGTCGGGTTATGGTGTTGTAGCGTTGCGATATTGCAAGATGCTTGTTCTTGTCCGATCTTCTGCACCTAATATGAAAAGATATATAGCGGCTACTGCACTCTGCACAAACAAATTCTGCCAGCAGAATAGCTAGCAGGACAATCAAGCCTACGTACAAACCTCAATAACCTTCAGAGAAAACGAGAAACAACAGGTGCTCTCTACTTAAGATCCCTGACAACAGTACTTTCGACCCCTAGATATCCTAATCGTGAGGGAAACTGTTTTTGCAGAGTGGCCGCTAACTTGTATCCTTCCGTAGCACCTACGATAAGATACTACTGGTCGCTGCGGCGCCCCACCACCTGCGGTGCAGGGTCACCTCCACCTCACGAATAAATTTTTAACGCAATGAAGAATCAGCCAATTCCATCCATTCTCCCACCAAAACGATGGCCGATGATTATAAATTGAAGAGGCACGTTATATGGCCGTTGCCCTATCAGTCCATCAAAAAATTGAAGCCGGAGAAAGGGTCAAAATCGCCGAAATCGCAAGGAACCAGGAGTTGAACTATCAACGCCTCCGAAACAGTGTCATGGGAGAAGCCTCACGTTCAACCCGGAAACGCGTCGGTTTACGTCTCAGTGACGCGCGGTATGAGGTCCTTTTTGAGTATATCGACTTCGGTGCCGACTGCGGGCCGCCGCCGGAGCATCTGTACAAAATGGAGAGGTTTGAGCGGTGGTTTGTCGGGTACCAGAAGGAGTGTTTGGGGTACGGGCGCGAGGAGTGGAGGGATGTGGCGCCTTTGTATTAGTGGCATTTTATCACGATGGGAGACCGAAAGAAAAAACGAAGGAGTACAAAGTAGAAGCACAGAGAATGAGAGGCTTGAATTTATATGGTCTTACAGAATGGAGAAGATCTCAATGGGGAAAGGATGTATTGCATTTCCTAGCTTAACGAAAAAAAAAAAGGGAAAGGGCACCTTTCAGACCTCCTCGACGCCCACCAAGTCAGACCGACCGAAGTCAAGACGTCACGACAAGGTAAAGATCATCACCACTCCCTGGACCAAAGCGCCCGTCCAGATGGCGGGAATCAGTCTGACGAACAGAAGATTCCCAGCCACCGGCGCAGACACGGTCGAGTCGGGAGTAAAACGGCTTCACTTTAGGGCATCGAGGACATAGAAGTCATCAGCAAGGGTGAGGATTCTGTGGCTCTTTAGAAGAGCTCAGAGGTGGGACGTCTACTCTAAAGTGATTCTTTGAACTGTATGCGAGAAAGCGGTTAGTGTGACTGTTCATCATGGAGGTGGTCTGGTGGTTCGGGTTGGAATCCACCAAGGTAGGGGGGGGGATCACTCACGTAGAGTCGCTTGGATTTCATAAGAGGATCGGGGGACGGGCGGGTTATATACCTGCTCGAATTTTTCGCGGTCGCGCTAGTGGTTAAGCGAGCCAGAAGCAGGCGGCAATATGCGTTACAGTACCGGACTGTAATCAATTCGCCCCTTTGCGGAGACTGCGGGTCAGTATCGTCACATACTGTAAATGAGTAAAGACCCCTGCCCGTGAATTTGAAGGAGGGGATGACTAAGGCACCCTCCGTGGCCACGAATTTCACAATTCTCCGCGCTCCACTGGTGGAAGCAATAAGTAGATCTGGCTGTAATCTACTGTGTTGTATACATACAGAATATGTAGAAGAAACATTGCTTACGGTGCAGACTGTATCTATGTTACAGGTCTTTTATAAGACACTATTCGGATGTGGCTGCATATCAACTTTGGGGAATCGTGGAATTGGTGGCCACGGACGGTAGGAGTTTGGAGCTGGGTGGTGGGATCTTTCGCACATCCATGATGCAATTAAAGACCCCGTGGACCGCACCTCGGGCCCAGTGGATACACATCTTGAAGGATGGAATTGCGACTGACAAGTAGACAGAATCTCAATCCAAGTAACTATAGGAAAAGTCACTCATACCAGTCGCCGCTGGAACTGGATCAAATCTCAACGTCTGTCACACCCACCCTGTTACTCAGCCCTTCGGAACATCTACAATTTTCAATTCCGAAACAGATAAGAAGAATTAAGGACTATTTCAAGAAAACCAACCGAGTAAGACACCAATGGAACATCATGTCATATACTCATTATGTACGGGTATGAAGAAACTCCTATCTTCTTAGGGCCCAGACACGACCTAGCGAAACGACCAGCCTATCCACTCCCACAGCTTTCACTCGCCGGCAACGCATACGAATCCAGTATATGCGGGTTCGCACGGAACTGCGGGCTAGAGACGATCTCCTTGACTGGCGACACGTCGCGCTCCCGGATAGATGACCCTCCCCGATCCGCGTCTTCGGATGATGCCTCGAAATTCCGGGCCATAAATCCCATCAAGCTCTGCAGCCCAGCCACCTGATCCTCCTCGGGCGCGTCATGCAAGGCGCGCAGCCCCTCCGCAAACACGGACGGCATGTAGTACAGCACCACCGCGGGCCGACCGTTGTCGGCGTCATCGTCGCAGCCGTCGACGTTGAGTCCGCGCACGAGAGCGTCGCGGGTTGCATGGGACAGACCATGAAACGCCTGCTGAAACCGCTCCGCGGTCCGCCGATCCGCGACGCGGCCCATGGCAAAGAGGCGAAGCAGCGCCCGGTCGGAGGGGGAGGTCTCGACCGACAGATCCCGGAAGCCCTGATCCGCCAGAATTCGGCCGCGGTTGTGCAGAACCTCATCGTATGCATCCCGCAGGGAAGTGCGGCCCGCGATCACCCGCTCGAGAATGGGGAAGGCCTGCAGGAAGGACTGACATACCGGCTCCGTCATGCTGGTGGCACCGCCCGCGTCCAGGTGCGCAGCAGCACCGGCCACGTCAAACATGATCTCCATGTATTTGAGAAGAAAGGCTGAGGGGTGGCCTTGGAACCGAAGAATCCGCTGCAGGCTTCCGGGGACGTTTTCCCCTTGCATCAGCTGGGGGATATTCAGCGTGGCTCCGACGTGAATTCCCAGGATCACATCCTCGCGGCGGGCTGGGGACAGGAGCTGCAGTGGTCCGTCGAGTAGACCCAGGCCTACGGCGTCGGCGAGAAGCTCGTCGTGGTTGCCCGTGTTCGTGTTGGTGTCCCTGGTGGCCTTGGGTAATGGTGATGGTGAGGATGATGGCATTGATGCGCGGCGGGCGGCAATATCGCCGGCCAGCTGAGGATCTTTGCCAATGTCACCCACCAATAGCGCCACGATCAAAGCCATCAACTGCTCAGCATCGGTGAGAATGGGGTCTGCACGGAAACGAAACCGCCGAAAAGTTCCGACCGAGAGACGGACTGCGGGGGACTGGTGGGCCGTGAATACATCATACTGATCGGCCATCAACCACTTGACTGAGAGAATGTTGGTGATAGTCCGGTTAATTTCACAGAAATCCTCGCCGAACAGAAGGCGGGATGGTGTTAGTAGCGCCAGGTCACGCCCTTTCTTCACCATTATGGTGCCAGCCGGGACTGTCCCATCCTCCCCTTCTCCCTGGCGCCGCGGAACGCGCTTCAACCGCTCCACTTCAGGGGCAAATTCCTGGTGCAGTAGCCGCACTAGAGCCTCATCACCCAGAGAACTTAACTCGCCGTGCTGTACGATACCTGTCAAAGACGACGATTGCAGGCTTGTCATCGTGCGTAACCCCCAGCCCTTGAGATGCATCAACTTGGGGAAAATCATCTAGACGCATCGCGTAACAGAAAAAAATATGAAAAACGAAGAAAGAACATACACAAAGACGAATGAAGACTTAATAAAGAGGATTAGCTGGTAGGTACGGAGAGTAGCCCAAGGCCAGCCTCATGGCGGGGAATGCGCGCCGTGAGAGATCAGCCTTGTCAAATTAGTTAACTAACTTAAGGTGCAGTGCTATGACGAATTGCAATCAACTTGGGACTAGCCTGCTGACTCAGACAAATGCCCAACTAATAGTCAATTAAATACCTGGATTAGTTAGTTAGTTAGGCCACCCACTAATCAGTCAGCGGGCGGGCTATCTGGACCTATCGCTCATCGGTAGCACCGAATCTCTTAAGTAATACACGCGCAAACCTCGTATTCTATACTAGAATTGCACCTTAGCCCATTTCGTTGAAATTTCACGTAGTCTAATGCATCATATCTGCCCTTCTGCCAGAGAGGTGCACACACCCGGCCGAGGGCGTTAGCCTCCGTCAACCATATACAACCTGCCTGCGCCCCCCACCCACCCCCTCAAAAAAATTAAACAGAAATGGGTATAAATATAAAGGCACAGTGGTAGGAAGTGAATGAGCCCTGTCCCTAAAACAACATCGACCGCACCGGCCGCCATCTACTCTACAATGGGAATAGCCCTGGCGCGCACTTCCTTCGACTGCTGCCCCTGGGCGACGACCGCCTTCATCAGCCGGTCCTTACAACCGACCGCGTCCCACTCGATATTTTTGACGTTTTGGAGGGCCTCGGCCAACCATTGATCCCACGCCTCCGTCAGGGGAGCCACATCCCCGCGCCGTACCCACCTCGTGTCCCCAGCATGGTGAATCGCAAGCCACAGGGCCTGCGTGAAGTTCTTGACGGGAAAATGATCCAGCGGGACCTCGCACACGTCGTAGCGTGTCAGGTCCCAGATGTCGCGCGGCTCAACGAGCAGAGCCAGCAGCCAGTACAGGACGTTGAGGATGACGTAGGCGCTGCCGACGGCGATCTGCATCTTCCAGCCGCAGTTGCTGAAGAGGATGACGGCGGCCATGAGCAGCAGGGTGCTGGAGGCCAGGAGCATGCGGTGGCGGAAGCCGGAGAAGCGGTACTGGCAGTCGTCCATGCCCGTGTACAGCTCGCGGCAGACATCCTCGTCGGCGCAGTGGACAATTACAAACGCCCCCGCCCGCGTCACGAGGGCCACATCCGCGGGCGGCACTTCGTTGCGGGCCGTGCGCAGCGACACCCGCGGCGACCATTGCGCCGACAGCGTCGCCGCACTCGTCGAGCAGCACATGGCTGTCAGAGCCACTAGGGCCACTCCGTCCCCGAGGACCCCACCCGCTATCAACAGCCCCGCGGAAATCACGACGGACAAGAAGGTCACCACATTCAGCCATGAAAGCGATCGGATCTTGATGGGACGGAGAGGGGGGGTTTCCTGGCCTTCGAGCCGAACATGACCGTGATCCTTATCGTTATGAGTGACTCGAGGGTCCCGGTGTCCGATGCAATACACTTTGACCGTAAACGGTGGCAGACTGGTGACATCGTCGTGCAATAAATTGGTGAAGTAGTTGAGCTCCGTCACAAAGTTTCCGGACTGAATCCCAATCACTTTGACGTCCTTGACTGCCGGTAGTCGGTGCGCGCGGTCGGTGCGCAGGAGAGTTTCGGGTGCGGGAAGCAGCCGCGGAATCGGGCTGAACGGAGAGGCGGTGATTGCTGGGAGATGCTTGTCCGTCGCTGACCCGCCAATCACTGCCAGTAATCCGACAATATCGAAGGACCAGCCGTCGGAGTCGGAGTCGAGGTTCGTGGGAAACCAGCCCATTCTGGGGGAATAAATGTGGTGCTTTGATTGAAAACGGAGATCGGGAGGGAGGTCGGGGATTCAGACGGTAGAACTGGATGGAAGGAAAGGTGGGGGGAGGAGGAGAAGCCAGCACTATATAAGGGCAAGTTTCGATCCCACCTCGCAGGGGTCTACAAACCTCCCCTCCAACTGTACAGTACAGTGCTAACCAAGTCAAGAAAAAGATACCATGCAGCGTGGACGACTAGTAGCCGCCGTCCATCGGCTAGCAGGGATCATAGATCACAGCGCACCTCCCAGTATTGAGGCGGCCAGTCGACTGGCCCTTCCCCCTCCTCATTGTGCACATCCAATTTCAGTCCTAGCGCGCTCTTCCCAGAAGCTTTGGTTGTATTGGAGAGATGGGAGTTGACAAGGCCATGGTTCGTGACAATTGACTGAATTGCTTTTTTGCTTTTTTGCTTTTTTGGTCTTTTGGTCTTTTGCCTTTGGTCTCTTTCTTTTTCTGCTTGTTTTCGAGGTGACGAGATTGCCCAGCAAGGGAGATATGGGGGCGTCCAGGTCTCGGAGCTCGGATCTAGACAAGCATTAGTGTGGCATACTTTGGTCGAGGGTGCTAAATTCTGGCCAGGGACGAATTGATAGGTGCTTTCTAAAGCGGGTGCTATTTAGGCTAACGCGCATAGGTTAACAGCAGCATTCATACACAATTTTGATTAGACTGCACTCAGCCTGGATCTATACTTGGACATCCTTGAAACTGGTGAGATTGAATGACGGATCGGGTGGTGACAGAAGACCATAAATCACGTGATAGACGGTTAACTACCAAAGCTATGAATAGTTATGCGGAGACACAAGATAGAGAAATTATTTTCAACAACAGACTAAACTATGAAAATATGTGACCCCTTGAGTTACCTGTAAGATGGGCTCTGGCGAACACTATTGCTTTCGAGGATATCTCAAGGCTGTTTCTTCGGGGCCGTCCGGCCCTTGGGCTCCTTGTGGTCGCCGTAGGGAAAGGGCAAAGCATCCTTCTCGACGGGCGCGCTCGTGTAGTACCGGTGCAGCATCAGGCCGCCGGCGATAACAGCGCAGACGGTGTAGATGGTGCGGTTGTTGCGGCCGCCACTTTCGACTCTTTCATCAGCAGAATAGGCAGAGCTTGGTGCGGGACGTACCGAAGAACCGGGGGTGTTCCGCCTGCTGCGAATGCTGCCATTTCTTCTGTAGTCTCCTCTTGCTTATTTTGGGGTGGGTCAGTGGGAAGTTCGTTGCGTAGATGGGGATAGGTTTGACATGGTGTACTCGGTGTCGGAAGAAGGGGAAGGGTGGAGCTGCGTATATATGTCTGGGGCGGGGATCACGCGGTTGACAGTTGCCACTCTCCACTACGTACCACTTACCAGGACACTCGAGGGGAGTCTTTGTGTGAGGTACGAGTCTGACATCATTAGACCTTGGGGATGGGTCTGGACCAGAAATCGGGTGGTGATGTAGCCATGGGTTGGATCCGGGGCGGGTGTGGCATGTGTCCTTGTGTCACTTGGGCCTTGTCAAAACATACAAAAGTACCTTAATGAGTTAAGATGAGTTTGTGAGCAAATTTTACGGCTTCATTTCACCCGGATAAGCGAAATCGATAGATCTCATTCAAGCATGTCGATCACTTGGCCCGACTCGGTCAGATTGACGCTTCCTTTGAAGCCACATTCCAGCCACACCCCCTCTTTAAAATCCACGTCAGCCTGTTTGCTTACTTCTGCTTCCATAATTCTCCCACGACCAAGAAAATAATCATGGGTATTAGCAGTTGGACCGGTGCATGCGTGAGTTGCCCTGAATGATTGTTATCTCTTGTTGCTAACGGGATGAGGATCAGTGCCTGGGTCTTCATCGACTCCTCGGCGCAAACCAGACGTTCTCCGCAGGCACCGCAGCCTACAACGCCTCCCTTGCTTCCTATTTTGCCCAGCAGGAATCGCAACTGTACCCCAGTTGCATCGTGGCCCCGACCACTGTCGATGATGTCTCCACTGCGGTCCAATACCTGACCGCCAATGCCACCTGCGACTTTGCAATCCGATCAGGCGGCCACAACGTAGTCGAGGGGGCGGCTAATATCGCCGACGGGGTGACCATCGATTTGCGCGGCTTCGACTCGATCGAAGTCAGTGATGAGCGGTCCACCGTGACTGTTGGAGTCGGTGCCACCTGGGGTGATGTCTACAAAGCGCTCGACCCGCTCAACCTCACGGTAGCCGGCGGTCGCGTCGGGCAGGTGGGCGTGGGCGGACTGACCACCGGAGGCGGCATCTCCTACTTCTCACCCCGCTACGGCTGGACCTGCGACACAGTCGTCGACTTTGAAATTGTGCTGGCAAATGGATCTGTCGTTCATGCCAATGAACAGGAGAACCCCGAGCTTCGCGTCGCCCTCTGTGGAGGATCGAACAATTTCGGAGTTGTAACGCACATCCAGCTGACAGCCATCGAGCAGGGCCAGATATGGGGCGGGTTGGCCTACTACTCCTTCGACACGGTTGACGAGCAGCTGCAGGCGACGGCTGATTTCAGCGACGCTGACACCTACGACGACTTCGCGTCGTTGATCGTCAGCTTTGGCTTCTCAGGCACACAAGGCGCCGCGCTTGTCAACAGTTTGGTGTACACGAAGCCGGAGGCGAATCCGCCTGCGTTTCAGCCCTTCACTGCGATACCTTCGGCGATCAACACGTTGCGCTTGACTAATATGTCCGATATCTCCACGGAGCAGGGCTCATTCCAGCCGAATGGCGAACGGTGGGTTCTCTTTGCCTTTTCTTGGGGTCGGGACTAATTGAAATGTGCGTCAATAGTCAGCTATGGCTCGTCACGACCTTCTACACCAGTGTCCCCATGCTCAACGCGACCTACCGCCACTGGAACGAAAGTCTGACCGCCGTTCAGGATGTGGTTAATGTAGGATGGTCGTTGTCGCTGGAGCCGTTGCCGCCCGCCATCTATGCCCGACACAGCAGTGCTAACTCGTTGGGGCTATCCGAGACATCCGGCTCCCTGATGATCGCACTGCTGAGTGCCAGCTGGGTAGACGAGGCGGATGATGCGCGAGTGGAGAAAGCCGCTCGTGACCTCATCAAAGAAATTGAGGATGCCGCTCGTGAGCAGAAGGCTTACCATCCTTTTAAGTATCTGAACTATGCAGCCCAGTGGCAGAATCCGATCTTCAGCTATGGCGATGACAGTGTCGAGCGACTGTGGCGAGTTACTTGGTCAGTGGATCCCGGCTTGGTCTTCCAGGACCAGGTCCCGGGTGGGTTTAAGCTTCCTGTTCGATGAAGTCATTCCTGTGACACGCGGCCTAGACTTGATAGTTAAGATATGGTATCGAGACGCTAGACGGGTACATAGTAGGTCATATATATAATTATACAAGAGCATAAGTTGAGAACCAATGTACTTCTGTTCGCTGCTTGTCGGCGGCGGTGGTACCAGAGAGTTTCAAGTGCTGTACAAGATGTACTTGCAATTACCGGAGAACCTTTTGCACCCCACTCTCTAGGGTAGTTCATGGCGGTCATCTGGCTAGGACTGCTTACATACTGATAGTGTCAGCAGATTCACAGTGAGGCGTTCTTCATGAGGTTTTGTATAGGGGAGAGATCAAATAGCGGTGCGTGGGCGCGCAGTGTGACCTTTGTGAACTAAAGAAAGAGGAACGCAAATTCATTTCGCCCAACTGGAGATATAGAAGAAGGTTGCAATGAATGCTTGTATACTTACCACAACCAGGACAGAAGGGAACCGGTTCAAGTTTCTGTGTACAACGGAAGTGAACGCCGAGAATGACAGTGTCAAGATTTCTCGAGGTCGGAACCGGTATTTGCTCCGAATTCCTTGGACAGGGCAATTAAACTTTCGCGATGTTGGCAACAAGCGGAAGAAATCATACGACGGTAAGACTTTTCGAGGCGATGGCTACACATCACTCAAACAAGCTTGGCTCGGGTGACAGTATATAGTGAGTGTCATCAAACACGGAGCTGCCCTACCGTCAGTGGCCCTCAGCATCTCGAAATCGAAAGAAGTATAACCATGGACAACGCTCCCAAATTCAATACACCACCACCCACGACATCCATTTTCCTTCTCAGTTTCCCCGTACCCAAAGTCCTGCTGGTCACTATCAATCGCGAGCAGCAAAGGAACTCCGTTCCCGCCGTGGGACACTCGGGGGGCTTGCAGATTTGGCACTGGTTCGATGACGAGCCGTCGCTCCGCGTGGGGATAGTGACAGGAAAAGGCACTAAGGCTTTCTGTGCGGGCGCTGATTTGCTGGAGCACCGAGACCCGCCTAGTCACTTCAACTTCGCAGCCCCCGTCCCCGAAGATGGGTTCATGGGACTCAGTTTGCGTCGGGGAAAGAAGCCCGTGATCGCGGCGGTGAACGGGATGGCGCTTGGCGGGGGGTTTGAAGCGTGCCTGAATTGGTGGGTAGACGCGCCCCTCAATCCAATGAGTTGGAGAAGCAGGAACGCAATGATCACGGCTAATCAACTTCCATTATGAATGTGTAGTGATCTCGTCATCTCCTCCCCAGAGGCCGAATATGCTCTGTCGGAAGTCCGCATTGGAGCGTTCGCGGCCGGCGGGGGTTTGGCTCAGATTGTTCGGGCGTGTGGCCTGCAGATCGGGAGTGAATTAGCATTGACTGGACGACGAATGTCCGCCCAGGAGGCAAAGAGTCTGCGGTTAGTCAACATTATTGCCAAATCGCCTGAGACGGTGGTGGATGAAGCGATCACGCTGGCGACACAAATTGTCAACGTCTCGCCGGACTCGGTTGTTGTCAGTCGATTTGGGTTGAACGAAGCTATGGAGGTTGATACTATCGAACGACTCACGCGCCGCACGACGAAGCAATACGGAAGAGTTCTCATGCGGGGCGAAAACTATCGAATTGGCGTGGAGGCTTTTGCGAATAAGAAGAAACCAAAATGGGTGGACTCGAAGCTGTGATCAGTGTGTTTGAAGGGTTTGTGTTTGGTTCTTGCATATTTTGAGCTAAATGATGACAAAGGCAGGAATGAACTTGACGGAGTGTAGAGCGAGTAAATGTAGCGAGGAATCCGTGATCACCTGACCAGAGAATATGGCCCGTTCGCAATGAATGTTTTGAGGGCACTGGGATCGCGACTTCCTCCTTGCTAGTCTGCCGTTCCAAGGGAACAAATTACTTCTGCTGAGCCTATTCTTTAGTGGTTTTGCTACCCAACATCTATTCTTCACGCCTCTTCTGTCCCCTGTCGCGTGATTTCTTCATCAAGATTCCAGCTCTAATGTAGCAGTATTAACGACGAACAAGCGAAACCGCCCCGCAGCCGATTACTCCCTCCCCAAAGCCAGTCTGAGATTCTTGTCGCGCGCCGACATCGTTGGCCGTCAGCAACAAACTCATGAGTCTGCATTTGAGCAACGGTGTTTCAAAGGTTACTGAATACAAAAGAGCAGGCGGTGTCTGACAACCCTCTCACTTATCTTCAAGATGGCTAATTCGACTCTTAGACTGGAAAATGGATGTCCACAAGCGGATACGCTTCCTTCGAAGACTTCGACGAAATACATTCCAAGTCCATATCGTAATGCGGCTGGTCCAGAGCAAGGCGTCCCGCCGTACCCGAACAAACTACGAGATCCTCGAATAGTCCGCAGTGCCAGTAGAATCTCGCACTTGGCAGACCTGCAAGGCCCAGTGCTGGCTGGCTGGATAGAAAGAACAACTCCTCGGCCCAGAAGTGGTACTTGAGGCTGTCTTCTTTTGCGTTGCGGAATTCCTCTCTCCACTAGACAAAACACCGAGACGAATGAGTACAACCTCGACTTGTGTCTTTTCACTTCACTTATGAATGAGATGTTCATACCTGCCATGAACCGATGCAGTTCAATAATGCAAGCCGAACCCGGACTCAGAGGTTAAGTAGCAAACAGTCTTCAACATGCCTCCGGGTCATCTGAGCTCATCACAGTCGCGATGGCCCCCAAGGAATGCATTAAGTCGGACACAACATCCACCGCATCAAAAGCTTTGGAAAACCGGGGTTGAGAGCTGCAGGTGGGAGGGATACATGGTTCTACTGACAATGGCGTCCAAGGAGCTGCATAACAGTGTCCAGAAGAGAAATCGTCTACGCGAATGTCAATTGTGTGGGGTCCTGTTCGCTTTAGCAGGAAGTTTAGAAAACAGACTTTCTGTATCAGCAGCATCCCGGCATCAACTGATTCGAAGAGCCCATTGGCGCAGTTCTCTTGAGCGGGAATTCCGATCGGTCAATTGGCTTTACAACCGGGTGTCAATTTTTCTTTCAGGCTCGGTGGGCGGGCCGTAGGCTCTTCTTGGATCGATCGCTTAGTCGCTGGCCACCATGGCTCAACGATTGGAATCGGGGCTGGTTATTCTCTGTCTCCACTGGAGATTCTCCGACCCATATCTTAGCTGAGGTTTCTGTTTTCATTGCGTTCCGTTTCCATACGATTTGTAGGTCCTTCTATGCTGGACTTCATTGTCAAGGGTGAATTCGCTTCGCCGCGTGGAAGCGACCGTTGGCTCTTCCCCTGTTGCACCCTCTTTGCCTTGGTTATCCTTAGCTAGCTTCCCCACAAGTAATTCCAGTTCCGAGCTTGGGACAATTGCGGTCGCAATTGCAAGTTGACGAGGCTTTTACTTTCGCAATTGTCGCCCTACTACCGTTCTTTCTGTTGGTGTCGTACCCACGTCTTGTGTCAGAGCGCACACCAGGGAACTCCTCGAAGCCTTACTGCTGTCTATCTCGCAAGCGACACTCTTCTGACTGCCTACCGGTTCATCTGCCCGACATGTAGTATTCCAACTCCCCAGTCCGCCATTCCCACAATTCCCAGGTCAAGAATTGTTGTACCTTGGAATAGGCAAGGCGAGCTCTCCCAGGAGAGAGCAATATGCGTCGTAGGCCACCGATTCAAGATAGACGGGCGATTAAAAGTTGATTGGAGAATAAAAACACTCATCAGGCAATTTCAACTCAGGTCATCAATCAAGGCAGATAGATTTAATACGCCCCTAGTCGACTAATGCGGTTGTATGACCATTTAGCAAGACCTTGAACCCATTCGAACCGGGGCGTGGGAGCTTGCCCTTTTACAGAAGCCCAAATCCCCCCACCGTATCGAAAAGCCCCACAACCCACCCCACACTTATCAGAACAGAATCGGATCAAGATCCATGCAACGATCTACGCTTTTTACGATGGAAACCGACAAAAAGGGGCCAGAAACGAGTGCCGGAAAGCCACAAGAGAGGGCTGAAGTGGCTGGTCTCGAAAAAGACCAGAAAAAAAATAAGTCTCCGAAGCCGGGAGTCGAACCCGGCCCTGCGCTCCATGAAAGTGAGGCCCAAGCAGGTACGTGATCCTACTTGAGGGTTCTAGCGTCTCGCCGTGCTACCGCAACACTACAACGGAGACTTATTGAAGAGACAGCAGCTACAGGGGGGCATAACCCAGCAGCCGTAACCGTTTTCTCGCTGCAGAGGGCCCCCGCGCCATGCGATCTGTCTCAGATGCAGATAGAACATGCTGAAGGGTGTGCGCCAGCGATGGGCTTTTTCAAAGCGAAAAAATCCAATGGATGGGGATGATTTGCCTCGTTTTTCGTGATGGATAGACTGGACGAGTGCTGCGAGGGTGTACAGGACCTCTAAGGCGAGAAATGGGTTGGGGGGGGGGGGGCGGGAGTGACTACATCACTCGCTGTTTGCGGTGCGCTGGGTCTTTGGAACCCCTTGATGGCGGTGTGGTTAGTTGTTTGGCTTATCTGGGAAAAGGCCGGGGTTCGAGCCCTTTGAAGGGCATTATTTTCTTCTTTTCCGGCAGTGTAGCGCAGCGAAAGGATGGATGGTCATGATGAGGAAAGAGCGGGAGTCATGGGGAAGGGGGAAGGGGAGGGATTGCCTCATCTTTATATGCTGTTGCGGCGGGTGGGTCCGACCCGGGGTTGCGTAGCCGAGGTGGAGGCCCGTCCCGCACATCGGCATTGCTTTCTTAGATAGTTATGCCGGTCACCAGTGGGTGAAGTTCTTGCCGGAGTGCACCAATTGTGCCGATGCGGTTATGCACACCGAGCAGTAACATGCTACTGTGCTAATTTATTTACCGGATTCTAGCTTGAAGAGTTTGGTGGCTTCCAACTGCCGCTCTGGAATTTTGAAGACTGACAAAGGCCTTCTGCTCAGACTAGATATGATCCCTACGAATACGTACTGTGCAATATGCATTCGAGGGGCCCATGTAGAAGTGTAACCACATCACGCCCAGGCTGTTGGTGAGTTGATATCTTCTAGCACAGCATAGGAATTATACTGCATACTGAGTAAAGAGTCACAGCCCCCAAAGATTCCATTTTTCAGCGTGTAAGTCCTGTAAAAGCCTGGTCGCAATCATCCAGGTTGAGGATCCATCTGCCCCATTTTCCAGACTACTATTGGTCACCACCGTATAAATCACCCTATCTCCACCTTCACAGAGTAAAAGGATAAGAGCTTCATTTGATTGAAAACCACACAAAACACAAACACCACGCTACATATTCGTCCTTGTCAACAGCTTACACCCGAAAAGGTCTCTGCAGATTTCGACTGAATATAACCTGCAGATCTTCGTCTTGATGCACGGTTATCTGAGTTCGTATCAGCGACAGTATCCATGTCTAGCTGGGCCGTCCTGGACCGCAGGACCGCCGCAGTGTGTCTGCCAGGTAATCCCATTCTCAGTACTGTCAGGTTCAATTTTCGACCGGATGTCAATTTTACTGATCCCAGCCACGTCACCTTTGCTTTGTGGGAGAAATCTTTAGCCTTTGTCTCGAGCATCCCGGGCCTTCAGCGTCTTCATTGGGCTTTGTTACACGATGATCTCCTAGGGGTAATCACCCTCCTCCAGTGACAACATGGCGGTGCATGGAGAGAGTTCCGATCCTCTTTCGGGCTTTGCCTCATCCTCCTCGTTTTACAGGAGAAGCCTCTTCTCAATCGCTGCCTCCAGCCTATCCTGCCGCCGACTTTAATTGACTCCTGTTCAGCTATTTGATATAGAGATTAGTGGCATAGGATATTCAGGGAAATGGTTATAGATGCATATATTTTAAGGCGGTATCAGAGGTATTTCTATATAACAAAACTCTCTATGTAGCAAAGCTGAATGGGGTGCTCTTTTGTTTTGTTATATAATGAGGTGACTGAGGTCACGGTACTAACACTTCACCCATCCTGGTCCTCTGCTGTCCTTAGTGCACCCAGTTACTGATTCGATCAAGGCTACAGTACTGAGACGGTTACTAGTACCGACGCCAAGATCGATGTTAGCGCCGACTGAAAGATTGATTATGAGCGAGCGTAAAAAGACGCCGACTGTCGAGCCGAAAACTTCATTTACTTCAGATGGATAGAATATACATCTCGGATGATAGACATCTTAGAACCTCAAGGGATACATCAAATCATTCACATCTTATTGTCTTCAGCCCGTTACCATGGAACTAAGTATGGATAACAACAGTCATGCAATCATAGAAATTATAAGTTGAAGGGGGAATCAACAGCAGCATTCAAAGCAGGTCAGCGCCGCACATCTGTTGAAAATCATTAACAAGCTCTTCATGGCATCAAGTCAAAACAGAGGCTGAGACTTACACTCCGCAGCAAGTCCCACAGCACCCACATTCATCATCGCCCTCCCCACCTCGGAGTTGCATCTGCATAGCTTGGGGCTTCTAGGCATACCAAAATGGTTAGAATGGAATACAATCGGGACTTCAAAGATAGCAAGTGTCATACAGGTTGCTCTGTGACAATATTCGAAGAGTCCATATCTTCAGACTGGGAGGGTTGGTGCATGGTCAGTGTCGACGCATCCCAGACCGGCTCCTGGGTGACATTTGTGCTCTTGCGGAACCAAGTGAACATATTTGCAGAACGTGCTTTGCCAGGAATATAGACGGGAGAGTTCAGTTTCGTATGATCATAAACCTATAAACGCATGACATCAATCCTTAAATATCTCAAGTCTCACAAAACAGCTGCATGAAAATATCGAAACGCAATCCGCGGGTTCCGAGGCAACTCGGCCGCTGACAGGCACTTTCCTACAAAACTTGGGTGGTGGCGCGCTAACGGAGCATTCCGTTAGTCAATACCCAACCAGCTGTAAACTCTGTATTAATTCAATAGTAGATACTAATTGATTTAAAACTTAAATGTCCCAAGTACTTCCAATTGAATATACGTTATACTTAGTATCTAATATAAAGGCTCTTCATAGAGTATATCAATTCGTAGAATATCAACTAAAACTGATTATAAACAGAGAGAAATCACTCCAAACTTTTCACATTTGTTGGACAAGTCGCAAGTCCTTGTCCACGGAAATGGTACCTAGTCGTTCTTCAAATGCATTCAATGTAACTTGGGGAGAAGCTGCTGCCTAGAGGACTTTCCGATTTGGGCTTTCGTGGGCTGACGAGTGGAAACACAGCGTTTAATCGAGCTGCCCAAAATTTCTACATGTCATATTCATGTTCGCCTGATAGGCAAAGCCGCTCCTCTAGCTGCGCCTCCACTTCGAGAACCTTGGCACTGGATTGGAACTGTGGCCACATGAGAAATAGAAATAAGTGACTGCTATGCTAGGCTACCTACGGAAGTTCACGCAGCCAACGCTTTAGAGAGTATTCCCGCCATAACAGCTCTGGCCTTCGTCAAAATGATTTCATTTCCGGGCACAGCCTGAGTCTTAAGGTCGTGGCAAGATATGTTTGCGCTGTTATCTCGCATTGAAAGAGTTTAGTATGTTGTCCTTTTATAGAGGATGTTGGAATAAGGAAGCGGTACATTGCCAAAGCAAGGCTTGCCGTAAATAGGCAAGGTAACATCCGAGCCTCGACAACTACGACCTCCTCAATCGGTCCCACCACCAAAGCGCTTCCAATGTAAATATGCTCTGACAGTTACAAACATCCCTGCACACCTATGGTGCTTGACCTGATGATCCAAGGACATCCATCAAGGCCTCGACCGATTTCTGGTAGATTGCGACTGACTGCTCTTTCAGAGCAGTGAGCTCCAGGCGACCGGCATTCTCTGCAACAAACTTTGTGTACTCATCACGAGCGTTCCGGTTAATATTCACCTTTCTGGCACCTGCTTCAATGGCTTCCCGAAATAGCCAATCCGGGACCGGGTGGGTGCCATGGATGACGAGTGGAACGGAGGGACCAAGGGCGTCGGCAATGCCTTTGAGTCTATGGACATTATTAGTGAGCATTGCACTCTCGTGAGCTGCATGAGCTGCATGGGTGTGTCTTACCGGTCAAGTTGCCAGTATTTCTCAGAGCCGCCTTCTGGGTAAGGGCCGTGAATATTGCCGAATGACGGTGCAATATAATGGACCCCCGTTTGACGGGCAAAGTCTGCTGCATCTTGTGGATCGGTTAAGATCTCTTCAAGCTCACCGGCGTCTGGAATACCGTCTTCCCCACCGTTAATGCGACCCAATTCTGCCTCCACCGTAATGCCTCGTGCCTTGGCGAGCTCGGTAATTCTCTTACAGTACTGCGTGTTTTCCTCAGGTTCTAGTCTGGATGCGTCCACCATGATTGAATCAATCGGCAGGGTCAAAGCCTGCTCAACATCGCTAGGATCCATGCAGTGGTCGAGGTGGACACCGATAGGAACCGAGGCACCGTGGGCGGCTTCGACTATGTACTTGACAAAATGCGGGCCTTGGAAATGCATTGTCCAAGGGAAGATCTCAATCAATGCCGGGGAGCGTTTGGCCTCAGCCGCACGGATGACGGCCATAACGCCGTCATTGTTATAGCTATTCTCAAACGTCAGCCGGGTGTGCTTTGCTAGGAACTCGATTACAATGCACCAATTGAAAGCACCGACAGCGTATCCCCCCTGCGTCGCGTTATTGAGAATCTTCCAAGTGAGATTGCTCTCAGGGAAGGCGGCGTTGACCTTGTGTGAAGACATGCTTGTGCTTGTTCCTGCAAGTCCTAATTCATTGTGTTAATTCTCTTGATTTGGGGGACAGGCCATACAAATAAGCCACCCGAGATACTGTAGATTGCCAGTTCTCTGGAATGTTGAATGTGGTGGCGAATTGCGGATTAGGGTGGAGAGAACGGAATGCTCCGTCTATTTGCCCCACACCGCATCAACCGGGTGGAGATCTTCTCTCTCGCACCCTCCGCGTCTCCTTCAGACTCTCATCTCCCTGCCCTTTTGCTGGATTACTGCCAGCATGACACCAAAGACGTGCAAATCAACCACAGCAAGCACTCGAAGCGCTAGAAAAGTTCGATCCGCGTGCATCCGCTGTCGAAACCGACGTATCAAGGTGCGCTGGGTTTTTTGACGCCTCTTCTCCGAAACTCCCCCCAACACCCCCAACACAGTCAACTAATAGACAGAAGTGTGACGGGGAAACCCCGGCCTGCAGAAATTGTCTCAAGGCAAGCGCCCCATGTATTGATGTGGATGCGAGGCTTGGCGATGCGTTACTACCTCGCAGGTAAGTGCGGATGCCCCAACTGTGCGCTTCGCCGCCATCGCTGACCTTCAACGCAGCTTTTCGGCAGACTGCGTCCGTCGTATTCAGTGGTTAGAAGAGATCATAAAGAAACATTTGACACATATCGACCTCGCAGCTGGCCCGCAACTTGACGCGTCGATTAAGGCGGCCTTCGAGGTCGCGCCCCCTAAGCCGATCAGCTCCTCGCAAACTCCTCTTGTTTTCACGAGTGAAAATGACGATTGCTCGTTTGTTCCTTCTCCTGAGATAGATTACTCTTCCCAAATACCTTCTTTCCCCGGTGTCCCCAACAACGAATCGCCTCAGCCTGATTGTTGGGAGTCGCCACCGGGCGACTCAGATATCGCCGATGAAGTTCGTGCGCTGGCACAGAGCCTTGGCCAAGTCTCCCTCCATGAGGACTCCCGGCAGACTTACTATCTAGGTACCTCAACTGGTGTTCTTTTCGCCCATCTTATCGGTGCCAGTACAACCGGATCTCGTGATCCCTCAGGGCCGGTGGTCATTGAAGAAGAGAATACCCTGGGGGATGTCTCCTTCGAGCGGTTGAGAACCACATTGTTACAGGTGAGTGATGTCCCATGATGGTGCTCGCAGTGAAGTGACCCAAGACACAGGAGTTGCCTCCCCGCGATCGGTGTCAAGACTTGCTGGATGAGTATTTCCGTGTCATCCATCCCGACTTCCCAATTCTTGATCCGGCGTCGGTCTCGAGCATCTGTGAAGCGCTCTACGCATTATCTTCACTGACCAATCCTTGCAAGATTGGGAGCAAAGGGTGGCCCGTAGATCGACCCGGGTTTGCCTACAACGGCGAGATGGAAATTCGGAACGGGCAATATGAAACATCAATTTCAGTTTATGCTGCGGCCTTCCACCTATTTATGATCTTTAGCATTGCTTCCACACTCAAAATGCGCCGAAGGCAGCTGGAGGACTCTCCGCAGCGACTCTACCGAGCGGCTATGTCCTTCTCCCATCATGTCCTACCCAGACCCTCCCTCGTCGGCATACAGTCTCTCGTGCTTCTGATTGCACACAGCCTAATGGCACCATCTGGAGTCAATACCTGGACAATGGTGCATCTCTGTATGGCGAATTGTGTTGATATCGGGCTACACCGTGAAATGGCCGCCAGTCCCTATAATCGTCTCCCAATTCATATTAGGAGAATGGTTTTTTGGACGGTTTATTCATTAGACAGGTGAGCCCGCTATGCATTCCAGAACCATGTCCAGCATGTACTAAGAGATCAGGTCAATATCCACGATTCAAGGAAGACCCCTCGGGATACGAGACGAAACATTCGACCTATCGCGTCCCGATCTAGAATTTTCTGGCAGCACCGCAACCCCCGGCAGCCCGTTCGGGCCAAGCTTTGATCCCAAGGGCTTATGGCCGTACACAACACACCATCTCGCCCTCGACCGCTGGATCTCAGCCATAAAACTACTGCTTTATCGGTGTCCGTCGTCCTGCCAGCAGAACCTTTTCATGTGGCCTCCAGACCTCGGAAAACAACAGGCGATCCTCAAAGGCAAGCTTCAGGCCTGGTATCTCGAAATTCCCAACATCATGAGCCAACTGATCGTTCCGGATGAGCCTTTGCGGGACAAGCTCCGTCTCAAGCTCGAAGCCCGATATTATGCAGCTATGATGCTCTTGTTCCAGCCCTCGCAAGCCTTGCGGAGGCCCAATGCCGAAGCATGCAAGATCTGCTACGAATCGGCCGTCAAACGGCTCATGATCTACTCTCAGCTATATGAGAACGAGCAGCTTTTCTGCGGCTGGCGGAGCATGCAGGACATATTCCATTCGGGGGTTACCTTTCTCTACTTGCTTTACGGCTTGCCGTTTATACGACAGTCGGTTTCGCTTCCCGAAGTCTCCAAAATAATGCGCCTGTGCTCAAACCTCCTGAGCACGGGCGGTGAGTGGTGGCCTTCGCTGAAGAAAGCGAAGAAAAGACTGGAAAGCGTGGCCGACATCGTGATAGATAAGCTCTATAGCGTCAATGTTGCGGCGCTGCCGGCGCAGTCCGCACCAGATATGAACGGCGGGCTCGGTACCACTCAGCTGGGCGAGCCATTACCCCACTATCCTAGCTGGGAGTTTCCTGATATTGCCGGCCTCTTTCAGCCGTCGAGACGGCGAACGGCACCCACTTCAACCTTTCCGGTGGTTTCCCCCCGCAGATCTGGCACAGAAGCCGAAGGAGACGGAGGGATGCCACAACCGTTGGAGATTTTGAACGAACAAGCGCAGTCCGACGCGCCCGCCTGGGGTAACCCAATACCGCATCAGGCAGAGGTATTTGATGACCCTTTCTGGGAGCTTGTACACTTAACCTGATGCATGATACGGGTGTTTTCATGCTTAACTCTGCCGGAAGTGCCGCCCTCATTCCAAACATTGTCTTCGATTTGCAAAAGTCTTGTCCTGCGCTTGAAGCAATTTATGCGGCCACACGATGATGAGTATCCAGCTGCTGGAGGAAATATAATGATTGTCGTGGTCTTGCGGGGGACTATCTTTCATGGACGAGATTGCTGGGGCTGCGGCACCCGGGGTTCTGAGATCGAATGAATGTAACTATTGTTAGGAGCGCTATGTAATCATCTATTAAGAACATGGGCATAATTAGTGCATCACTTCAATCTTGCTACGTACCAGGTCAGTCCGCAACTGGGCAGGTCATCACGGCACTCGGAAGAGGCAGCAACGGGCTTCGAGTGGTGGCTCAGTATAACCTGGCATGTCATTCACAACTTGCACACTCGAAGTAACGAGGGCCGGAATCACCCGGTCACGGGACACGGGACCCGGAAGGGCCCGTCTCGAGCGGTCTGTCTGCTCAACCAGCGCTGTAGTTAACTTACCAGGTCTCCAAAGATAGCTCCGCAGCAGAGGATCTCCCCACTCTCCACACCACTACTGTATTTGTATAGCAGTCCTACATGGACTGACCCTAAGTTGTCGACAAAGAATGAAGTTACTGAATTGAAGCCGACTGGAACAACTCCACCTCACAAGCCACGAGTAAATCGCAAATGGGACAATCTCTGCATTTTGCAAGTTATTGTTCAACGAATGACTCATTAGTCTAACCAAGTCGACCACTACTGAGGATTACAATTACGGTCGATGGCAATGAACAGCTCACGGAGTGTTCCAGATTCCCTTCCTAACGATCAGCCGTACCGAGGTCAGAACCCCCGCGTACCCCAGACTCAGTCGGCAATAGGACGCGTCTTGTGAAGTCATCGAGGAATCTCTAGAGCGACCTCCAAATACTCCAATGCCTCCGAGCGCCTCTTGATGAGGCCTTCAGTCAGCAAATCCTGCAGTGACGGAAGTTTCCGCGACCCCACATGGGTCAGAATAGCTCTCCGCCGGCGACTGCGGTGAATAGTGAATAGCAAACAGTCTAGTGGCCGACCATTCAGAGGCTGTAACCGCATTGATTATATATTCCGTACACCCCGCTGACGAGGGACTGTGCCAAATCAGCTTCAGAGTGAATCCTAACTGTTCTTTCATTTTTCTCGGACTCAATCTCGAACACGACCGACATGGCATCCACCAAAGGCGAGCTTCCCAAAGTGTACATACCTGCAAAGCAGGCCCAGGAGTATGCCGAATCTCTCCTCGTCGAGAACCAAGTCCCTCCGGACAACGCCGCGACAATTGCGCGATGTCTGGTTGAGGCCGACCTCCGCGGCGTCGACACGCACGGCCTCAACCGACTGCCCTCATACATGGAGCGCCTGCGGCGCGGCGTGATGGATGCGAAAGCCACCCCTTCTCTGGACATCAAAACCCCTGTTGTGGCGCTGGTCGACGGCAACAATGGCTTTGGATTTCTCGCCGCCACGGCGGGGATGGACTTCGCCATCTCCGCCGCCAAAACATATGGGATCGGCATGGCCTCGGTCAAGCGATCAAACCACTTCGGCATGGGGGCCTGCTACGCCCTGCAGGCGGCCCGGGAGGGGATGATGAGCCTGGTATTTACCAACTCGTCCCCGGCGATGGCGCCCTGGGGCTCCAAGGCAAAGATCGTCGGGGTGTCCCCCCTCGCCTGCGGCGCACCGGGGGGTGTCGAGAAACCGTTCATCTTGGATATGGCGCCTTCAACAGCTGCGCGCGGGAAGCTCTACAAGGCAGTTCGACGGTCCGAGAAGGTCCCCTTGGACTGGGCTCTGGACGCGGATGGGTTTCCGACTGATGACCCGGCTGCGGCTCTCAAGGGCGTCATGCTCCCGATGGGCGGTCCCAAGGGGTCCGCCTTGGCCATTATGATGGATGTCTTCTCGGGTGTTCTCTCAGGATCGGGATTCGCCGGCGGCGTGACTGGGCCCTATGACCCCTCTAGGGCGTCTGATGTGGGACATCTCATGATTGCTATCAAGCCTGACGTCTTCCTGGGTATTGATGAGTTCAAGGGCCGTATGGACCTCTTGTTCCAGAAAATTACCCAGTCCGAGAAGGCGCCGGGCGTAGGGCGAGTCTACTTCCCAGGAGAGATTGAGCAGCTAAACCAAGAGTCTAGGCTGAAGACCGGTATCCCATATGTGGAAGAGGAGATTAAAGCTTTGAACGAAGAAGCCCGACGGGCTGGATCGAAGGTATTGCTGGCTGGATCTGTATCTCTACACGGGTAGGAGCACATGCAGGCGCTTTGCTATAGTCTTGGTGAATACTTGCAAATTCCTACAATGGCAGGCCGCAACGTATTCCATTATCTTTTAAATCAAGAAGACGTAGGATTCTAACCAAAGAGCATACAACAGAAGTCTATCTCAGCAGCCACTAGGCCTCGCCAAGGCCCGTGGGTTTATGGGTTGGGTCCAAACCCAATGTGTTTCTTAGCAGGTTTGAGCTTGATAGGCTTAACCTGTAGACTAGATATCGATTCAATGGTGATCCAATCCAGAACACCCTGTCTAACTGCCAAGCTCGAACATGACTTTACTACTTCCTAAAATATAGATTATAGCTTTTGTCTCATAAAATAGTGTATTGTTTTAATGTTTATAACATCTAGTTTCTGTCTATTTTTATAAACAGTTTATCTGTTTATAATGCTGGTATTTCAGCAGAAAGAAATTTAGCCCTGTCTGTCTACAAAAAGATTTGTTTTAATCATCGAGAATATAATTTTAAGACGACTGTCTTGTGTTGTATCACATTGTATTTCAGGAAATTATAGCAGAACTTTGTTTTGGATTTCTTCAGAGCCGGAAAGATATTTTAAGACAGATATTTATAAGATAGATCTTTTTTTTAGAGTACTATAGTTTGTTTGGATAAATCTCACGAAAGTAAAGGGCTTCAATCTATGGAATTTGATCTTGCTGAACAACAGAGTTTCACACCGCAGAGCGTTGTTGGGGCGTGGTGCACAAGATCCGAAATACTTTCCTCTGGCATGCATACTACCGATATCGATAGTACGTCTGTCTTCATTCTTTCTTACTCCGCTGATGCCCGAGGTTCCTTATCGAATCCCCGCACAGTTCGATGTTGTCACCGTTTTCTGGCCGGACCAGCATCTATGTGCGTCCCCCGCCAGATGTAGCAGTTCAGCACTATTATCAAGGATTCCACGAAGACGGAGTCACCGCGCTAGAAGACCAGCCCCCGGGCGCCGGCACTGGCCAGGATACTATCCGGTTCTCCGCTAGTAGCAGCTGGTTGAGAGTGCGGACGTGCGTGCGGAGTGGTACGGGGACTTTGCCCACCAGGCCGCCCAGCAGTACGAGCGCTTAGGGTACATCATCGACTGGTTTCAGACGCTCGCGGTCAGTGCCGACTGTGTCTTGATTGACCTCGAGCCGATGCATCTGGAGTTCACTGCGCACCGCAACTAGGGCCGGTACTCCGCGGAGAGAGCAGGCGCTGCTCGGGACGGAGCGCAGCTTCCTTTCCACTGTTTCTGAAAGTAACTTGGTGGAAACCGCGATGTATCCAATTCGGCCTATTTCACAGTCTTGGGCCTGCTGATCCTCCACTGTAGGATACTGTGGAGATGGCACGCGATATGAATAAAGCTTTCATGGGGCTATGGTCGTAGAAGGGCTGATGGTCTGTTATGTCTTCACGAGGCGCGTCCGTTGCTGAGTTTCACGCCTTCACGGCCCTGAGGTATCTGGCTAACTTGATGAAATTGCGATATACCACCCCGACAAGCTTGCTGTTGCAAGAAATAAGACTAGATCGTGTTGGTGATTTGAGACAGATGATTCGGGCTCCGTTGTTTTCACCCGAATCACCACCTCTCCCGGTTTGTCAGTCTGGACAAAACCTGACTCGTCGATCGACCCTGTCCGCCTAAAACCTGCTGCTCAAACCATATAAACAAATGAAGCAGAATTACTAACCGCATTCCGGTTTCCTTTGATGAAAAGGACAAAAAGGACAAAAACATACAACAGAAGGGATTCGCTGGTGGTCACCCACCCAACTACTAACCTCCCGGCGTGTGGCTTAAGTACGGCTGAGCGGACGGGAAGCCCTGTTTTCCACACCCTGTGGTCGTATGTGCTGAATGTTTAGTGCAAAAGTTTCATATCCCACAGGAACCATCTTCGGAACAGCTAGAGTGGTCGGGTTTCCAGCAGATGGTTGAACGGGAGATATATAGTCAGTATCACCTCGCCTATATTGCCGCGCGAACCACGTAGGACAAACCCGAGTAGTAGGTGCCGATGTAACGGTCCGCACCCTACCCTCAAAATAGACGGGAAAAGAGAAGACTTTTACCCAGACATCCTGCACGGATGTACAAACCGTCACGTTGCATGTCTGCTATTGTTAGCCGGGTGAAAGACCTGTTTACATCTTGCATATGGAACTTCATTCCATTCACTTACCTTCCATATTGCAAGGGAGGATTGAGCGGATTTTGAACCCGTACTTTCAGAACCGCACAATACCGACCAACGGTTTACACAGTAAGATAGATACAATGGAACTCCGCACCTTGTCTCTGAGATCGACCTGGCTTCGCGCCGTGCTACGGCGGCCGATCACAACCTCACCCCGCGATTCTTGACCATGAGGTGATCTACCGGTCCAATCCATCTTTTTCCATTCTCACAAACCAGGGTTACTCTCATCACACGCAACCGGTTGCCCAGGATCTACTCATACCTCGGCCTATCGTGGGCCCGGAACAACCGGCTCTCCCCCTGGGGTCGACAGGCGATGTTACGTCTCGCACACTGATCACATGCGTTCGACTGCGACGACTGTTTCAAGGTCCAAGTGCAGCGGACTTTCCGATGGCGGCCTAAATGGGGACAAAAGTTTAGATCCTCCCTTCCCTGTGTACGGCTTAAACTCACAGGCCAAGCAATTGCGCGTGCCTTTGCGCATTGGTTTGAGCGGCATCCTTTTCACCTTCGCCTGTGCGAAATGCGCTATCCAGACAGCTCAGAGCGACCTTTCAGGTGACTAACTCGGGCAATTAGTCCCCTTTAGCCCTTTGGGGGCCTTTGGTGGTCAGACAGGTTGGGAGGAAAGGAAGACGAGAGGAGGAAGACAAGGACGACCGAAATTCGCCCGGTTAAGTTTAGATGGTTGATCTTATCGCTTAGTCATTCGTAGCTCGTCCGGCCTCAGGCCGGAATGAGGCCGGCCAGCACTCCAGCTGTTCGGTAGCTATGTGAATATGATCGCTATCCTGGCTACAGATCTCAAATCCTGAATTGGTTGAGCGCCATCGCCTTGTACTTGGTAGATACTTTCACTTGTGCAGGTCGCGCTTGTGCTTCAACTGGAGTACAGTGTGTCTACATGTAACTAACAGTCACAGCTGCTGACCAACATACCCGCAGCACAGCAGAATGATTGCTGTGCTGTACGGTAACTCACCATACTGTACTACAAGTTACGCACCATAGATAGTCAAGCAGGTGAGTTCCTTATCGGTCGCACCGTATGCGATTTTACCTCGGCTCAACCTCCGCTACCCCAGAATCCGACCACAATTTAATTGACCCCCCTCATTTCTTCCTCCATCTCCAACTTCAGCTTCCTGCCATCAATTCTCCATCCACCATCACCCACCATATATTTGAACCACCATGTCGTCGCAACCCTACACCTACAAACACTTCAACATCACCTTCCCGCCGGACCGCGAATATGTCGCCCACGTGGAGATCAACCGTCCTTCCAAGCTAAATGCCTTCATCGAAGCGTGCGCGCCTCTCCTTCCCCCTTCCCCGCGATTCCCCCACCCCTACAATTCACAATCCACAATCCCCAGTCATAACACCAAGAACAAACAGAATGTGGCTCGAACTTTCGGACATCTTCACCCGCCTCTCCACTGACCCCGCCGTCCGCGCCATTGTCCTCACCGGCGCAGGCCCCAAAGCCTTCACCGCCGGCCTGGACGTCCACGCCGCCTCGGAGGGCACCCTCTCGCCCGAATCAGCACAGATCGACCCCGCCCGCAAAGCGACCCACCTCCGCCGCCACATCCACGAGTTCCAGCACTGCATCTCCACTCTCGAGAAATGCGAGAAACCCGTCATCGTGGCGATGCACGGCTTCGCGCTGGGGCTGGCCATCGACCTCAGCGTCGCGGCGGACGTGCGCGTCTGCACGGAGGACGTGCGCTTCGCCGTCAAGGAGGTGGATATCGGGTTGGCCGCGGATATCGGGACGTTGAGTCGATTGCCGAAAGTGGTGGGGTCGTTTGGGTGGGTGAAGGAGGTGAGCTTGACGGCGCGGGAGTTTGGGGCGGACGAGGCGCTGCGCGTGGGGTTTGTGACGCATGTCTTTAAGGATAAGGAGGCGGCGGTGGAGGGCGCGTTGGGGTTGGCGAGTCGTATGGCGGGGAAGAGTCCTGTTGCTGTGCAGGGGACGAAGGAGTTGCTGAATTGGTCGCGGGATCGGAGGGTTGAGGATGGTATGTGCTTTTCCTTGTTGTTTTGTTTTCGAGGGGATCGGGGAGTGATCATGATGCTAACGCGTTGATAGGGCTGCGGTATACGGCGGTTTGGAATAGTGCGGCGCTGCAGACGAAGGATGTTGAGGCGGCGCTGTTGTCGGGGATTCAGAAGCGGAAGCCGACTTTTGAGAAGTTGTAACCTTTTTTCTCTTTGATGTGAGTTGCGCTCGGGGTGTATATTAGACTCTGGTACTGCTGGCTTAGTACATCTTAGAAGCTGATCGTATGGGTTGCTTTTGCGAAAAGAAGGCATTGCTGAAGACGCAGATTTGGATGAGAGAGCTTTCTGTATTGTCTCGAACCCATCAATGCGATCAATCCAATGGTGGGAAACCTTTTCTGATGACCAACAGTCGATGTCGTCTGTCGTGATACGACCTGATTGCTGACGCAGGTAGGTAGCGATCGCGTATTAGACGTCGAGGTGCTCGCCATGATAGCCATCATGGCTATACAATGTAGCCAGTCTCAGATGGTCACAGCCTGTCTTAAACTACGGAGTTGGAGACCGCTGATGCACGACATTCTTTGCTGCTCCCGATGTCCAGAATCTAGTTACAACTATCCTGATGCAAGAGAAAAATGCCTGTGCGTGGATTGGGGTGGATTGAGGCACAGAAAACACCAAGTAATTAACCTATCCATGACCTCTACCTCAAGCCTTGAATCAGCAAAATCACTCTCCCAACCAAAGTCACTATCCAGACAAGTTGAGCCCTAACAAAGAGTTGAGCACCATATCTCAAACTTCGTTACTACTCCCATACACAAATTGACTCGCCAGAGTGGGCATACACGGAGGAATGTGACTAGTCCATCTCCACCAGGACCATCCCCAGCTCCAGCAGTGCCTGACAGGTCTCACATGGCAGTCTAGATCCTTCGAGGTGGAGACTTGAAAACTGTTTTGAAGAGACCCGGGCAGGAGGAGGCTGAAACGCTTGGTCCCGCCCAGCCCAGCCGCCAGACTCTCGTGGCGGCGAGAAGGTTTCAGAGTCAAAACAATTTGTATTGTGCGGGTACAGAAAGTCTACAGAAGAGAAATAGTTTCGAGTCATACAGTTACGCGCGAGTTATGGAATGTGTCACGGAACTTGTGGCAGGTAGAGTAGCGGCAAGTTGGCGTTCCTGCTGCTTGCCCTAAGTCCTGAGTAGTCCCGAGCTGGCGGAGGACAGCCTCTATTTGTGCAGAGCTGTGGGGTCCCAAGAGCTTGGCATAGTTAGAATCATTCCAGGAAGGAGAGTGTGTGCACTTGGCTTTGTGACTCTGCAAGAGTTGGGATTGAATCCTGTGGGCACGTCATTTCTTGCATCATCGACGCGGTCATTGCTCGTTCGCCAAGGACTGTACCACCCCGAGAAATGACCGATCAGGACGGACTTGTCAACCCCTGAAGATGTTCGTGCTATTTTATCTCCGAGACTAAGCTTCAGCAGCACTGGGATCAAGTACCAAGCATGAAGATACACCACGACACACTCATGCCCGCACAGCAACATACCCTCCACCCCAGACTAGGATACCAGCCAAAGAAAATCCGAGCAACACGCCCTAACTTACCTGCCGTATGTAAGCAAGCGAACAATCGGATTTCGGGGTTAACCACCGCGCTTGACGCCCAGCACCACCCAAGTAAGATCCACAATCTGTACCCCGCTCTTTCACTCCGTCACGCCCCCCCAAACTACCAAACTAACAAACTAACGCATCTCATTTCCCGCCCCGCTAATCCCAGATCGAAACGGAACTACACCCTTTGACATCGACCCTGTCACCCTGCCAATATCCACTCGACATCCATCCTGCAGAACTCCAGCTCCTTTCATCACGTCATATCCACCCTCACAGGTGGGAAAAATCCCCCAGAATACACCCTGCGCTCCGCACGGTCCCCCCTTCCCCTTGCTCGCCCGCTTCCGTAGACCCGAGGATATAGCACTTTGTACCCTTGAACCCTGTCGATCGGCGGGCTTGTTTGCGCTTCTGTCTCCGTTCGACGACTCTATTCGTAGGTGAAAGGATGCTAGAGTCCACGAGGAGGGTAAGTATCCGAGCATCGGGATCAAACACCCCGAAACTCCATGTCGAAAGGAAGCAGTTTGGGAGTATTCCCCCGAGCTGCAAGCTGCGTGCAGAATGCCAAGGTTGGAGTGCATCTACCCCATACTGAACCTGAGACTGGGGGTGTTTGACATGCTGATTCTGGTCCGATGGCCGAGGTCGGTGGGAGTAGGAGGAAGAGAGGGAAATTGTCCGTGTGGGTTGGGTTGAATGGGATTTTCCACGTATTGGTCTGGAGGTCGGGGGTATATAAGGGAGGGAGTAGCCGGCATTGAGTTCGATTCATCATTCAGACAGTCCATAAGAAGATTGACAGCCAAGAACACCACCACAATGAAGACCGCCGCTCTTGCACCGCTCTTCTTCCTCCCCTCTGCCCTCGCCACGACGGTCTATCTCGCCGGTGACTCGACCATGGCCAAGAATGGAGGCGGGTCGGGAACCAACGGTATGTGTAGGACATCCCTCTCTTAACGGCCCTGCTGATCGACATCAGGCTGGGGCGAGTACCTCGCCAGCTACCTCTCCGCGACAGTGGTTAACGACGCGGTCGCGGGCCGCAGCGCGCGCTCGTACACACGCGAGGGTCGGTTCGAGAACATCGCCGATGTAGTGACGGCGGGCGACTACGTGATCGTCGAGTTCGGCCACAACGACGGTGGCTCGCTGTCCACGGACAATGGACGCACCGACTGCTCCGGTACCGGGGCAGAAGTCTGCTATAGCGTCTACGACGGGGTCAACGAGACCATCCTCACCTTCCCCGCCTACCTGGAGAACGCCGCCAAGCTGTTCACCGCCAAGGGCGCCAAGGTCATCCTCAGCAGCCAGACCCCCAACAACCCCTGGGAGACCGGCACCTTCGTCGACTCCCCCACGCGCTTCGTTGAGTACGCCGAGCTGGCCGCCGAGGTCGCCGGCGTCGAGTACGTCGACCACTGGTCCTACGTGGACAGCATCTATGAGACCTTGGGCAATGCCACCGTCAACTCGTATTTCCCCGTCGATCACACCCACACCAGTCCTGCGGGAGCGGAGGTCGTGGCTGAGGCGTTCTTGAAGGCGGTGGTTTGCACGGGTACGTCGTTGAAGAGTGTGTTGACGACGACGAGCTTTGAGGGGACATGTTTGTGATTGAGCAGATGGAAAGACAAAGCAGTGGACGGATAAGGACAAGAGTTGTCATGTATAGTGGTAGTTTGTGCATTGCAAATGGTATCTGAACTGGCTCGCTTATGCTCATAATCGAGAATTGGACATGTCTATGTTCGGGTTTGAGGTTTCTATGATATCTCCTCCAGCGTGGCTTTCACTATTCCACGCTTCTCAACTCGGGTGTAATATTGCACCAGGTTCGGATAGTGAGTGCTTGATAATTGCCCGGCTGCCTGAACCTCCCAAAGAACGGGCCAGAGGGAACAGTCGTCAATTCCAAAGGAGGCACCACTTGCGAACGGCTGTGTCTGGATCGCTGCTTCCCACCTATCCAAATATTCGATGCCCCTCGATCGGTCCATCTGATTGCGCCAGGTGGCTAGGAGTTGGTCGATCTCGACCAGGAAGTTACCCCCGCGCAAAGCTTCCACGCCCGGTTGCACGAGCTCCGAGGCGTGAGTGGCAAAATATGTCAGGATATTGGAATCGCTAGCAATCTCAGCTCCATGACCAATGTAAAGCGGCAGATCCATAGTCTCGGCACCCGTTGCAGTGGTCGCATCGTAGCGAAGTCCGTTCTCGCCCAGGCACAAACGCACCCGGAGATTAGCCACGGGGTCCGGCCCGACCACAAGCTTGGCGGTCGTAGCCGTAATAAAGTTGACAACATCGAAACCCGCGCCGTAGACCCCGTCCCAGTCAAATTCGGTCGCGTGGTTTTCCTGTCCGAACGCCCGAATCAAGCGCTCGGTTTCCGCTGGGTGCCCGTGGATCACTGCATGGGCATGGTCCTGGGTCTTGGACACTGCACCTTGGCCCCAGATCGCGTCTCCAGTTGGGTTGAGATAGGTGCCAATGTGACGAAAGGTTAGGGAGATCCGCTGTCCGCCATACGCTCGCTCCTCGGAAGACTTCTCGTCCGTGGCCCGCTTATCGGGGCGAATGCCGTGCAACCACCGCATGTTCGTCTGCTCCCCAAGAATGAACAATGACTCGTGTGGCATAGGTATGCGTTGCGTAAGGCGACCGCTCTCAGTGCCCTCCGAGTCTTTCCCCTTGGTTCGCAGCACCATCACGCGCTGAGCACCAAGACTGACATTGCATATGAAAGAGCCCCGCACAATGTCCAAAGTCTTGTCCGAATGCTCCGAGATCCGGTCTTGTCCGTCCCGATAGAGTTGGATAAGTGCATGATTAAGTGGGTGGCCCAGAATACGCTCAACCACAACCCGTACCTCGTCCACCGTAGGAGTGAACGGTTGCAGTGGCGGCGACTCGTCCGCTGGGTGACGGTAGATCGGAATTGATCCATCATTCAGCGCACGCCCCTGCACCGCCACCAACCGCGGGACCTGCCCAGAAAGATGATACATCTTTTGCCAAGCCACCTCATCCCGGATTTTCTCAAAGGCTTTCTCTGGCAACTCCAAATCGTATAAGATCCTAGAGTCGCCCTCCCCGATTACATCGCCCGGCCTGTACACATCGCGTTTTCTCGATTTCTCGCTTCGCCGCGTGTCTGTGTGCGCACCTGACTCGCCCTTGGCATTCGGTCTCTTTGTGCGACGGACACGTGTACGAGCCTTGACTGCGCTAGGATCCGTGGATTGTGCTTCTGAGGCATCGCGCACTCGTGCGCGGGCGATATTAGCTAGCTCTTGCAGGCTCGGGTTGTCGTGATCGGAGAACTCCGCCATGAGATCTTCAATCCTGCGGCGCCGGCCGCTGCCCACTAAAGCTTCGGGGCTCTCATTCCTGGCCGCCGATCGGGATTTGGACCCGAACCCCAGTCCATCCATGATCCCTTCGATTTCAGCACGATTCCCTGTTCGTACCGGACGGGGATTGCCACTTCTGGCGATCGCATCGGTCTCCTCCCACTCCAGCTCCTCCAGCAGCTCCTGCGTAGTGATCCCGCTGGCGCCGAAGATGTCCGCCATGCGACGCATCGCCTCCTCATGGCGGTGGAAGCTGCGGTACCCAAGACAGTCCTCGACCAGAGTGACTGAAAAGCCATGTCGCACGGCGTCGAGAGCGGTGGCGTAGACGGATACATTAGATAGCGACCCGCAGAGGTAGAGCTCAGTGATAAACCGGGTCCGGAAGGAGAGGATGAGATTGTGGTCGCTGAGCGCGGAGTACCCCGATTTGATGATCAGGGTATCTGATTCTGAGTCGATGGCCGCGAAGACGGGTGCGGGGAATTGCGCTCCAGGCGTTTGCGGCACACAGCACCGCGGTGTCTTGGCTGAGAGGAAAGCCTCCTCATCGATGGTGTGGCCATCATCCATCTTCCGATCGCCAACTACAGTTTCATCCTCTGGCGTACGCTTGGCTCGCGCGTTCTGGTCGTGTCGACTGAGCACCACGAGGTCTTGGCCGTCCGATGGGCTGATTAGAGGTTGCGGGGACTGGTAGTAGGAGCGCACCCATATCACGTCCCCATTCCGGCGAAAGGCGCTGGCGAGTTGAGCGATGTTCTCTAGAAAGTCGGCAGTATTGGGAACATGTAGGGCTCCATTCGATCGCACAAAGTCATTTTGGAGATCTAGGAGGAGAAGAGCTTTGCGGGTTTGGATGGTGGGCAGATTGCCGAACTGGGGGATGAAACTCATTGTAGGAACATGATCAGAAGGTAAAGGGGGATTATCGCAAAACAGATCGATAAGAATACAGCTGGAAAGAGCAGGTCTGAAGGAATAAGAACCGTGGGTCAGATGCGGGGATAGTAGAAGGTGGGGTTGAGAATGGTGATAATACGGTAGAGAGCGGAGGAATGAATGTCAGGAAGAGAAGATGCGGAGGGGGAAATCCATGGGCAAAGAGTCCCGTCGACACCCGACTGCTGAGGCACTCACCAGGAATACTTTTCCGATGTGTCGGCCGAATAGAGAAGCGGTGTGGCCAAACAAACAACAAACAGCATCGACAAACAGACCAAACAAGACGCACGAGCCAAATACACTCAACAAGACAAATGCAACAAACATAACAAACACCAGCATGTTCCCAATCCACACTACTAGGTATACAAACATGCCTATCAGTTACCGCATCCATTGTCGGTACTCGGCTCGGATGAAGGTGAGGCTTATGACCTGTGAAGAAGAGTCACCACGGACAATTCTGTCAAATCGAGCAAATTGAAAAGCAGTTTGCCGATAGCCACAGTATCAGGATAGGTACAAACGCGACACGAGGTAGTTGAGGACAATAGGCAATGAAACTTGAATTTCCAAATAACTACCTAACTCGTCTGTATGACGGAACAGGGCTAGGAGTGGAAGGTGCGTACTATGTTGTTCTCTTTCGAAAGAAACTCATAATAACACGAATCGACCGACCATATCAACGTCAGTACCGAGTAATCAGACCGTTTCTCTCGCTAGCGAAACAATCTACCGCAACATCGTTGCGTTCGATGCCACGTATTCTCATGCTGATCAAAGTGCGACGAACGGAGTAATTGAAGTAGCACTGAATCATTGAAATCTTCCTGAGTGATACTCACAAGGCCAAGTAAAGACGAGTAAGTCTACAACCATACCCTCTACTATACCATGTCGCGTTCGTCTCAAACTCGCTGCCTCTTTTAGGCGCAAGTATTATTCCACGCATTTAATCTCCTCGAACACCGCACACACCCTAGGTTCCTTGCGCGATTCTCTTCAGCCATTCTGCTCCAACTTGTGGCATCTTTCAATAGTGTCATTATACCGTCGCCAACCCTCCGCACAAGGAAAGATCGGAACCTCATCCAAGCCGACGTAGTGATGATAGTTCCTTAGGGACCAATCCGGTCGGCGGTTCTCGAGGCCAACGAAGAGCGTAGGAAAGGCGATCCAAAAAAGTGATCCTGCAGTGGCTTCTACCAGTTGTCCGTCCCACTCCGAGACATCCCCGACCACGGGTGAAGCATCCCGAAAGGTCACCAGATCGCACCTCTCGCACGAACCTGCTGCGGTCGCATCGAAGCTACTACGTTCTGGCTGAATTATACCCCACGGACGATACTGAGAATACAGGGGCGACCCCTCGACGAAGATCATCCGCTCGTCAAACGTCCTCAGCACGCAGGCCTCTAACCCCTCCTGCAGGTCTTGCAGGCGAGGAAACCCATCGCGCGGGCACTGTGAGTTGCACGAATACCCAGCCTCAAAGGGAGTGATGGGGCCGGCCCGGTCTCTCGCGTAGTCCAGAAAGCACAGTTTCGTCGTTGGAGGCTGATGGAGGAGCATCCTTCTCCAACTGGCCTCGGGGCGTTCGTAATATCTCTTATGAGAGGGACCCGAACATCGACTGAGGTATTCGGGCCAGATTTTCTCGATGATGAGCGGGTTGGCGGTGCGTGGCTCGCCTTGGGGGTTATTTCCGGCCGGCTGGAGGAAGAGCGCGGCTTGCAGCGCTTGTGACTTGTTGATTAAGTCGTACCAGAGGTAGCATACTCGCGTTGAGACGAGTAAGGTCTGCATGTCCATCTGCAAGAGGATTTGCACCACCAGCTCCGGGATGCAGAATATTCGATGGGGTGTAGTTTCTGCCATGTTCCCTGTCGCTCAGAGTATTTTAGTGATGAGAGGAGTTGGTAGTTGATGAGATGAAGTCCCCTCGGGGCGAACGAGTGCGGCGAAGTATAGCTGCGAAGCGCGGTGGGAGGAGTCATTTCCGGCGTCACTCTTCCGACATCGATAGGCTTGGCCACGGTAGCAGTGCAAGTGATGCAGAACTGTGATGCACTCATGATGACGGTGAGCACAGTGTAGAGAAATTCCATGGATAAGGACAACGAAATTGCGCTTTTTGAACATGGAAGTATGCCGCGACTGCGATTCTCAAGAGAATCGAGTTCATCTTGGTCGTGAAAACCACAAGTAGCTCTGTGGCGCATTTATCTAGTCGCAGATGACCACCACTAGAGCTCGGATGAAGAAGACAGACAATTGAGTCGCTCACATTTCATGATTTGCCTGGGTGGCGATGGAGCTTTTGAGTGCCTAGGGATTATTGCACTTCGTTGCTGAAGTCGTGTCGATTGTTCTATGTTCTATGCATACAATCGGTCGGACGCAGGTACGAACCTCGCATACCTTGGCTCACAAACAAGCTCCTTCGGAGCATCCATTCCTTAGTATCCTAGTGGAACAGTAGCAGAGGTCGGTCATGAGCGCTATCATAATCCTTGCCGAATGATAAGCCAGATGTTTGCTTCTTTATTTGTATCGGTGCTCCCGCGGACGGCCGTCGGACGAATGTAGACAACATCGATCACAAGGTTCGACTGATAACGCCAGCAGGAATGGGTGACCCTGTAGACATTTGAGTAATCCATATCTTAGGTATCAGCATTTATGGACACCTATGACTCCCTCCCCTCCTCAAGCTGCATTTTCCTACTTCCACTATCCACACTCCCTTCGAGCAACGCAAGCTCTTCAGTGGTTAGGGAACTCCCAGTCCCACTCAAACCATATAATAAGCCCGCATAAACAGGACGGATCCAACACGGACCCGGCACAGAGCTGACCATCAAATACCATCTCCGAGGGCACAGCTATCTCCAAACTCTCTACAGAGTACCAACACAAGGATCATATCCCACTACTGCACGATGCCATCCCGAAAAGGAAAACACGTCCCCCACACTTCACCAAGCATGTGAAAGCGCAAGCTTTCATCCATCCTGCTTCCTTTGAAAGTATCCATCCAACCACGTGCCCACCACCACGGCTCAGAAATTCCCTACTCGCAAGCCAAGAACCGCGACAAGTGAGCCATCCCCAAAAATCAAGGTTCCCAGCGCAAGTACCGAGATTCTCCACAAATCAGTCCTGATAGAACTTCCCACGTGTTGGCCGTTACCCCTCCGATCGACACTCACTAGACCACTGTTTAGGCTACGCGTAAATTAAACTAAGTGTACGGCACTGCGGACTGGGAAGAAACCCAGCGGGCGGCTTTGCGAGCGCTCGGCGAAGCTGCCCGTTAGGGCTAATGGTCCGGATCTCCGGCAGTGCCCCTCTGTTCGACTGCAGGCTAGTCTAGACTAGAGTGTCATCGTCCCCCTTGCTCGCGCTTGCTGCAGGTTGCTTTAGCAGATTGTCAAACTGGGCCATTGCAGAGTTTCGTGATGGCCTTGGGCACATTTTCACATGTTTTGGTGCTCGCAGGTGCAGATCGGCTAAGCTTAGCGCAGTCGAATAGCAAGAGCTTTGCCGAGAGTGGGGATCCAAGCGTTAAGCGCACTCGTGGGAGTCAGTCACAGTACGTTAGACTCGCGATGAAAGTTGATCAGACAGTTGGTGACTTTGAAGCAGTTCTTGCAAAAGTTACGGGCAAGGGCAAAACCAAACGGAGACTTACCCCCTTTTTCTCTTCTCGAAGACCTCAATTAAGTTAAACCGATTTAAGTCTATGACTGTTAAGAATTAAGAGTGGGTCCCCCACCAGGCTCCAAGCCGTGGTTTCGGCTATCAATCTGCGACAACCCGCGAAACGTGGGTCGGGGGTACTTCGGCGGACGGTAGACACTGGAAAATTTTCTCTTCTGTTGGGAAGATGGTAATGGTAGGAGACAGATGTCGTAACGTATATTCATTCACATTATATCCGAGATATGAAGTATGTACATGCGACGCGAGCGCGTCAATTATTACTCCTATACCTATTTACTGCGGCCATTGTCCACATCGCCCGGGCGCAGCAGGGCGACTAATCGCACGCGCTGATGTACTCGAAGTAGAACTTGTGGGCGGAGACACTGTCCAGGAGCGTCCCGTCGTTGCCCGCGGTGGAGTCCACTCCAGTCACCTCGGTGATGTCCGAGGTCGTGACGGTCACGTCGGTGTCGCTGGTGATCCAGTACTCCGGGCTGAAGTGGTGGTAGCCGAGAAGCTTCGGCGGGAGCTTGGGGACGATGTCGTCCGTGTGCGTGACGCGGTAGTTGCTGCCCTTGGTTTGGTCGGTGATGTAGTCTGCCAGGGCAAGGTTGCCGATGCGAGGTTGGCCGAAGTTGTACTATTCATTATCAGTCCTTAGTTCGAGTCTAATGTGGGTGAGATAGGGTTAGGAACATACCAGGTCAACGGTGTACCCGTCGTTGCGGAGGACAGTGGCGCCGATTGCAGCGAGGGCAGCACCCAAGCTGTGGCCGGTGAAGACCAGGTCGTAGTCCGAGTAGGTGGTGACAGCCGCCTCGACCTTGGAGGCGATAGTGCTGGCAACTGTCTCCCAGGCTTTCCAGAAGCCACTGTGGATCTCGCAGCCAGTACAAATGCTGCTTGCGTCTGTAAGACCGAAGTCAATGTTGGCGATCCAATTAGAGAGATCGGAGCTGCCACGGAAGGAGACAACAATGGCCTTGTTTGTCGAGTCGACAGCGACGAAGCCCGCCGTGTCGCCGAACTCGGCAGTTCTGAGGTGGTTTGTCAGTCGACTCGGCCAAGTTAAATATGCGATCAGGAAACCTACTCGTTGAACTCGTCGAGGACAGTGGGAGCAGCAGCCACAACCAGCGGACAGTTGTCAGCAGAGCAGGAGAGCGCCGTGCTTGCTGAATCGATGTTGGTCGAACAGTAAGCGGCCGCGCTATACTGCGCAAAGAGGTCCATCTGGTCCAGCAGGGTGGTGGAGACAGCTATGACAGGATTAGCATCGTGGAATAAGACTAGGTTGACACGAGCACGTACATCGACGCTCGATCGGCGCGGGGGCAGCCTGGGCCAGCAGGCCGAGAGCCGCGACAACCCCTAATTCCCGGGTGTAGAGCATCGCGAGTGGAAGAGAAAGAACGGGGAAGTTGGGTTAGGAGATGATCTGCCTGGATCCTGGGGATACCACAAAGAGTGGCGATCAGCCATCCTTTTATAGAAATTCTTCCCCTTATCCCTTGCGGGAGGGGAATTCGTCGGGGGTCTGGCGTAGAAAGTCCGAGTGATACGAGCCACTCCGGAAGGGCGGGGGAAAAGCAAATCCCATGGTCAAATTGAGAAAGAAGACAAGTGAAGGCTATACCCATTGCTCTTAGCTTGAAGCCAAGGACTGACAATGGGGTGGAATTGATGGGGCTCTAGGGGCGGCCCCCAACAAACGTTGCTCCGTCGGAGGAAGATAGGGCAAGGCCACGGGAGAAGGGGAATGCTACTGGAGTGCACACGGCCCAACTTCCATCGCGCATTGGCTTCTTCTTTGCTAATTGCCACGCGTCTACAACAGATAGATGCACTGGTAGACGGGATAATTTTCTTGAGCATTGGTGTCAACCCCTTCCGGATGGACCCGCCCGGCATTCGAGGCTAAAGCGCGATGCTTGTTCAAGCCTGATTGCTCTTCAGCCGGAACAGCGTGACTGACCTGCATGAACGGCCCGGAGTGTGCATCCCGCAGAAGCAATAAGAAAGAAATCCCTATGAGTTAGCGTCTTTGGCGCGGACTGTCGTTCTTCTCGAAAGACCCACCTCGTTCGGCTTAATTTGGCGCGTCTAGCGGGTTGAGTCTTCTGAGTCTTCTATAGCGACAATTGTTATAGTCCTCGCGGACACTTCTTATCCACCAGTGAAGTGATCACGGGGTAGGTTGCAATTTAAAGTCTGCTTCAAAAGTCAGGATAATCGAATTTTCTCCCAATTAAGGACGCACGCTGGCCGTCTGACTGTGTTGTTGGGGTCAGGGGCTTGACGCTATGTTTTCCGCTGTGAGGAAGATACCTGAAAGTGACCGGCCCCATGGACACTGCGCCACCAACTTTCGATGATCGCGATATTGAAGAGAAGGTTGTTTTGGCCTCGAACATTGAAGGTAATTGTCAGGGGCTTGGTGCCTGAGGCACAATGTTTTGCTTTAAATGAGGCCGGATCAACCAATCTTCCCGTTCCGAAGTCATCAGCAATAATCCAACTTATCCATTGCATCTTATCTCTTGAAGGACTTCTAGATTTTTTCAGATGAGGTAAATGTAGCGTCAGAGTATGGACTTTAGTCTGATTATGTAGCTCGACAAGATTCGTTGAAGTGGCTTGCGAACACTATGACTCATCATCATTTTCCCGATTTCAATCCAACCCTGATATATACGTTTTCGGGTTACCTTAATAACGAATTCGCCTTAATCCCAACTAGTGATTATAGACTTACACTACATAGAATACACTGCTCAAATACATACACGTATCTAAAAGAAGAGCTTCGAGCGTTGACATATTGGTTCCCTGCAACAAGCTTCTCTATTGGTAATGGTAGGAAGTCTATAATTCTCTCCTCTCTGTGTAGTTCTGATTCACTGGCCGGGGGGTGGGGGAGTATTTCGGGACCACTAGTTCAGACTTTTGAAACGCATCAACAACTTGTCATTTGTAGCCAGAGGTAGTATTGGAGGCCTAACCAGTCGAGTGAGCTGCGAATCTGATCGTATCTGATGTCAAAATCCGGAAACCCCAAGAAGAATGAACTACCCCGAGCTGCTGCTTGTACTCCACCTACACCATGCGGATGAGTCAAATGAAGAGTAATCTTTTGATACAAAGCGCATAGATTATTGGAAGGAGATTCTATCCTAGACAAAAAGCTTATAGATATAAAGTGTACAGACACAAAGCGTGGAAGTACCTCAGAGGGAGGTTTTATCTTAGATACAAAGCGTATATTGCAAAGCGTGGTGCGGACGAGCGTTACGGAAGGTGAATACAGACAAGTGTATATAGTGCTCTAATACAGAAGAATGACATCCATTTTGGTCGTGCACATCGTCATCGACGGAAGGTAGAGAACCTGCATGTGAGTCACCTCATCGAGTCTGATATTCGGGCACAGGCTTCTGTGTGTCTATGTAGAGGGATAGGCTGCGAGGTGATGTGGTGGACCTTTGTATTCTAGAATGTTTCTGCCTGCGCCATTGTATCTTGCTAATCATTCTGATTGCAGGAGCGTGGTTTATCCCAATATTAGTATCAATAATACTTCTTGACATTGCCCTACTATAAAGGATCGCCAGTATTACCTGTCAGCCCAGCTGCTGGCGCAATGCAGTTGTGTTCTTATGCCTCCAGGGTTTCTTCAAGCCTTAGCCCTCAGACGCCCATTGCCTCGGCACATAGACTCGAAGTAGTTTATACTCGCAGGGGCCGGCTCGCATGATGAATATCTGTGCTTACCACAGTCACCACAAGCCTCTAACAGGCTATTGGGTGGTAGAGCAAGCTTTGTTCGCTGAAATGCGAGATGGCCTTGCTGCTATGACGTCGAGGTCATCACAGTTGGCCCAATGTGTCACATTCGGGCGACAAGATAATCTCTGCCAATGGAGGATGCAATTCACCCTGTTCAGTACCTCACGTTACACATTTTGAACGCAGCTGATCTGCCAAGAAAACAGACGTCCGATCCCGAGACTTTATTAGAATATTTCCCGTAACCTACCTTTTCAACTGAGCCTTCACGTTTGTCTATCTGACAAGCAAGTTGTATTTGAATGTGGATCAAGAGGCGGCCTCTTGATCCCTACGAAAGCGCTTGATGATGAATTTGTCCGGAGTTTACTTCCAACCTGGTATGTGTTAGCCCTTCCCGCAGTGGTGGTTATCTGAACTTAACCAAGAGGTTGGGCATGATGTTCAGCACAGATCCATTGTCTGCGTGTAGCCTTTAGGTTGTCAATCACATCTCACTTAGGTGGCCTGCATCCCCGGCCGACGTCGAAACTCCAAATCGACATCCCTGTATATCCTCGTAGCGTCGACTGACTCCCCCTACATGATCACCAGTCAAGACAGCAATAGTCTCCGAACCCTGCTCTAGTCATAATGATAAGTACTTCTACCATCTCATCTGCCCAGCACCATATCTCCCTCCTCCCCTTGGCACCATTCCAAACCCAGCATGGAGTCCCTCCTCAACGCCCCGCCTACCCGCATAGCCCTCTTTCTCCTCCTCCTCACCCTGAGCAGCATCCTCCTCCTCACCCGCCTCCACCGCGCACACATCCGCCGCCGATTCGCCCACCAGCATGGCTGCCAACCCATCACCCACTACAACAACAAAGACCCCATCCTCGGCCTGGACGAGATCTACCGAGGCATCATCACCGCGAAGCGCCACAAAGCCCTGGAATCCATCACACAGCGCTTCCAGCTCCACGGAAACACCTTCGCCTCGCGCCGCCTCCTGAAATACACAATCGTCACCATCGAGCCCGAGAACATCAAAATGGTCCTCTCCACCCGCTTCAAAACCTACGGGCTGGCCCACCGCCTCCCAATCTTCCAGCCCTTACTGGGGGAAGGGATCTTCGACACCGACGGCGCGCACTGGGCCGCCTCGCGCGCGCTCATCCGCCCCAATTTCACAAAGGACCAGGTCGCCGACCTCGCCGCCTTCGAATCGCTGATCCCCTCCCTGCTAGCGCACATCCCCCGCGACGGGGCCACGGCCGTCGACCTCCAAGACTTGTTCTTCCGGTACACGATCGACTCGGCCACGGACTTTCTGTTTGGGCAGTCGGTCGGCAGTCTGAAGATGCAGCGCAGCGAGTTGGATTTCGCGCAGGCGTTCAACTATGCCCAGGAGGCGATGACGGTACGCGCGATTCTCGGGCCGTTTGGGCGGTTCTACTACGATCAGAAAGCGGAGCGGTGTAATCGCGTCTGTCGGGAGTTTGCGATGCCGTTCGTTGAGGAGGCGGTTCGGGCTGTTCAGGATGGCGGTGGTGGTGGTAGTGGCAGGAAGAACGAGAAGTATATCTTCTCGCATGAGTTGGCGTCACGGACGAGTGATAAGCGTCGGATATTGGATGAGTTGATGAATGTGCTCCTCGCGGGGAGGGATACAACGGCTAGTCTGCTGAGTAATATGTTCTTCATGCTGGCGAAACATCCAGAGGTATGGGCGAAATTGAGGCAGGAGGTGGTGACGAAGTTGGAGGGGCGGTTGCCCTCGTATGAGGAGCTGAGGGGGTTGAGGTATTTGAAATGCTGTGTTAAAGAATGTGAGTGTTCTTCTTCTTGGTGGGTGGTTAGGAAAGGTGGTCTGATGCTGATGCTTTGTGCTGCTAGCGCTCCGACTACACCCCGTCGTCCCGATGAACGATCGCGTCGCGGTGAGGGATACGGTCTTACCAGTTGGAGGTGGTAAGGACGGGCTCTCGCCGGTCTTCGTGCCCAAGGACACGATTGTTGCGTATAATGTGTACGCCATGCATCGGCGGGAGGACTTCTACGGTGACGACGCGGAGGTCTACCGGCCGGAACGGTGGGAGGATGGGCGGCTGCAGCCGCGATGGGAGTACCTGCCGTTCAACGGGGGACCACGGATCTGCATCGGGCAGCAGTATGCGTTGACGGAGGTGGCATATGTGACGGTTCGTCTGGCGCAGGAGTTTGAGGGGCTGGAGAGTCGGGATCCGGGCCCGTGGGAGGAGTCGTTGACGCTGACGGTGTGTTCGCGCAACGGGACCAGAGTGTGTTTGACGCCGGCCTGATTCCCCATTTCGCTTAATGGAGCTAGCTATATGGGCATAGAGCGTAGCGAGTATAAATATCTCCTAGGAACTATCTCTTCAGAGTTTGTGCATAGTCACTAAGAACGGAATGATATTCTCCTAACTTGGAAGTGATGCCACACTTCGAAGCTGGCCCTAATTCTGCCCCTTCATCCTCACCCACGCCTCATACTGATCCTTTACGACCTGCTCAACGGGTAAATACTCCATCCCCAGCTCTCTCACACTCCGGCCATTATCCACCTTGAAATCAATCCCGATGTTCCTCGACACCCAGCTCCGCGACACCCCGATGAATGGCCCGGCCAGATACACCATGAGCTTCGGCAGATTGCGCGTGGGCAGCACCTTGGGATCCTTATGGATCGGCCGCACGATCTCCGCCATCTCCAGCAATCCCACCGTGCGATCGCCTGCAATCAGATACCGACCGTTGGCCGTCTTGCTCGTTCCGGCCTTGACGTGGGCTGCCGCGACGTCCCGCACGTCGACGACGGGGTAGTACAGCTCGGGTGTGCCCTGTCTGTTCTGGCCGGAGAAGATGTTCTCGATTGTGAACAAGCTACCCGAGGTGGACTCTGTGGTGAGAGGCGGACCCAGGGTAAGGCCTGGGTTGATGGCGACGAGATCCCATCGTTTGTGGAGCTGGCCGTCGTGCAGCTTCCAGGCTTCCCGTTCAGCGGCGACCTTAGAGTAGTGGTAGGGGTTGTTGGTCTCGGTAGCGGTGTCATTCCAGTAGGCTTCGGTGAGGGTGCTGTCTTTCATCTGGGTGACTTCGATGCTGTCGCTGTACATTGCTGCGACTGCCGAGTTTTACTGCATGTTAGACGGCAAACAGACAAGGTGGAGGGGCTGGCTGGCTTACTTGAAGAGGTCAGGACAACGCGGTGCACGCTCTCGCATTGGTTCACCGACTCCAGCACGTTGCGAGTGCCCTGCAAAGCGGGCTCGACGCATTCCTTCAGACCATTTTTGATTTGAGGGGGTGCCAGAAATGGCGATGCAATGTGGTATACAACGCTGCAGCCCTCCATCGCGGGGCGGAAGGAGCCATCACGGAGAAGATCAGCTTCGAAAAGAGAAAGTCTGCCTGGATACTGCGCTTGGAGATCGAGAAGCGGCTTGCATTTGGCGGCGTTCTTGAGACTGCGGACGGTGGTGTGGACGGTTTCTCCCTTCTCGAGGAGGAGCTTGACGACGTGCAGGCCGATGAAGCCCGTGCCACCGGTAATCAGGGAAGTCGGCATTGTTATTTGAGGGTGTTCGTGCTGTGAGGCAGTATTGTAATGTGAGCCGTGGTGATATGCCAGAGGGTAGTGGGCATCGTCCCTGGGAGGGGATGCTCCTTTTAACTCGGTCGGGGGTTGTGATTAGGGCTGGTGCCGTTGCAAATCTATGAATAAGGGTCTATCCATTTTGTGCGACTTAGTTATGTCGGTGAGCCCTCGGAAGGATAACAGGTGGCTGTTGCTATTGTCGGAGTCCGAGCCTATTCAGGGTTCCAGGATGGCGTGGATCACGGCAGCCCATGGACGGTTACACCCTCGGTTCTTAGTGCATAGGTGCTTTGACTTCTAGGTCTGACCTGCTTCAATATCTCAACTCGACCAGGTCAGCTCTTACTCTAGCGCTTGATCATCAAATGCTCTGAGGATGTGCCTCGGTTGTCACGCGTTTCAAGATCTCAATATAGGACCCTTGTAAATAATCACATCATTCAATGGTATAGCTCTTTACGCAACCAGGCAGCTCTGAGCCCACCTATTGATGCGTACTTAATTCTCAGAACAAACTACTTACGGGTCTTCGTGCATAGAATACTGGGAAGGCCGACTAGCCATCTCATCGCAACTATAGCCGGCCAAAAATATTCTGTCGGGATACCTTCTGCTTCCCAAAACATAGGCCGCAGTGACACTCTATTTTTAGCCCTGCCAACAGGTCTCCGTGGCGCTCCCTTGTCATACTCAACCCGTAGATTCATCAAAATTTCAACTCGGCCGATTATTTGATTCTGCGGGTACTCCAAGTTGTATTGTACAATCACCTACTTTCGAACGCGACTTGCTCCATTGATTAGGCCTCAGAGAATTGAGCTATGTGCATCACATTTCAAAATCGATGACATTCTATCATGAATCAGCGCGACCCTGGTCTAGCGCTGGAGTACAGTCGTAGTGCAAAAGGGTCTTGAAGACTAAGACAGTACAAACAAAACACGCTAATAAGACAGACACCAAATCTTTACAACTGACTCCTCAGCAAAGACACATCCTGCTTCAGCGCCAGCTTGCTGATATCAGCACTGGGGGTCTTGCCGACCAAGAGCTCGGAAACGACCTGACCCGTTCCCAAGGCCAGAGTGATGCCCCACGGGCCGTGTCCGCTGGCCACATACACCCTGCCTCCAGCGCTGCTCACAGCCCCCGTGACTGGCGAGATAATCGGAGAGCCTGTTGTCGAAACCGGCCTGAAACACAAGCCCTCACTCACAATCTCCAAATCACTCTTCGTCGATGCATCACTGCCTGTCAACAGCCGGGCCACCTCCCGCAACCGCTCCACCTGCTTCTGATCCCGCAACTTCGGAATCTCGCCCGCCACCTCCGGCAACGGCATCTGATCACTATTCAGCCCCGCGATGTAAATCTCAGGGACCCCCTCGTGATTCACCCGGCCGAGCATCTCCGGCGCAAATTCCCACTGCGGGCCGGGGGCGCAGAAAATCGAATGGTCCTTCTGCGCCACGGAGCGGGTATACCGCGGCGAGCGCACGATGACACTATACCCGGCGAGCCCATTGATCCCGACCGCCATCTTGCGCTTGAACAGCGTCTGGAACACGCGGGGGGTCCAGCACCCGGCGGCAATGACGAGATCCTTGCAGGGCAACGAGATCTCGACGGGGGTGCTGTGCACCGACATGCGCTGCTCAGCCGTCACCGCCTCGATCCGGCCCTCGCGGTCCACCTTGAACCCCGTCGCGCGGGTATCCAGCAGGATCTCCACCCGGCGCTCCCGACACTGCGCCAGCAACCACACCACCAGCGCCTTGGGGTCGACCTGCGCGCACCCCGCGTCACTCGAGATCTCCTCCACCACGCACTCCGCCGGGCGATTCATCCACGTCGGCGTGCCCTTGCCATCCAACCGCCCATCCCTCTCCCCTTGGCCCTTGCTGGTGACGCTAGACGACGGGGAAAACTGCTTCGCGACCTCCGCGCGACTCGTGCCCGACAGCAACCAATCCTCCCCGCGCACCTTCCCACCGGTCTTCCGGCCGTGCGCGTCGAGCTCGTCCATCGTCACGCCGAACGCCTGGCTAGCGCTGTAGCCCCATTTCTTGCGGCCGTCGTGCGCATCCGCCAGGGACTGGTGCAGGCGGAAGGAGAGGTCGGCGAGCGAGGTGACATCGTCCGAGAACCAGTCCTTGGCGATGAAGCCGCCCGAGAAGCCCGAGGCGGACTGGAAGAGGGCCGAGGCCGAGTCGACGATCTGGATTTTGCGGGTCGGATCGGCGAGCGACGCGTAGTAGGCCGTCGAGAGGCCGATGATGCCGCCTCCGAGGATGATGAGGGACATTTTCTTTACTTCTTTTCGGTGCTTGAGCTGAACTTGGTGGTGGTGGTGGTGGGGTGGTGGTTTTGTGCTAGGTTGGTTTAAGCTCAATGAATGCAATTGAGGACTGGCAGGGTAATTGTATGCTGTGCTGTTGAAGATACCGGGGGCTGCACTGGGTACGAATCCAGCCTCAAGCGCGCGGTTATATACTCGCCCTCTTTTTCGTGGGCGGTGGCAGGAGTTTTCCGGCGCCTCGGAAGATTTGGCCCATTTCGGGGGGACGGTGCGAGGATTGCTCCACCCCAGTGTGGAGTTTACCGCGGGGAAAGTAGGGTTACCCTAGTCTGCTTTGGGGAATCGGTTCCCTGTCTACGCCCTGGGGTTGACAAGGATGGGGTCTAGATTGGTGAGGGTGAGAGGATTGTGTAAGTTGGTTATGGAGCAGGTGGAGTATGATCTACTAGAAGATTGATGTTGTGGTGGGATGGATCTTTGTGTGTTGCGTTTGTCGTATGACCGCGGGCATTCCATACATAGGGCGGGTGCGGGATGCATCAGGAGATCTACCAAGTAGTTTTCCGAGCAGAATGAACAATATCCAGCACGCGCAACACAACTCAGAATTCGAATAGCATTCACATCTCACTGACTAGTCTGACTACACACATTGCACATATACTACATCATCAATCATCAATTTTCCAAACCAGCATCTCCACCTGCACGGGATCTGTAGAGCCCCGTGCTAGACGCACCACAACGCGACGCTCCGTACCCGGCCACCAGCGGTTTACTCATGAGGATGAATATCCTCGCTCTGCTCGGTGCCTATTCCGACCACCCATATTAGCCAAAGTTTCAATATGACAGCAGACAGACAGGCATACCCATCGCCCCCTTCGGATCGTACGGCCGGAACGACTGCGCCCGATCGGGCACCTTATTACTGGGGAAGCCGGTGCGCTCGCTGCCCTGCGGCATGTCGGCGGCGGCGGTCTGGTGGGCCGCGCGCTTGGCGGTCAGCTCCTCCCATCGGCCGTCCGAGCCGAGATCGTCGATCGATTCGACAATGTCCGCGCCGGTGAGGTGGTAGGATCCGGAGAGTTTGCGGGGGTTGGATTCCATTTTTCTCAGATTGTGGACTCGTGGTTGATAGATGATTGTTCAGGATGTATACCAAGGGTGCATTGGATGGGTTGAATACAGTCGTGCAGAATCTGGGGTTGGGATGGGATTTAAGTAAGGCGGGGAAATCGAAACAATGAAGATGCAGCGGATTGCATGACGTCGTGGTGCGATCAATGCGGTTGACTTAAGAGGCGAACCGTGGGTGGTTGCAGTGAATGCGGAGGCGGGATTGGTGCAGCACGGGGCCAGGTGACACCTTGCAGAAGGACGGGGGGCACATTACCTCAGGGTACGAGCTGTGCCCGAGGTTTGAGCTATTTTCATTGGTGTTGAGCGTGTGAGTGCGATGTCAATTGAGATTGGTCGTGGGGAGGATGTTTAGCAGTCGGTTGCATATTAAGGGTCAGCCCTGAGAGCGATGCCAAGCATTGCACTTGGATAGGGTTGGATCTATGCTGAGGGCCAGTGTCTAAGGAAGGTGGTTGTTTGTTTGGATGTTCTTTCTCTCTGGCTAGTAAGGTACTTGATTCTTGGGGAAACGACTATTGCAGTGATGCTGACGGCGCAAAGCTTTCTTTCTTCTGACCTATCCGCTATCAATGGATCAATGGATGGAAACCTACTATGAGAACTGTTACAGCAACATGCTACTGAACATGACAAAGAGCACATTCAAAAATGAAGCAAAATTCCGACATCTACAAAGGCCTAGCGGAGATCATCGCTTGGGACCTCATGAACAGATCTATAAAAGCAAGACAGGCTGCTTTCTCGCAGAGAAAGCGCACTCCCATCCTGAAGTTGGAACTTACCATAAACACATCATAAGCATCCAGACTACAACATGGCAACACCACTTAAGGTCCTGTCCCCCGACGACAACGTGGTGAAGTGGTTTGAAGAGGAGAGCATTCCGTATGCCTACTTTCACACCCCCGTCGCCGAACTGTATTGGCTGGTGAGCACTAACCGCCATACGAACATGCCCGTCAAGTTTCTCATTTCCGAAGACCTCATCGACCAAGCCTGCGAAATACTCACTCGCCATGGGCTGGTCGCATGCCCCTACGGAGATGACTGCCAGCTGACCCGCTCACTGGCCCAGATCCCCAGCTCGGCGGATCATTACCATGCGGCTCTGCCAGCCGATGCGGACGCTCAAGGCCAGCAACCGAACCCCGATGCGATGGAGGTGGACCAGACACAACTGACCCAGCCACAGGACCCGGATGCAATGGATCTTGATGAGGATATCCCCTCCTTCCCCCCGCCGGGCAGTGCGGGCGCTCCTAACGATGCCTACGGCCTGACGATCCTCCTCTACCCGCAGGAGGACCTCTTCTGGTTCTTCTCCACCCCGCCTCGCCGGACAGAGCTCGAAAACAGCTATTCCTACATTGAATCGCGCGAGCCCATCATCTGCCGGCTCTGGAACTGCCCCGTGGTCACCTACACGCAGCGGACGTGGGCGGAGACGGTGCTGATCAACCTGAGCCGCGACCTGGCGACGCGCGCCGGCGTGCCGCAGGCCTACTGGCACGCCGAGCTGAAGCACATCGCCATGTTCTGGTACAACGACCACCCGTCCGCGTACCAGAACAGGGACTCCCAGGTCGACCTGCACCCTCGCAACATGATCAAGCCATACAGCACCATCCTGAGCCTGTTCCGCGAGGCCCTGTGGTTCTACGACCAGGACGGATTTTCGGACGCGGTCAAGGCGGAGTTTCGGGAGATGTTCGACGAGCTCGATCTGATGGGACTGTTCCCGCCTGGCCCTGGGCTGCGTGTCGATCCCTGCACCGACCACACCTTTACAGGGCACGGCCCGATTCCTGCGTATTTGGCGCCGTCGGTGGCGGGCATTCGTCGGGACTTCCAGTCGCGACGGGATGGTTCGGGTTGAGCCACCGTCGCCTTCCTCCTGGTGGGTCACCTTTTTTACGGACAATAAAATGCAAGTTTAGAATACAAGGAGGCTCATTTCATAGGGGTCGTTCATATATCCGTTCATTCATCCATTTTATCTATAACATACCAACCACCCAAGCACAACACAAATTCCACCCACCAAGTTCAGCCAACGGTCAACAACCGCTCACAAAACCCCCCAAACCCGCGCACCTTATCATGCACATGAATCTCCAAGATCCAATGCCTCTCCCACCCCCCCTTGCCCTTCCCCCGCATCCTCTCCCCATTGCCCGGGGTAATATACAGACTGATGCGATCATTCGGGATGCGCTCATGCGGAAAGCTGCCGACAATGTGGCCCGCGATCTCCGCCCCGAACACCCACCCCCAGCCCTCCCGTTCCCCGGCCTCCTTGACCTTCTGCTCTGCGATCGCATACAACTCCGCCCCGGTGATCTCCGGCCGCCGATCGAACTCCTCCTTCACGGCGACCCAGATCCCCTCTAGTGCATCGCGGAGCGCCAGCTTGGCGGGATCAGTGCCGAGAACGTAGGTGCGGCCGAAATCCGCCTCCCACGCTTCGAACACCGGACCTAGGTCGATGACGAGGATGTCGTCGGCGAGGAGGGTCCGGTCCGGCGGGTTGTCGGCGAAGGGGCGCAGGGTGTTGGGCCCGCTGCGCACGAGGCGCTTGTGCCAGTGGGTGCGCACGTTGTGGTGCTCCGCGCCGAGGCGGTGGATGCTGTCGCTCAGGGCCTTTTCGGTGATGCCGGGCACGATGAGGGGTTCGATGGCGGCGAAGAGCGCGAGGGCTTGGTCTTGGGCTTCTTGGAGGGAGGTCGCGCGGTGGGTTTCCTCCGGGGTGGTCATTTTCTTCGTTCGTGTGATTTCTGTGGTGATGATTGCCTAAGAGGAGGATTGGTGTTGGGGGTTTTGGCTTGGTGATGATGGGGGAAATTGTTTGAGGGTGGGGTGTCGGGGTTGGGGTTTTTGTATACGCTGCGCGGTGATATACGTGTGGTGGGGTAAAGTGGGCGCACGATGGCGTGCCGTTATCGGATCGCCGGGCTTATCGGGGTTGCTGCTCGGGGTGAGTACCACTCACTGCTTTGGCGGCTGGCTTATTGGGCAGTCGGGCCGGCTGCGTGGTGTGGGCTTCGTATAGACTGCGGTGTACACAGTAACTTACCTATATTATACGATATGTTATTCCTCCACCCCTTCTGTAACGAGATTGCCGTCTCAAAAAGTTCAGGAGGTTTGTTTCTACGATGGAAATGAATGCGGCATGAGGGTGGTTACGTAGATCCCGAAAGCATCGGTAGATACAGCGAATAAGGCTAAGCTTTCGGCTGAGAGTCGGACAGGCAGTCACACGAACTAGCGTGGCTCCGCGTTTCTGTCAAGTGATCGACAGACTCCCGACAGCTGTCAGCATCGACAGATTGGCATACCATAAAGAACTTCATTGTTTCCTGATGAGAGATTCCAGTTTGGGTCGACGACTGTGTTAGTATATCAGAAAAGGTTGCAGAGTACGGATGGAAGCAGTTATGATGATTTCCACTGCCAGCTTGCGATTGATGGGTTCCTAATACTGAACTATAGACCGCTAACGCTGAATGTGAATAGACGGCTTGTCTTCGTGTGAGGCTCATGATATTGGCTAATCGTCCCCGGAATCAAGTTCTCTGATTGGAACCACCAGCAAACGCGTGTCCATCAGGTACTCGACGATGAGGTTTCAGCTGGCAGTATGACTGAAGACCTGTCCTATTTGCTGTCCACTCATTTGAATCATCTTCGAGTAATCACAAATTGAGGAAAAGCCCCGGGGCAAGAATCAATGCTTCGATGGCGATGGCGGAGATGCCCCCGTCACAGATAGCTATCGCCGATTGGGGCCGACGTAAGCGAGACTGGACCTTTCCAAGCATCGCAATCCAAGTGACAGTCAACAGTGCCAGCTGTTGTGGATTCGTGTGCAGCCTGGCTCCGGGACTTGGTGTCTCTCACGGGTGCCAGGTCCCTGTCGGTGGAGGGAGCCGACCGTATACAATTCCCATATCGATCACTGCCATCCCATTCTTTGCTTCCCATGTGGATATTGCGGTGATCCTGGTTCCGACAAGCACCACAGCACAAGCATCTGGCGTGGGGTGCTAACTGGAACCCTTAAGCCCAACCGACCCTCCCCTCCTAGTATGCCCGCCCTCAAACCATCACAGACCAGCCGCAAGCACGGTTCCAATATCTGAGTACAAACAGGCGGACGATCACTCCGACTCCGATTCCTCCGGCTGCATGACCTTATCGTCGAGTTCCTAGGATCATTAGTACGACAGGTCGACACAAAACTGACATCTCCTACCTTTCCCAGTCGGATTTTGAGATTCTGAAGCTGACTCTCTTTGATCACAAGGTGGCGGTCGTCATCGAGGTCTTCGACGATGTAGTCGTGGCGCTCTTCGTCGTATTTCAGGATGATGGCTTTCACGGACGGGTCGCATTCGATGAGGACACCTGTAGGGATGGGGTCATTAGCTGGGACGTGAGAGCTGGATACAGAAGAGGTGATGATCATTACCTCGGACAGCGCGTGGCATGATGGCGGTGTTTGTGTTGAAATTGGATGAAGTTGAAGAAGACTGGTGTTGCACCAAAGGAGAGAGTGGTTGGGGGATGAAACGGAGCGGCGCGACCGAAGATCTCCGCGGGTGTCCTGGTACCTGGGGCCTTGTGTCCTGAGGCAGCCGTGCCTTGTATTATTCACTGCTTGGCGCCGCGGGTCACCGCTTACCGCCTGCTGATTGATCCTGGCAGAATAGTATACACCGCTTTCACGGATCTATGTTTACATTAACAGGAAGTACAATTCCACTCACACATACTCATCACTTACCACTATCCATCATGCATGATGAAATTTCTGTCTGCAGCAAGAAAGACAAGAAACAACTTCAGACATGGTCTCCAATTTCATGAGAAGCAGTTATCTGCAATACAAAGCGGACACCGACACTGTAGCGACATGGCTCGTCGCTACTGCCAAGAGTTGTGGCTTCCCTGTGGATAAACTTGGAGCCACAGCCAATCCAACCTTTACAACCAACAACCCACCCTCGGCTGCAACTCCCGGTCCTTCTAAGCGTCTTAAAGGAAAAGCAAGGAAGTTGGCTCGCGAGGCTGCCACCAAAGCTGCATCCACTGGCTCTCAATCGACAACATCCGAAGCTGCTAAACACATTCTCGCCTTGAAGGATTTCGTCGACCTCGCAGAATATATCGCTGCATCAACTACGCCGGTGATTCGCGTGCCAGCAAGCTTTGTGACGGTCCTTGACCGAGCCATCTCAGTGCGACGCAAGCATGGCAACAAGGCCCGGGCCAAGCTCTCAACAAACCTCGAATCGCGAGAATCCTCCGACCGACACGAGTATTTTATCGGGATTCTAGAACACGTCCGGCAGGCTCTACAGCCTCGAATGTCAGATGAGAATGTAGAAGACCCCTCGATTGATAATGTCACAGACCACAAGGCCAACAACCTGGCGAATCGATTCGAAGGCCTAGAAGTTCATGAGCCGTCCGAGGCGTTCCTGCAAGCCCCGGACGTTGCTATCCCCGCCCCAGCAACCGAAAAGCCAGAGGTCAACTATGAAGCCGAGCGCCTCCACGACTACGAAGAAGTGTTCTTTGCCTTCAGCCTGCTGCTTCAGGATCTGCGAAAGATCCGAGTCGTCATCGCACGAACCTGGAAGGGCTACAAACTGCGTACCTTCGATCTAGTGGCGGTGTCCCTCATGACAAACTGTGCCATCGACTTCGCCCGACATTTGGAGGAGGAAATCCAGGGCCTTCTGAATGAACATGGAGGTTCGATCGCACTGTTGATCAGTCTCTATGAGGGGATCTCTGACATGGTCGGCGAGGATCCGATGCACCGGGAGCGGCCCGGAGACCCTTTTGACTTCCGAACCTACCATATTGCCGAGTCACTGTTTATACCCACCTTTGTCTACCTGAATTCTTTCCACCCTCTCGTCGACAAACACAGCTTTCTTCCATGCAGAGAGACGTCCTTTCCCACCTGCGACAGGGCGAGCGACTGGGCGCGGAAAAGTGCAAGGGACAGATTTGAGGAGGACATGAAGGTCATAAACGAGGTGCTCTCCGAATTCGTGTATCTACATCTCCTCCTCCCGCAGCCGGAGCCACACGAGGACGAAATCACGCGGGGGATACGAAAGATGTTCGACACGCACCAGGTTCCGCTCTGGCTGGTGTTCGCGTGTCAAATCTTTCTTGACATTCACCATTGCCTGGGGGGGGATGTGGAAAGTGGGTTTGAGGATCTCACCAACACAGCCAAATCTATTCAGAGCTCGCTCGAGCTAAACCAGGAATTCTTTGCGCACCTCCGCATTGTATCGTGGCCCGAGCAATATGACGCACGGATCAAACGTTTTCTCGAGTTCATCTCCGCGTGGGTGGATTCCGACTTCACGCAGACCGCAAAGGAGAGGTACCATGTCTGGAGGCCCTCTGAGTGCTTCAAGCTTATGAAGTGGCACCCGTTGTTCTGTGGGATTCTGACATACTACATCAAGGCTCGCTTCCAGGACTTCGCCATGGCTTTTCAGGGCACATGGGGGGCGATTATGTACGCCGCCCATTTCTACAACGCTCTGCGGCAGGAAGGGTTACTGACGAGGCACTGGGCTGACATGGAACTTGTCCTGAGTTGGCATAATGAGATTTTTGTCGGTACCCCGCCCTGTCAGCCTAGCGAGTATTTAAAGCAATACAGTCTCTCCATCGGCCTTTCCGCGGCAGCATTCGCTCGCAACCGGCGTCATAACCTTAAGCTACCTGGATCAAAGGCCGGGCCAAGGCGCATGCAGCCTGTCGCTCCCGTCTCGCGGATGTTCTTCAGTCGACACTGTGAAGGATTGGCGCCGAGCGGATTCACTGAATCCGATCTCGAGACAATTCTCGCGAAATCTGCCACATGGAACAATGATCAACAAGTAGATGGATCGGTTTCAAAGCATCGTGCCACTGGCACCGGCAGAGGCAAGCCGCCTACCAAGAAGTGCTTCACTCGTCAACTCACCGTCGTCGAATTACTCGAGACCTTGCGAGACACGATTCACAACGAAGCGCCGGAATTCACGTTCGATTATCTGGCCTTACACAGAAACTGCTGGCGGCTACTTCGTATGGTCCGAGACATTTGTGATCCCCATCTGCGCAGGGTACATGGGGCCGACTACCTCGAGGACGAGACCGAGCTGCCGTTTCTCGTGGGTCATTTTTTCATGGCTGCTGCGGGGACACACCAGCTGAACAAGATTCTGGCCGAGAAGGACGAGGTACTCAGCGGTGAGATGATGACGTGCGCCGCAAGTGTGGTTGAGAGCATGATCGAGTCAGAGGCTGGATCTCTGGCCGTGAAGCTTCTGGGCCAACAAGGCTATCAAATCGAATTTGAGGAGAAAGAATAGACACTCAAGCATGCTCTGGGGCTCAGCTTTCTTGTCAACCTGAGAGGTGAGAGTCACAGGGACCTTTGGTATCTCTAGCAATGTTGGTGGCTTGGACGCGACCGGAAGTCCGATGGGTGTCGTCTAAGCGAGCCGACGGGCGAGGTTGCTTTATCGAGCCTGCACTAATGTCTGACAGCATAAGATGACGCGTAACATGCTTCCTATGTTTGCTTTTCGTCAGCTACATCGAACTGCCCATTGGTGATCTTATGATCTGTTCAAGGCCGAGAACCCCAATAGACCCAGATAGAGAATGGATCATGTGGAGAATGAATTTGATCTTTAGGTGTCTCTAATTTCATGTGGAGGCGAACTAGTTTTATCTCCGAGGCCCGCTCGGTTTTAGACCTCGCATAAGAGCTGCCAAGTAGATTTCTCTCTGGAGAGATCTCTTGTTTGCTTTAAGCCCCGAGAAGGACGCCACTAATGTGACCAACGTACAGTACACTCATGCCGCATCGGGGATGTGACCCACCAGTAAGACCCATCACAGTAACATAGGTTGGTGAACGGAAGAAGATATACCCCCTCCACAGTCGGACTCTTGTACCCCTGGATTGGCATCTTATATCTGCTGATCAGTCCGACTTGTGGGTCGGATGTACAGTAGATGCAGTCCTTGGAAGCATCCGTCTTTTGCCACCTCTACAGAAGCCATGCTATCCCTTCCAGCAATCGCAGCTCTAGCTGCAATCCTCGCCAAAGTTGCAGTGGCTGCCCCACTGATGGACACTCTGCTCGAGATTCCCGAGCTCTCCACGTACGCGCATGTGTACAATATGACGGGGGGCATCGTGGAGATCAACCCGATGTTCACGAAGCGGTTCAACTACGACACCGACACGCGCAACTACACTTTCCTGGCTCCGACCAACGCTGTACCTTCCTCCTCTCCCCTCTCCAGCCTCTCACATGCTACCAAACTAACCCAGCAATCCATGGTCCTCGCAGGCATGGGCCAAGGTCCCCCCGGCGATCTACGACATCCTCCTGACCCAACCAGCCTACCCCCTCATCGAAGCCCTCCTGCGCACGCACATCATCGAAGCCCGTCTAACCGCCGCCGAACTCGCCAGTGTATCCGCCGACAGCGCCGTGGGAGGCATCGCGACCGCCCTACAACTCTCCAACACCACCGCCCAATTCCACCGGGGGGTGCTCACCAAAACCGTGCAGGGGTACTACATCGACGCGACCACCTCCGCCAACGGGACCGTGCGCCTCGACGACCAAGCCGCGATCGTCAAAGCCGACCTCCCGGCGGATAATGGGCTGATCCACGAGATCGACCAGCTCATCGACCCGTTCCTGGTCTACGGCGGGGGACCGAGCAACCGCACCACGGCGCCGTCGCATGAATCCACCGATCTGACCATCGGGGCGTTCGTGCAATCCGACGCCCGTCTGGTCAATGCTTCGCAGATCCTGTCGGTCAACTCCCCGGACACTATCCGTCGGCTGTCGCGCCAGTCGTCCGAGAAACAGTTCTTCGTGGTCCCGCGCAATGAGGCGTTCGAGTTGATGCCTACCATTCTTCCTGTGTTTCGTAAGTTTACTTTCCTGGATGCTGCGATGGGTGCTGCGATGGATGCTCAGATGAGTGCTGATGATGATGGTGGTAAAGATACGCTGGTCTCGCCGTATAAGAGCCCCTTCGACACGCTGCTGTGGCAGTACGGCTGGGTCGATAGCGGGGGCGAGCAGTTCGACAGTCGCACGCTCAAGGGCAAGAGTTCGCTGTCGGTGGCCAGCGATGTGACCGGGCTGAATATCACGGTGACCCGCGAGGAGGAGGACGCGGCTGTCTTCGTGATGAATGCCGGGCTGGTGACGCAAGTGGAGGCCGCGAATGGGTTCCTGTGGATCGTGGATCGGTGGCTAGATCCTTTGTACCAGGCCTTCGGGCCGGTGGATCGCTTTGGGGGGCCGGAGTGGGCGTAGCTACGAGGTACAGTACTGTACGGTGTAGTCAGGGCTGACGGGGTGGGAGTGTTTCTAGCATGCTTTGGGGTCATGCAGGGCAGAGGTAGTAATTTTATTGTTATTATTGTGGACATCATGGGTCTGAATCTTGACCTCGACAGCGAGACTAGTCTCGACAGCAGTAGCAGTAGACGCCGTCGCTGCAGCATTGGGGGTATCGCCCGTGGCAGCAGACGGCCGAGGAGCAGGGCGAGGAGCATACGTAGCAGGCTGGGAACAGTGCACTGTCAGTGGGATCTGCGACTGCGTGGATAAAGGGGTCTGAAAGAGACGTACACCCTTCCAGGCCTCCGATAGGGGTCTTGTCTGCGTCAAAAGCATCGATGTGCTTGTCTTCGGGTCTTGGCATGAGGGCTGCATTGTGAGCAGATGCCGTTCGTCAGAAAAAGGGCGCTTACTTGTTCTGCTAAAGGCGTTCGCAGTGGCAGTTGAGATTATACAACCGACCAACGATAAGGAAATGAGAATCGTCTTCATGTTGATTATCATGTCAGAGCTCCTGGATATGTGTGAGCATCTTCAGTTTTTCTCTACTACTAATCCCAGCCTTTTAATACTCTTGAGTGTTGGTCATGTGCAACGATGCATCCCAGAGCAAGTCATCTGCCGTTCCACCACCTTATCAGACTCGACTGACCTGCCTACAACTGCTTCCTCGGGTACGAGATCACTGGGCTGCAGGGTCTTCATCAACTCGATCTACACAACCCCAGAAGTCGGCTCGATCACGCTCTGAATCTAGTGTAGTCACCGGTTGCCCAAAAGCACCTTCTCCGCAGCGCCAAGGCTCTCCACCACTGCCATGCACCAAGGTCCAGCCAGACCTGACACAACACGATCGGACATCAGACATAACTATCAAGTGACAAAAAGCTGACATCATTGGTGATATTGATTACCAGCATGATTTCACGCACGCTGACTCGCCATCTCTCCCGGCAAGGTTCTGCGCTGTCAGAATGATGGCAGATAAGCGGATGCGTCGGATCTGCTATCTCCAACGCCCTCTGCCAATTCTCGGCCTGGGCCGACCCCAGGCAAAGGGACACATGTCCGAGCGACTCGGGGCGTTTGCCATTGGACGGCGATCACTTATCGGTGCCAGGATATGGCGACGCGCTCTGCCTGTTTCTGCTGGGCGGATTAGCCATGCTTATTCGTTACACGCAGTACAGACCCCATCCGCCCATCCCGCATTTTTCTCCGCAGATCACATCATAGACGCCCCTCGCCGATAAAATGTCCCGGAGGCGCAATCCGCTCATGGACCGATAATTTCGTCCACAAGAATCACAATGACCGCTGCTCCTCAACCAAAACCCGTACCGTCAGAACAGACGCCCCTTCTGGGCCGTTTGGAAGATGTGCCCGATGCGCCCCGCGTCCCAGTGACTGTCTACCAGGGCTCGGCGATTATGGTAGCCATGGGCCTACTGTTGTTTATTCAAGGTACATTACAGCACACTCTCGTTTTGCAGGGATACACAGAGGCTGACCGAACAGCCACCCAAATCACCGCGATGACCACCGCTCAATCGGCCATTGCCACCGAGTTCGACGCCTTTTCCGTGGCCACATGGTTCAGCTCCGTGTTCCTGGTATTTACTCATGTCTAGCTGTGCAACTACAGGTCCATGCGGAGCTGACCAACCAGATTGCCTACTCGAGCATCACGCCGCTCTCCGGCCGACTGTGTCAGATTTTCATGCCCCGCGTCTACGTCTTCTTCACCTCGAGCCTGCTGGCGTTGGGTCTGTTCGTCACCGCCGCGGCCCCGAATCTGAGCGTGTTTCTGGTCGGACGAGCCATCGCGGGCTGTGGCGCGGGCGGCCAGAGCGTGACGGCGTTGGTGCTGGCGCTGGACCTGACGAGCAAGAAGCGCAGGGGCCTGTTCCTGGGCCTGATCAGCGCGGCCATGACGACGGGGATCGCCTCGGGGGCCGTTCTCTCGGGCCTACTGACCACGGTCTACGGATGGGTGGGTATGCGTTCGTGGCGAAGTGGTTCCTGCTACTGACCGCAACGCAGCGTCTCATCTTCTGGATCCAAGCCCCGATCACCCTCCTCCTCGCCCCGATCATGTTCCTCGCCATCCCCGTCCCACCCGCGGCCGCGCAGGACGAGCAGGACGGGCGCACACTACTCCGAAAGCTCGCCCAGGTCGACTACGCGGGCGCGTTGACCCTAGTAAGTTTAACCCTGCCATCCCCATCCCCAACCCCAAAGCAATCCTAACAAAGGCAGACCCTCTCCGTGACCCTCCTCCTCGCCAGCCTCGCCTCCTCAACCATCCAAACCACCCCGATCCTCGCCTTCCTGGTTTCCACCGCCCTCTTCCTAGCCATCGAATCCCACTACGCCACGCAACCCATCATCCCGCTGCACCTCATCCGCCAGCGCAGCGTGCTCCTCACCTGCCTCGCCGGCCTCCTGACGATGATGGCCCGCTGGGCCGTCCTCTTCTACAGCCCGGTCTACGCCATGGTCGTGCGCGACTGGACGCCCGCCTCGGCAGGACTAATCCTGGTCCCCACGAACGCGGGGTTCGGCCTAGGCGGCGTGCTGGCGGGGTGGCTACACATCCGCCAATCGCAGAGCTACTACCTCTCCAGCCTGCTGGGCTACAGCCTCTTCGCGCTGGCCGCGCTCCTCCTCGCCCTCCTCGCGACCCCGACCGCCCCGGTCCCAGGCTTTGTGGCCGCCACCTTCCTCCACGGTCTCGCGGTGGGCGCCCTCCTGAACTACACCCTCTCGCATCTGCTGCATCTCACCGTGCCGGAGGTGCATTACCTGGTCGGGGCGTTGGTGGGCATGAGCCGTGGCTTTGCGGGGAGTTTTGGCTCCGCGATCGGTGGCGGGTTCTTTGTCCGGGAGTTGAGGCGCGGGCTGGTCGAGGGGTTTAAGGAGTACGGGGTTGGCGGGGACAGGGAGAAGGAGTTGGTGCGGAAGTTGGTGGGCAGTCCGGCGTTGGTCAAGGGGTTGAGTGGCGTGGAGAGGGCGGTCGCCGTGGGGAGCTATCAGGCTGCGGTGCAGCGGTTGTTCTTGGGGAGTTGTGCCTTGATTCTTGTTGCTGCGGTCGCGCAGGCGGGCACCGGGTGGAGGGGGTATGGGACCGGGTGCAAGGCCGTGGATGACGGGGAGGGCAATCAGGAGCGGGTTTAGGTGTGCGGCGCTTACTCGGCTTATGGGCGACTGGTGAGCGTTCCGGGGGAGAACCCCCGGACCCCCCTTTCTTTTCAGCTTCCCAGTATAATTCAATGCTAAGTGCTGGGGAATGTACCGTTCCGGGGGAGAACCCCCGGACCCCCCTTTCTTTTCAGAATCCCAGTGTCACTCAACCTCCGTCCTTACTTATAAAGATAGAGGGCGTGGGTTTTGGGATTGTGCTGGACTGGGGCTGCGGTACTGGGAAGTTGAAAAAAAGGGGGGTCCGGGGGTTCTCCCCCGGAACGGTATATTCCCCCAGCACTCAGGATTGAGGGTGTTGAGAAGTTGCCTCGGAAATAGCGGGGCGAACTACGACCTCTTGCGCCTCTGATGCATAATTGCAACACCTCGGAGTGCGTGGTAAGGTTTCAGAGATCCTAAAGGTAGATCCGTCTTTGATAAGGGATTTCAATGACCCTTAGAGCCTTAACAAAAAGACCCCGCCTTCAAAAAGTATTGCCGAATATAGAAGACCCTATCTGCATGATGATAGAGGCAGCATACAGAGCAAACACGGCAAACCCCCTCCCACTCCCGATGCCAAGCCGGCTTTGTCCAATGAGAACACAGAAGCCATGCGCAAGCGGAGCCAACAAACCGACCAAACTGTGCCAACAGTGTAAACAAGTCAAACCGCACGCCTATCTATACATGGCTCGAGTCCAGTACCAAGTATAAAGGATCGGTCCTGCTTTACATACCGACAGAACTTACTTTCGATTCTCCTCGCGGACGACTGCCATCATGCCCTACAACCGCATTGCCATCTACGGCCACCGTGGCTGGGCCAGCTCGGCCATCGTGCACGCGCTCGCCTCCTCCGGCGCCCCGATCAGGGTTCTCTACCGGCCGGGGTCCGACATCTCGACGCTTCCCGGGAATGTCCGCGCCGTCGAGGTAGATGTGTCCGACGAAGCGGCGGTAGTTGCTGCCCTCGAGGAGATTGACATCGTGATGTGAGCACTTCCGCAGCCTGTTCACCCTGCACCCCGACCCAGACCCAAGTATACAGCTAAAGCAGCTATAGATCTTTAGTCGGCCACGAAGGCGTCCCCCGCCAACACCACCTCATCAACGCCATCCCCAAAACAGCCGTGCAGCTCTTCGTCCCCTCTGAGCTAGCCGCCCGCTACGACGCCCAGGGCCTGCGCATCCCCGTCAACCAGGCCAAGAAAGCCGTCGAACTCGCAGCTCAGGCAGCGGGGATCCCGATGACGATCGTGCTGGTGGGCAACTTTGCCGAGTTTGCGTTGGCGACGCCGTATGCCCTTCAAATACCTACTTACCTTTTGTCTTCAACGAAGCTGATACAGCGACAGGGCAATGGGCGTCGACTACCCCAACAACAGAATCATCTTCACAGGCGATAGTGCCACACATGCTGTGAATCTTTGGTCGGTCCCTATCGTAGCGGGCAATGGTCCGTTGCAACTTAACTGACTGGTTATGTCGAGCAGCACAAGAGCCTACGTAGCAGCAGCATATGCGTCCATCTTCGCCGCCACCCCGCTCGACCAGCTGAAAACCCGCACGCTCACGCTCTCGGAGCTCCGCGCCACCGGTGACGAGATCGCAGCCGCGCTGACGGAGCGGCATGGGACCCGCACGCTGAGCGCGACGGGGACGATCGACGCGGTCGACGCGCAGATCGAGGGGTTCCTGCAGGCGGGGAAGCCGTTTGGGTTGGCGTTCTACTGTCGGAGGATCTGGGGAGCGGGGATGCAGGTTGGGATGTTGACGGAGGACGTTTGGGAGGTGCCGGGGTATGTGAAGGCTGGTTTGGGGGAGTTGGTTGTTGGGGGCGGGTTGGGTGCGTATCGGACGTTGCCACAGGAGGTTTGGGGGGTTTTTGAGGAGGGGTTTGCGGCTTGTGCTTGACGGGTTTGATGCATTTACTCGCGAGAAAACCCCCATTGTAAATATTCCAGTATGTGCAATGCGCAGATTAAGAATTGGTCTATCACAAGCCAATGGGCTGTTGCACATGTCAGCTTCATTGCGGAGAATGTGGTGTTACACATCTTGACTGTTTGCATATGATCTGCACACTTTTGGACTCCTGTGATCCCACCCGCTGCTGACAATGAGTTCTCGTGCCGGTCTAGGCGTGTTATATGAGCAGTTCTCAGTCTGCACATTATAGTATGGCGATATCATCGCAATGCACCAACAAGCTCAACTGAGCACAGCATCCTCCGCATCATGAGGTTCTCGTCCGTCGACATCGCCACCTGTCGCTTCCTGCAATGCCAGGCAGTATTTGTTTTCCAGACCAAGCTCGACCCATCGCAGCTGGAAGAAGCCTTCCAGCGACTCCTCATGGAGTGGCCAGATCTTCGAGCCCGCGTCAACCTGCAGTGGACCGGGTCCTGCCCATCAGCCGACACGGCGGGACATTGGCAGTCGCGAGTGATAGACGCACCGCTAAGGGACTGTGTCTCGCTCGACCAGATGACGGAGCAGGAGCTAGAGCCATCCGAATACGCGCGCTTGGAGCAGCTCTTTCGGTTCGGTTGGTCGCTCCGCTCGCTGTTGTTCCCGCCGGTTCTTCGAGTGAAAGCGGTTCATTTTCGGGATGGCTGTATTCTGAAGTTTATTCTCCAGCATGTCTTCAGCGACACAAGCGGTAGGTTCGCGACTTGAACTATCTCGCTGGGATATGTTTCTAGGCTGATATGGCGATCAACCCTGAAGGTCTTTATAGGATCCTCTCCGCCTACACCGCAATCCTGCGGGGCGAGACCATCGACCCAATCGTGGAAGAACCGCGACCGAGCAAGATCGTATTCAAGCCCCCCGAGGAGACGAGCAGTGCGCTCTACACGCATGAACCGCTCGGGAGCCGGCTGCACGAGTCGACAACCAAGCACTGGGCCTCCGGATGGCTGGGCAATATCATCTTTGCCCTCTGGCACTGGCTGGTCCGCGCCACCTTTGCATACAAGCCTCGTGCGCGTCGCGCCATGCACATCCCCGGTGCGGCGGTAGATCGCCTCCACGATCGTGCAGCCCAGCAGGGGCTCGCGGTGACGCGACACGATCTCGTCATGGCCATCATAGCTCAGGTGCGAAGCTGCCCCCTTCCCCCCACAAAGCGATCAGCCTCTGACACGATGGTTGTATTCACAATACCCAGGCCGCTCTGCAAGCATACCCCCACCTGCACCCGGCAGCGATCGCATTCGTCTACAACTTCCGCAGACACCTCGACCAACCCGTGCAACTCCAAAATACCTCATGGCTAGTCTCGATCCCTCTCCCGACGCGGCCAAACAAGCCCATCATGCTTGACGATAGCGATGACGACGACGACGAGGAGGAAGATGAAGACGATCGACTCCTGATGCTAGCGTCCTGCGTCCGCGACGCCGTCAGAACAGTCCGCACCCCGGAGTGCCTGGAGCTCTTCCGCCAAGCTCACACAGCCATGGGACCGTGGCGGCCCTTCCGGCCGGCCCTGCGGCACCCGAACCACCCGAACACTCTCGTCTCGTCGTCTTCCCAGCTACCGTGGTACAGTCTCTGCTTCGGCGGCGGGCCCGAGACCAGGCCGTTATACGCGAGCATGGCTATCGGCTTGGTCGATCTCTGGGGGTTTATCGGGCTGAGTGTCCATGACTGGATTCTGACGAGTAAGGATCGCGAGGACCGCGGGTATTTTCTGTATGGGTCGTTGCATGTGGAGCATTGGGCGCAGTTGAGGCGGGGTTGTGCGCGGTTGGTGGGTGGGTGAGGAGGGCTGGGTTTGATTGCGTTTGACTTGGGTGGTGATGACCTACTTCCTGATGTTGATGGTGTTTATGATGGTCTTGAGTTATCCCTGGGGTAATGGATGGTAATAATAATGAGACCCTGGTTATACAATTGAAGAGTCTTGTCGGTGAAATTATAGGATTCTTGATCTGAACATCCTTTCGGTATGTCCGGTACATGTAGTTTGATTTGCAGGAATGACCTGTCGGTATAGGAATTGCCGATTCTCGGACCACATGATAGCAAGTTGATGGACCAAGTCATCTCAAGTGAGGCTTTGAGTCAGTAGTGGACAGGATCTCGCGTAGATCAAACCGGGAAAGTCTCCTGTCAAACAAATGACGAACATTGAAGATGAAACCATGTAAATTTTGTTGTTCAACTTTACACGCGCTACCATTCCTGACGTCTAGAACTGCGAATAAAGAACATCGGATGGCCGGTCAAACTGCCTCGCACAAGGTGATGATGTCGTCAGGGATGAACGGCCTCAAAATTTCAATCAAAGAGGCCAACGGGATCCAGTCCAGCGTGCCGTGGATGGTCTCGATAGCCCGCCCACTGTACAAGACGCGGGCGTAATGCTCCGAGTCGGCCGTCTGCCTATTCTAATGGTTAGCATTCGCTGCAGCCCCGGGTATCCAAGCTAAGCTAGTTTGTTAAACGAATCATGCTCCAACGTACCAGATCTCAATGGCGATGTTCGATCCCATCCCCGGCCAGCGCAGCGCTCGGATCCCCAATGCACCTAGCACCGGCCCCAAGTCCCCGTCATGCACGAAATTGTGGCTGTAGACCAGAGCTGAGCTGCCCTGGGCCACCGCTTCCAGGTGCTGCACAATCTCGCCAATGAACAGCCCCTCGACAAGCTGAATGTACCGCGTGGCGTTGGCATTGTGTCTCCACCAGTAGTTCCACTCCCAGTCACCGGCCCGAAAAACCTCGTCCGCCTGCTGTTGGGTCACGCACTGCGACTCATCCTGAAGGCTACATGGTAGTTGGTAGCCGTTGCACAGTCGGCCTTGGAAGTTGTCGGCAAAGTGATCGAAGGTAGAGGTCCAGCTCGAAGTGTTGGCATCGAACATGTCGGCTAGCTTGGTGCGAAGCGACGCCGTGACCGACAGATGCTCTTCCCAAATGGGGGTCGACTCAATGGCGGACAGCAGATCGCTCCGCGCGGAACAAGAAAACCCCTGGTCGACAGTGTCGATGCTGGATGCCTGCTGGTGCAGCGGCAAGGACCCATGGTAATCCGGCCACATCCCTCTCAGCACCCCGCCCGCAGATTCCTGCGTCAGGGCGGAGCTACTGCTGCGGAGCCACACCTTTCTGCCATTATCCTCGTTTGGGGCCGACGGGATGAGCTGCAATCGCTCCAGGTACACTTCCCGAAGATCGCAACCGTGTTGGTAACCGTCCAAGAAGCCTCCGACCGTGAGTTGTGGATATTGGCAGGATCCATTGACGTAGCTGTCCAAGAACGGGTTCGTCGGATCGGAGTATGACTGCGCGTACACGGGGAGTGGAGAGGGGTTTCCAGACGTCGGCGCAAGGTAGAGGAAGGGCTGCACGTTGTTGCAGTTGTATGCTTGGTTCTACACCGAGTCAGCTAACTACTGCACCTAGAAGTATCAAGATGGAGCCACTGACCTCGCCGCCCGGAAGAAGATTGTAGGGAGTCCTGCGTTGGTGTCGCTGCAAGTATTCGAGGTAGACCAAGCGACCAGACACGGACCCATTGGCGATGGGAGGTGGTAAAGTGTAGGTGTCGGCGCGGGGGTGAGGCATTGAGCAATAATTGTAGACCTCCTCAGCAGACGGCGGACTGGCCTGATCGGCGGGTGCGGAGTAGATACCCCCATAGGTTCCCAGTGAGGTATTGGTTATGAAGGTGGTGTGATTGAGTGGTGGATAGAAAGTGTCGCGCGCGGCGACCGAGGAGGTCAAGAGGGTAAATAGAAGGGAGATCATGTCGCTGAGTCCTTCATAAATGCTGATAGACATGGCCACGCCGTCGGTACGGGCGCAAATGGTAGCTTTTTATAGCACGTCCACCAGAGTCCCTCAGAGCCCTTCACCAGGCGGCTGTTGGCGAGGGAATTCACCAAGGGGTCGGATTCTGAGGGCGGAGGTTGCGCGCGTTGCGTGGATCGATAGTGAGCTGCCACTCCCAAACCGCGATTCCCCACGTGGGCATGGCGGTAGCCGAGGAGATGGAGATCGGATCCCGCACGTCCATGATGTAAGTTATCAGATAGGCTAGGTCTTGGAAATGAATATCAACGGCTGTTAGCGATGAACGCTAGTTTACCCACGGACCATGCATGGGGTGATGAATGGAAGAGGGTAGAAGAGAGAGGGAAGGGAGAAGGAAAGGGAGGGGAGAGTGAAAGGGAAAGGGAAAGGGAATGGAAAAGGGAAGTGGAACTGAGCACTGTCACTGCGGGCGCCGGGCACAGTTGGCGGGTGAAGGTGAGGAACGGGCCGGACGATTCCAACTCCAGTCCGAACACTCCGTACTGACTGACTGACTGACTGCACTGCACTCGCAACTCTAGTCAACCTACAACGAACCCCGCCCCAATCTGCCTCGATCTGGTATGGTACGGTATGGTGGGTAGTCACGTGGTGCAAGATAAGCAAAGGAAAAAAGAAAGCAACGAACGATGGCAGGCCTTCTTAGATGCTTGAATGGATTGATTGATGGAACTGACGGACTGACGGACTGACGGACTGATGGACTTTGTTCACAGCCTCCCTTACCAACAAATCATGGATGGGAGCCATCTATCCCCTCCAACTGCTTCATCCTCTGCGACTCCAGCTACTCAGCCTCAGCAGACCATCGGCCAAAGGCCACCTCCTCCCTACTATCTGCCTCTCTATCCCCATCAGCAACTGCCGCCACCCTTCCTCTTGGTGGATCATGTAGAAAAACCGCAACTTCTTCCCCAGGGTCAGGAGCAACCCGTCTTCATCAAAAACGAAGATTCTCAGTCCCCATCCGAGGAATCCATGCAGAAGTTGACAGTCACCCTGCCGCGCTTCCAGTCAGGCCGACCGATATCGCCCGCCACCTCCGACTTGAGCGACTCTTCCACTCCCGCCTCGGATGACAAGGCTCTGCTCTCTCTTCGTCTACCTTACGATACTTTTCTGAAACCAACCTTGCAAGGAAGGAGTCTGGATGCCATTTTGTCGCTCCCGGTCTCCTTGCGCGACAGTCTGCAACCGTACTTCTACCACTGTATGTCTCCTGCTCGCACACCGAATAGAATGGAGGTTTCCTAACTACCGCAAGTCTCCACTTCTTGTGCACGCACATGTTTTCCCTTTGGTTCAGAGGAGTTATGTCTCTGGTGGTGGCAACAGGCCATGAATCAGCCCGCATTCCTGTTCATCCTTCTCACCACCAGTGCCATCCACAAGTCCGCGTCTGAAACGATTGCAGGCGGCGTCTCGGTAGCCGCCCAGCAATCCACCCAGCACGCCCTTCTCTTTCGCGTCAAGGCATATGAGTTTGTGCGCCAGATTTTGAACGAGTCGGAAACCGCTGCTCTGGAGACGACTGCGTTTGTCGTGGCCCCATTAATATGTGTTGAGGTCAGTCTTGATGACCCTTGTCCGGAACGCTACTGATTCTTAGTTATCTAGGCGGCCGACGGAAACCAACAGGCTGCAGACGCTCATGTTCAAGGGCTCAAGAAACTGGTCGATCTACTTGGTGGTATTGAGGGCCTGGACCATGCGATGGTCTCGCTTTTTTACTCGTAAGGCTTCCTGTTGTGGAACCTGACCGTATTGCTGACTCTACCCGACTCCAGTGCGGTACATGTGTATGGACTTCTCACCAGCTCGGAACCAGCGTTCCCCATGTCCGAAGAATGGAAGCAGAGAGTTCTTCAAGAGGTCTTCGCTGTCAAGTCCGAGGAGGATTTTCGAGACCACTCGTACTTTGGTAACCGTTTCTTCGCCTCGCCCTGGTCTGCGGGACTGGACCCCAGCCTCAGGCTTCTTCTCCAACACTTTCGACAATTGATGGTGCACTACAACTACGCGCAGTCATCCTTGTCAAAATCATCGGAGAACAACTTCGCCCTCCTGACTGCATATGAGCTTCTCGCCACGACCTACGTTCTCAACCCGTCGGACTTTCAGGATACGCTGCGCATTGCGATGCGGATCTACCTTGCTCTGCGACTTTGGACCTTTCAAGGGTTGCCATGCATGAAATTCGTGTCTGAAGAGCTACAGCACAGTCTGTACACGACACTCCACCTCCTGCAGAGAACGGCGCCGGATCTCCTATTTTGGATTCTGTTTGTGGGAGGCCTCGCCTCGATGGGCCACCAAACATCCGCATGGTTCAAGACCTACCTCTCCATCACCGCCGGCCAACTGGCCGTGTACAACTGGGATGCCGCATTGGTCCTGCTGGAAGGCTTCTGTTTCATTTACCGGCCAGCAGACACGATGGCTCGGGATCTCTGGAACGCCGTTCAGCAGCGTCAGGAGCAAGAATTCTATCCGCAATGACAATCAAGCCACCGTCGATGAGATGGACAGTTGAAGTTATTCGAAGACCGTATAGAGCTAAAGCACAGACTCCATTCTACAAACCCTCCAGAACTGAACTCCAGTTCTGCGCTGCGGCCGCTAAAACTAGCTACGCCGACCGATTGCCTAGCGACGTATGACCGATTTCTTGCGCTCACCTGGCTCTCCAATGGGAAGTGGCAATCCAACCAACCCCGCTAACAGCTAGCTCTCTTAGCTACTATCTTGACCACGGCATATTGTTCCTCTCGATTTCGAGTGTCTGGTCGCGAGATGAATCTGAAGCCAAAGCAGATCTAGCGGCTCGCTATCCCCCAACTCAGGATGTGGAATTTCTTTTCACAGCAACTCACGACCATACTCCTTGAGCAACATAGCACCGGAGGGTGGGTGGTCCCAGTTGATGTCTAGCATATTGGGGGCCAATGCTGCCCCTAGGTGTCAGCAATTGACGACTTTTAAGCGTCTCCGTCGTTGACTTCGCAGAATTCCAAGTTCCGAGCTTTCATATCTCCTCCTCTGCGATATCACCGGTATCTTGGATATAAGAACAACAGGATGTCAACCTTGACGAGCTTGCGATCTAAGGATACACGGGATCCGAGTCGTCCCTCGGTCACTGACTTTCGCTCGTCGGGGTGTCGGAGGAGTGCGCGGATTCTCGGCGTTTGTTCTGCTGCTTTGCGGAGTCAGTCCAACGTTTGTCCGACCAGGCGCTTACTGGAAAAGGATTGATGGCGGGATCGCGGTGTGCTGCTCTCTAGTGCGGTGCGGTTTTTGCCTAGTCGCGCAACAACACTCAACTTCCGGCCACCGCCGGAAAGCCAGTGAGGTCTCGAGAGCCTACCAATATCTCTTACTACGCATCCGACCGGTGCCTCTGGGTGGTTGTCAGTGTTTGCTACAACGTGGCCAGCGTGCGCTGACTTGGTCGAATGTTTCTTCCCGCGGACCCAACTTGGGTGCTACCCGACTGTCGGTGCAGACAGCGCGGGCTTCCTGCGCACTTCCTACCTTTAGTGCTTACGAGCGTCTGGTCGGGTTTAGGCGGAGGCTCTTATGCGCTAGCAGTTGAAATGCGACCGTCCAATGGCTTTGTATGGCTCGCGCAATTCCACCTGGCGCACCACTGATTTCCACGATCTAATTGATCAAACCCATCGGACAGGGCATTCGAGAATATCATGGACAGAAGGTATGTACGGTACATCTTTCACTTCTAGTTCAACAACCTTAGTTGCTGACGAGAAGTCTGAAGGGCGATGGCTTCCAAACCACGACACTGTCTTCTGTGTTGCGCCACGCCAAAGTTACTTCGAGGAGACCCTGAATTGCGTAAAGATTACATCTAGTCACAAAAGGAATAGTACTGTATCAGAGCGGTTGCGGATTGGATGCAGCAATGAGCTAGATGCTCCAGGCATAGACGGGCATCATGGGACGAAAAAGGGGTAATTGAGACCCGTGAGGGTTTTTCCTTCTTGCCTCCGACGGGGACTGTCGATATATCTTTCTACTTAAGTACAAGTACATGTCAGATCTCTGACTTGTGGCCCACCTTTTTTTCTCATTTACTCTGTGCGATGCTCATTGCTTCAGACAGGGACTGTTTCATTCTCCACCTTTCTGCAACGCAGGAGGTCGATGGGAAGGGGGATTTAGAGGGGTTTTCCCGTTGTAGGGAGAGACAGGTGGAACTGGAGGGAAACGATGGTTGCAGGCAGTGATCTAAGAATAAATTAATTAGGCTCGCTCGTTCGGAAAGGAGGCCCAGAATTGGAAGTGACAGCAGGCAGCCTGGAGGCAGGGATTGTTCGATGCGGATCCAGATCGCGTCGGCCTCCCCTGTAATCTTATCACCTCAATTTGCTTGCCATGACCCCCTTTCCGCATGATGGTTTGTTCAGTTGTGGATGTTGAAAGCGCCATTCAGGGTGAACGGTGGCAGTTGGGGGATTTTCTGGGGAGGAACTGAAAATTGCCATCATGGATAGGATCAGTTCTAAGCAGAAGATAACAATGACGATACAATAATGGGATGGTGCAGGTCTCCAAGTTGCCAACCGAAAAGCCCCTTGACTGGGGTTGAACCATGAACCATGGAAGCGACAACTGGAAGCCAGGGATTCGTCATTTGCGATTGTCGCAATCTCACCTTCAGATTGCAGACCGCTAGAGATTGGCTGCCAACAGAAAAGTGGCTCTACCGGTGGATGCTAGCCAGCCAATCAATGTATTTGCTTGGCTCTGCACCGATCGACCTTGACCTGGCGGTGGGTTTCTGCCGTCTTCAATCCACCTCAAGTTAACCCAACAACAACACTCACTACTCCGTACCTACTCTCGGCTCAGGCTGTTGTCTTCCATCATCCGCCATCATCAGCCACCATCCACTCACACCAACACACCATCGTCTAGCTTCCCACCATACATTCAACCAGCTCATATCTGAGGGAGCCTGGTCATCACCAGACACAAGCAAGCACGAAACTATCCCTGATATCCATAAGTCGACTAAATATAGCGTGGAAATGGCAGCAGTTCAGCAACTCTGGTTTGCCACGCGGTTTGCCGGACTTCAGCCCGGGTGGATCTCTTTGTTGATAACTTGATATTAACCTTCATTACCGGCTGGGACCAAACTGACCCAGGGTCCTCCCCCTCTCCACTATCAACGCCTCTGGGCCGCGTTGGAGAGAGAACATAAACTCTCTCCCAGCGCCTGCCCATCGCTTGCCTGCCCGCCTATCACTTTCCGTTCGCTTTGGGACTGGCCCGCCTTTCTTTTCCGACTGTCGTCATTTTTCAGCGCCGCAGCCCGTCTCCACTCGATCGTAGCATTCACCCTGGGCTGCCTTGACTTCTTGCACTGCCATGTCTTCCTGACATCTTCGAGCATTATTAGCGAGTCCTAAAATCTAATCAGCACCTCTTCCCCGCGCTCGTCCCGGAACATAAACACAAATCTCGCCATGGGGCGAGAAACCGGCCACCGACGGCGCCCTTACCCGACAATGTTTGCCCGCAAACCCGCCAACCTCCTCGCGCTGATCCTACTCTTCGTCATTGGCGCCTCCATTTTTAAAGTCGAGCTGGGAAACGGTCCCTTCGACCCGAGATCGCTCTATCGCCTGGATCGTCATCACAAAGAGCCTGGATACTGGGATTGGGAGACTACGACACGCTTCTCGCGCACACAGAATTACAAAGTCGACGACGACCATATCTGCGATTCGTTCCCGACCTATCTGCTCCCGCGCATTCAGATCGTCCTGAAGATTGGCGCTTCGGAGCCGCAGGACCGCGTTAACGCTCATTTGTCGACCGTCACGCGGTGTATTTCCAACCTAATTGTGGTTTCCGACCGGGAGTCCGAGCTGCAAGGCCACCATGTGCACGACGTGTTGGCCACGTTACCCGAGTCCTTCCGAGCGAACGTGTCCGACTTTGAGGCGTACGATACACTGCAGAATGGCAGACTGAAGTCGGTGGCTGGTCCCCAGGGGTGGCGACTCGACCGGTTCAAGTTCCTGCCCATGGTGGAGCGGGCGCATGAGATCAACCCGACCGCCGACTGGTTTGTCTTCATCGAATCCGACACCTATGTCGTCTGGGACAACATGTTCCGTCTGCTCGACCAATTCAACCCCTCCGTTCCATTGTATATGGGATCCCCGTCCCCAGGCCGACCACTGGACCACGACGAAATCTCCTACTTCGCCTACGGCGGATCCGGCTTCGTGCTTTCCACGGCGGCGGTGAAGAAATTGGTGGCACGAGAGACTGGAGCACACGGAGAGTATACACAGCCGCCCCTCAGCGAGCAATATGAAGATCTGGTCAAGGCGGACTGTTGTGGGGATTCGATCCTCGGCTGGGCTCTGCACGAGAAGGGTGTCGAGCTCTCGGGATTCTGGCCCATGTTCAACCCCCATCCGTTGCATGGCATTCCGTTCGATGATGTGCACTGGTGCCAGCCAGTCATCAGCATGCACAAGACCCTGATTTCGGACATGGCTGGGTTGATGCACTTTGAAAATCAACGCGATCGCAGTGTACGTATGCGCCTCCTCCCCGATTGAGATCTTGGCTAATCCCTGCCTGAAAGGAACCTCTCCTGTATGCCGACTTGCTCGAGTACCTGAAACTGGGCACCTTCGATGAACGTCTCGACTGGGATAACGGGGATTGGGGTGGCTGGCAGGAGCCTCCCGAGTCCCCCGGCCATGCCTCCTTCGATGCGTGTCGGGCTGCGTGCCACGATCACCCGGATTGTCTCAGCTTCACGTATGACTCGACCGGACACTGCGTCTTCGTGCGGACTGTGCGACTGGGGGCGAAAAAGTTGTTGGGGGACGCCAACACCCGGCTGTCCTCGGGATGGGACCTGGAGAAGATCCAGCACTGGCGCAATACCCATCAGTGCGAGAGGCCACTGTGGGTGAAGCCAAGCACGACACGCAAGTTTTGAATGGTGGGGAGAGTCTTATCAGGAAGGCAACGGCGTTGGGACATTTCTGGGATGGGGTTTCTCACGGCTTTGACGAATGTAAATATGAATTGATACCTCAGCACTGCACATGTACATCTTACGATAATTTAATTTGATACCTACCGCACACTAATCAATCAATTTGTCCGACGAATTGACCAATTTCGAGGGAATAATCAGCAAGGGAGGGGGGTAAGAACTTATCGCACCGCGCGCCACTTGCCACTTGACCGGAAGGGGACAAAGTTGCGCGGTGCATTGCATATCTTATCGTCTGCGGAGGTTCGCTTATCGCCTTTGCCAGGCGACATCGGACCAGTCAGTATAGCACGGTGCGGTTCCGCGGACTATTGGCTGTCATTCCGCCATTTCCGAGGTTCCGATGCAGTGCAGTGCAAGTGGAGTACGTAGTACTGCATTTCAACTGCACTGAAGGTCTCACAGCGGGTTCCGAACTGGGAAGGAGATGCGCCGACAAGAAGTACTCCTACAATTCATAAATCCCTCCAGCTTCCCCGCATTCTCTGCTGTCTCGAGCTTCCCTTTCGCTTCCTCTTCTCACACTCACCCTCTTCCGTCTTCTTCATCATACATAACTCACATCATGGTCTTTACTCCCCATCCGTTGGCCATCCTCTCCGAGGAGGAGACCAACATCGCCCGCGATGTCATTCTTGCCCAACACCCCAACACAGTCATTGATTTCCGGGAGATCTACTTATCGGAACCCCCCAAAACTGAGCTCCTGGAGTTCCTCGCCCTCGAACACTCCGGTCGCTTGAGCCCGACCTCTCCTCGTCCGGCTCGTCTGGCCTTGTGTCAGTACGATGTCATTGGTTCCGATCACATTCCTTCCTTCAACGAGTCCGTCGTGGACGTGGGCGCGCGTCAGCGGATCAAGCACAAGATTGTGGGCAAGAAGCACCATGCCTCGTTGACTTTGTAAGACTCTTGGCGGTTGTCCTGCTGGTGGGCCATGCTAACCGCCTTTTGTTGCCAGGAGCGAATTTGATACCCTTGTCGAGCGTTGTTTTGCCTCCCCTCTCTTCCAGAAAGCCCTCGAAGACTTCGATCTGCCTGCTGGCTTCGAGGTGACAATCGAGCCCTGGCCCTATGGTGGATTGGACTACACCGATGAGCCGCGCCGCTACTTCCAGGGGTTGTGCTTTGCGACCAACAAGAGCACGAATAACCCCGATGCCAATTTCTACTCCTACCCACTGCCGTTGATCCCGGTGATGGATGCGCTGACCCAGGAGATCATCCGGGTCGATCGTCCGGCCACTGGTGGCAAGGGCGACGGCCTCACCCAACAGACTTTCAAGCGTGACATCATCGGCCACTGCAAGGATTCCGACTACGTGCCAGAGCTGGTCCCTGGCGGCATGCGCAAGGACCTCAAGCCGTTGAATGTGGTGCAGCCGGAGGGCCCTTCTTTCAAGATCACCAACGAGTCATTGGTCGAGTGGCAGAAGTGGCGGTTCCGCGTCGCCTTTAACCCTCGCGAGGGTGCCACCATCCACGATGTCTGGTACGATGGTCGCAGCGTCATGCACCGTCTGAGTATCAGTGAGATGGTGAGTCGATTGGCTGGATGCTGAAGATTTTCCACATGCTGACTGCGATAGACTGTGCCGTATGCCGATCCCAGACCTCCCTTCCACCGCAAACAGGCCTTCGACTTTGGCGACGGTGGTGGTGGCAACATGGCCAACAACCTTTCCATTGGCTGCGACTGTCTGGGTGTGATAAAGTACTTTGATGCGGTCATGACTGGTGCGGATGGTAAGGCGCAGAAGCTGCCCAATGCCATTTGCTTGCACGAGCAGGACAATGGCATCGGCTGGAAGCACTCCAACTGGCGCACGGGTCGCGCTGTGGTCACCCGTCACCGCGAGCTTGTGGTGCAGTTTATTATCACACTGGCCAACTACGAGTACATTTTCGCCTACAAGTTCGACCAGTCCGGCGGCATCACCGTCGAATCACGCGCGACGGGTATCCTGAATGTGGTGAACATCGATGCTGGCAAGACGAGCGACTACGGCAACGTGGTCAGCGGCGGCGTGTTGGCGCAGAATCACCAGCACATTTTCTGTGTCCGCATCGACCCGGCCATTGACGGAAACAACAACTCGGTGCAGGTCGAGGAGTCACACCCGGTGCCCATGAACGAGGCCACCAACCCCATGGGTAACTACTACAAAGTCACCAACGAGACGGTGGAGCGGGCGGGCTGGCTGGACGCAGCTCCGGACCTGAACCGCACGATCAAGATGGTCAACCCTCACAAGATCAACCCCATCAGCCAGAAGCCGGTGGGCTACAAGTTCATCCCTCTGGCGACGCAGCGGCTGTTGGCGGACCCGAACTCGATCCAGGCTCGGCGGGCGCAATTCGCGCAGCACCACGTCTGGATCACCAAGTACCGGGATGGAGAGCTGTACGCTGGAGGCCGGTACACCCTGCAGAGTCAGGAGGAGATCGAGGGTGTTTCCGACGCGGTCAAGCGGGGCGACTCGGTCAAGGACACCGATGTGGTGGTCTGGAGCACGTTTGGCATTACCCACAACCCACGCGTTGAGGACTGGCCCGTGATGTAAGTTTGCTCTAAACATGTTGGGGGATTGTGGATACTAACGAATGACAGGCCGGTCGAGATTTTCCAGCTGATGATCCGCCCTGCGGACTTTTTCACAGCCAACCCCTCACTGGACGTGCCCTCGGATCGCAATGTCTCGTCGCGCATTGTGGATAAGGAATGTTGCCGCAAGGCTCACATTTAGGGTGGGGTGTGCATGATTTATGATACGAACTGTATATATATCGCATTTGTGTATTTGTGTATCTAATTAAGTTGGTTCACTGGCACGTTTCCAAGAGGTTTCCTAGTACGTAGCTAGTAGTTTCGATTGAAGCAGGGCGGAGACAAGATTGCTGCCTAGAGCCTCGAATTTTGTGAGCAACTTAAATTGATCCATCCTGGTTTGTTTGCGGCATTGAGAAAAGAAAGCAAATGAAGCAAGCTCTCCCGCCTGCCTCGGATTTGCTCGGAATGAGGGCGGGCAGGCAAAATTTCCATTCCGCGGTCCCGTCGCCCGCGCCTCGAATCGCTTTCCGAACTTTTCTTCCACACCCTAACACTTCTCATCTAGATTGCATGCAAGACCCTGCTGCATACTACTCGGAATTCGGTATCTTCGTTTTGAGTTTTGTGTGATCAACGCTACAGCGTCATAGCGAAATAGATACTGTTGGAAAGAGATTGAGCCATCCGATGGATACCGAGCAGCACCAGCAGCAACAGCAGCACCAGCATGCTAAGCGAGAACTAGACCGAGGAGGAGGAGGAGCAGGAAGAGGGGTGGGAGAAAGGAAAGACCACAGCCAACAGTCCCCGGAACCCCCTCGGAGTAAGAAGCGGGCTAAATATACGTCGGTTGCTTGGTGGGTTTCTTCTTTGTCTTCTTCGATTTTGATTTTCTCGTTCTTTTTTCCTGTTGACCAAGGGTAGCATGTACTTTACTGCACAACACATACGCATACTTGCTTGCCTTGCCCCTAACGCGCACACACACACACACACACACACACACACACACCCCCACCCAAAATGAATACACCCTTCCACTCTTCTTTACTATGCCATCACAGCCACCTCCCACCCCTCACCTCTTCCGGCTCCCCACAAATCAAAACCATACCAGACTATGGCTAATTAAAGGATAGCAACGAGTGTAAACGCCGCAAACTCAAATGCAGCGGCGAGACCGTCTGCTCGCGCTGCACGCGCGACCAGGTGCGCTGCGTCTATACGCCCAGCGTGCACGCCGTGCATGCGGCGCCATCCTTGCATGCGGCTCATTCGATACATGTTATTGGGTCTGGGACGGGGGCGTATACTTCGTTGCCGAATACGCCAAGGCCTAGGGAGGAGGATGGTATTACGGATCGGTGTGTTGATTGTTTGGTTTGCGTGGTGGTTGCGGGTTGCTGATACTGCCTCGGGTAGGATCCTGTCGACGCGGTTGCGCACGGTGGATGCACAGATTGAGGCGCTGCAGCGAGAAATGCGGGCTTTGGTGGGGAGGATGAGGGTGTTGGAGGGGCAGGGGACTGGGGGAGCTGCTGCTAGTAGTGGTGCTGGTGGTGGTGGTCCTGCCGTGACAACCCCCGCCAATCACATCCCCACCGCCGTCTCGACTATCTCCTCTACCTCGGCCAGCGCGGGCCTTCATCGGATCATGAACCGGCCTAAATCGCCGACGTATGTCGGTCCGACGAGTGCGGAGTTTGGGATTGCAGACAGAAAGCGGCCGCATGGGGGCGAGGATGAGGTCGAGGATGAGGATGAGGATGAAGATGAAGATGGGGATCTTGAATCCACCGCCGCGCCGAGTCCCATCCCCGTTGCTGATGGCGAGCGCGATCCGCTACGGTGTCTGGGGTTGACGGAGGCGTTACGGCTGGTGACGGTCTACGAGCACACGGTGGGGCTGATCTACCCGTGCGTGGATCTGGATAGCGTTCGCGCGTATGTGGTGGATTACTATCGCGACGATGGGCTGTCGAAGTCGCCAGCTTTGGGGGCAGGAGGCGCTGCGGAGGATGATTGGTTCTTTGCGCGCGACGCGGAGGTGCTGAAGATTCTTCTGGCCACGGCGCTGTTGGCGGAGTCGCATGGGAGGAGTGAGCGCGCGGCGCTGTTGGCCGATCGCGTGGAGGATCAGTTCGGGATGCGCATGAAGGTGCCGGAGGTCGATATGAAGGAGTTGTTGATTTTGGCTTTACTCGTGAGTTACTTGATTTCCCTCGGGAGGGCTAAGGCAGGGTATGCTGATGCTGGCATTGGGGCAGTCAATCTTCCACTCCTACCGCGACGACGAAGTCATCGCCTGGCGCACAATCGGACTCGCCGTGCGCGGCTCCATGCAACTGGGCCTACACTGCCAGGAGACCTGGCAAAAGACCGGCGGTGTTTTTCCCGGGGAGCTGCACCGCACCTGGGCCAGCCGCCTGTTCTGGTGCATCTACGTGCTGGACCGCAAGTGGTCGT